GATGTGAAGGCTTACTTTACCACTATCATTCAGTAACAGTGGTTACCACTGTATGCTGGACTTTCTGAGAAAGTATTAATCTTGTCTTGTTCAGACAGATTAATGTTGGAGAGCAGGGGAGTGGGTCTGGTAAAGGGATATTGTATGTTGTCCTTGATGCAGTGACAAGATAATCTGGCGATGGAGACCCCCTAAGAGGACCCCTGCTGCATGTGTGTGGGATCAAAGCCACCAGTCAATCAGAGGAAGGATTCAGATGAGAGACTCAAGATAGGGAGGGTCTCAGAGGGTGTTGCATTCATCTACAATGGAGCGTGTTGTGGGTTTGATATGATATCAAATACAGCTGGAGACAAGAGTCGTTGAATGGAGTTTATGAATTCATGGTGTCTCTCCACAGTGACAGATTAATCCTCATCAAGAAGATATGAGCTAAATCAGGTGGTGCATGCAAATGAAGAGAAATGGTTATTGAAAAGCTCAAATAACAGCCTTCAATAAATCTGATAAATTGTATCTGATCTAATATCCTTCTCTCTGCAGAAGTCAGCACTTCACATGGCTGTTATCTCAGCATTGTGAAACACAGTTGGAACGAGGCAAACCTGTGCTGCTCTGTTCCTTTTTAATCTTTTTAGTGCCATCATGACTGCGTACCGGTACTTTACTTCCTGCAGATGTTTACAGGATTTTAATCTGGTTAGCCACAGCTGGGAGGTATTTTGTCATGCTGTTTCGCTTTTTGTCCTTTCCTTGTTTGGTCACAGGATTATACGTATAAACCTGGTTTTTGTGATGCTTGGTGCAAGGGTGGTGCACAGGATGAGGAAATTCTGGCTGGTTCCAGATCACACATTGCCAAATTGTAATATAGTATTGAAGTCATGATGAGTTTATCTAAAAGAATTCTTGCAGATAACATTAGACATGTAAGGGAGGTATCATGCTTTTTTTTCTGTCAAACTCCATATTTTCTTTCTGATACCTCTTTCATAGCTTTACATGATTTTAGGATTTAAAAAAGCCTCAAATTTCTAACAGTGGTGTATTAAAATGTCTTTATTTCAGTCTCAATCTGAAACGCTTCGTTTTAGCTGCTTCTGATTGGCCTTCCACATGTTTGTCCAAGATTTGAACATCTACATTCTCAGATTATGACAAAAAATACGTTCACCTTATGATTTGAAACTTTGCATACATGTGGTATGGACACCAAACTTTGTAACTTTGCAGTTTTTGTCATAAATGTGGAAAAGTTTGATAACCTCTTCCTTTAACTGTGTCAGCTTAGACATAATGATATCATGTGGTTTGTCGGGCAGAGCTACCTCTGTTTTCATAGTTAGGTTAACTCTGCAACAAAGAGCTTAGCAGACAGGGTTTGAAAATGTTGAGTTAAAATAAATAAATTGCAGTTTAACTATCTTTGTAAAAGTGTAGGCACATGTTTTCATTGTTGAACATTGTAAAATACCCCCAATTTCCACCGCATCTGGAATTGCTACGAAAAGGCCATATCCTCTGATCGTAGCTGATCGTAACCATTCAAGTTATTGTGAATGGTTGAATGGAATGTGTCAATTTCCACTGGATTCATTACGCAGCTGATCCCAAGAATCTATTTTTTCTGGATGCCAGAGCATGCCGGATAAAGTCAGCACAGATTAACCCGTGCTGGAAAGGAAGTCGGGCACAGACACAAAATAAAACATCCGGCTCCTTTTCAAAATAAAGCACTCCATGTTTCATCGTATTTCACACCATGCAAATGGGTGGAGACGAACAAGTGAAAGGGTTTTTTTAGACAGCATTTCACCTCGATGACACCGTGGATGAGGAGATGCTGATTTTGTAAGTCTAGAAGTGGATTTCCTCCTCTGGGAGGACACAATCTACTGCTTATATGGCTAAGAGTCAACTCTTTATCGAACGATTGCATGTGAATCTGTGGGTTCTCGTGATTATAGCTGTCTGTAACCCACCACAAAATTTGTCTCACAAATGGATCCGGGAGGAATTGGTGTACAGAGAAAATCACTGCCGCTGATTATGGCTATGTTTGTTTCTGTGATAATAAACCAATGTTCCTGATACATACAGTAGCAAAAAAAAAGCCTCCCTCAAATTCCTGTAATCACGATGACCTCTGCTGCTGTAAATGTTGTTAAGTATAACTGGAAGTGAGTGCTTGTTATTTCTTTTCTTGAGGAAACTAAAAATACTTTTGCCAGTATTGGAGACTGTGATTCTTCTTATAAAGCTGTCAGGAGGTTGTTTGTCAAGGGAAGACCAGAGTGTGTGTGAGAGAGAACTAGGAAGAAGGGAATGTGTAAGATAACAAGAAGCCTGTAACCTCTACCGTGAGGTCAGCACGGACATCCTGCAGTCATATTTGAGGTTAAATGCTATGTGAAGGCAAGGTGCTTGTGAAAGGTCAAAGTGACTTGCAGCACATCTGGGTACCACACGCAAGAAACACAACAGAGAAAAAAAAAAGGAAGCCAAGTATAGACAGAGGAAATGTCAATTCTACTCAGCTTGGAGCTTCTGTTTCACCTAAGAGTTCATTTGAGGTTGTTAAAAGATCACTGTGGTGGTTAAATTCAATTGCTACTTCAGTACTACCCGACCTGAACTACTAGGAGTGGTTTGTTGAATCACAAATCTGATCCGCCGATCTTGTATCCTGAATAACTTATTTTAGAGAAGTTATTTTACATATGTGCAGTATGTAATTTTTAAAAAATACAACTTTCAAGATACTTATACTGCTACTCTTCCCTCTGTCCAGTTTGATTAAATATACTAAAAGACAAAAAGGTTCCTTTGCATCCATGAAACCAAACAAAGAAGATAATAATAATGCATCAGATTTCATATAGCGCTTTATCAGAGACCCTCAAAGCGCTTTACATTGGATACATCATTCATTCGCTCACACAGTCACACTTTGGTGGTGATAAACTACCTTAGTAGTCACAGCTGCCCTGGGGCAGATTGACGGAAACGTGGCTGCCATTTTGCGCCTACGGCCTCTCCGACCACTACCACACAACACTCACAATCATACACCAGTGGAGGACACACACTGGGAGCAAGGTGGGTTAAGTGTCTTGCCCAAGGACACAACAGACAGACTAGGGATAGGGGGGAATCGAACCGCCAACCTTCCAGTTATTGGACGACCGCTCTACCTCCTGAGCTACTGCCGCTCATCAAGATGTATCTTGATGATTCGAGCCACTCTGATATTGTCCATGATTGAGATATATAGTAAAAAAAAAGTCGGTGTGTCCTTGGCCTGGTTAAATGTTTTTAAGTGTAGAGTTTTGAAATTCAGCTGAGAGTGAAGCTGTGCCAAGCCAACAGCTGCTCGAGTTTGTAATCATGTAAAGAGTTAGAGTACTCGCCGTCACGGTGTATAGGCTGCGTGCCCAGTGGTGTCAGCACCTGTGTACCTTCTTAGACCTCTGTAAGCATCTATTTCTAAAAAACAAGCTCATCATCTTATTTGGACCACATCCAAAGTGCCAATACCTGAGAGCTATTTATATCAGAGAGTGCCAGCTGCTGTGAGACATGCACAACAAGGTGATCTGACGTACAGAGCCAAAGCGAAACTCGAGCCTCTGGGTTCTGATCCAGAAGTGAGAAAACATCCTATAATATCATAATAATGTTTGCAATAACTATGTAACTTGATAACAAGTGACATATCCTAGTTCTGACAGAACAGAAGGTTTTGTTATGGCCTAAATAGAGACAGTTACAGTAGAAAATAAAGATTTTATGATCTCAAAGGCCTCATGTGTGCACAACTGAGAATTTCTGGAAGTTTCACACTTTCTGTCTGTGCCTGAAGGGCTTATACCACCCAATAATCCAACCTCATAATAGGGCTGCTAATGCAAGAGCCAATACCAGCTCTGTGTGTCCCATGATGTACAAACCGTAATCCATTAATCTGGTAGAAGACTGTCCCTTAACTACAACCCTAAAACAATAGAAAAAGTTGGTTCAGACTTACTTTCTGTACACTGTCCAATTTGTTTTAATCATATTTTTCCTCTTTCTAGGTTTGATCAAGCCTTTATTTACTGGTGTTTTTAAACTTTTCCAGTGACTTCAAGTTACGTATTAATTATAGAATTGTTATGAAACGATGATTATAAGGTACGCTAATGCTACAGAAAGTTCTGATAGATGCAATCAAGTGTTTCAGGAGTGATCTTCTTTGGCATGTGTCATGTTTAGGTTGAAGTTTGCTTTTACACAATAAGGAAAGAAAACATGATGTAAGCAATCAGCGTAACATTTCGAATTCTACATAACAGAATCTCCATATGAACACAGCTCACATGTTTATTTATGTTTATTATGGGGGAATCAGGGGGGACTTATGATTTCCAACAGCAGACTGAAGAAGAGACCAGCTCTCTACATTTGTATTCATGTAAAGCTGCACTTTGTAACCATCCCACATAGAGACTGGCCTCCTGTGAAGGGCAGACTAAGACCTCACAGAGCTAATCTTGATTGACTTTTGTGTAACAGCAGACTTCAATATTGAGCTCAGACCGCAGAGGAAACCTCCTGCTAAGACAAGATGGGCAATAAAATGAGTCTGTTTTCACTGTAAAGCAGAATGAGCTCTAACTTTTTGTTGTCTATGTTCGTCAAGATCTTTGTAAAAAATTGTTTTAACATTTTACAGGAACGACAGCAGGCGTGAAAGTAAGCCGGTACGCAGCGGTACGCTGTACTGGGAAGACATAAACAGCAGTTTACTGCCGCTATGCAGCGATACCATAGAATTTTTCTCCCCCCTGCTTGTGATGTTGACATGTAGTTATTGTAAGACTGGTTTGTGCCCAAGTCCTTTTTTTTCTGTACAGCTCTGTTTTTAAAAGTTATTAGGGGGTTCATGTTTTCTATGATTGACACCTGGTACAGCCTATGGGCATTCAGGGATTGCGTAGCTCTCCCGGGGGGATATGCTGTTTGAGCCAAGCGTCATCACAGGGACTCTCAAACGCTAGGTAACTCAAACGCTAACCAACCACGGATGGCACCAACAATTGTAAGGATGCCTAGCCCATGTTCACACTTTAAAAAATGGAAGGTCCACACGAATGATCATTTTGACAAGCTTTACTGGTTGCAGATCTGGGTTACAGCTTCATCATGCCACAAGTGTAACACAAGTGTAACAAAAATTGGTCTGAGACTGTTCAAGTATATATAGTCGTCCACGTTTCCAAACATTCCGCTTGCACCTTGTTGACCTAAAGGAGAGTCCATGTAGGGTAATAATAAAGCATAACATATTTTTGGAGCCTGAGTGATGTTAAACATGGGTACAAGCTCCTTGTTGAGGATGGTTGTCAGAGGCCCATGGCTCCAGAAATCTAGCACCAAAGTATCTGAGGTATTTAAGTGACACAGCTCCACCACCCTAAAGGCTGACATGACTGGCTAAAGAAAATCACCCTAACAATAATATAAACCAATCAGAAGCAACGTAAGGCGGGTCTTGGCGTCTCTAAATATCTTTCACACACAACAGCACCCACATTTGAAACCCACTCGATGTAATGCAATATTGACAAATAAATCTATTTTGTGAAAGTTCTTGTTACAATTTTCATCTCGTTAAACTTGGGTGTACTCCTCTTGTACAAAGCCTACAGGTACAGTTTACCTGCAAGAACCTTATCCTACTTTCACCTCTGGACAGCAGTACTCTAATATTTCTTTAATATACTGATATCAGAATTATGCACATATTCAACACTTTCTTACAAGAGTAGTTAAAAGATAATAAACCACAAAAAAGTTATATAAGTAAGACCCACCTAGAGTATAAGAGTTGAAAGGGTCACAAACCTGACCCCAGAGAGGCTGGCTGGCGTTTGTGGTTGTGTATGTGTGATCTGTAGACAAATAGAGCGAGCAGACACAGACAGACAAAGCAGCAGAGGAAGAGGCCAAACAGCAGCAGGACAGCTCTTGAATTCTAATCCGAGTCGCCTGTTTTGATTCGCAGAAAGCTGTCATGCAGCGAGCTGGGACAGTGTGCATCTCATCAGTGCTTGCACAGATCCTGAGTAAACACAAACACACACATTGACTGAGCAAAATGAATCTGACTCATGACAGCGGGGAAATATTGGATGTGAAAGAGCCAGCTGACCGTGGACAGACAGAAAATGAGGTGACCCCACTTAAGTGGGTTCACAATCAATTTCTGGACTGCTGTTGAAATAAAAAGCTGCATGAATTTGACTAAAACCCCAAATCATCGCTGGGATTACTGTGGTTGTCTCGCCTTTGAGATGTGACCTTACACGGGCACCTGAGGACAGTCGCTCGGCTCTTAACATCACAGATGTCTTGAGGGGGATTGGTTGAAATGAAATGTGACTGAGGGAAGGAAGTTAAGCCGACATCGATTCGTCTGGCGTGATGTATCGACCACGGGAGCTGCCTTTCTCCAAACTGATGAGTGCAGTGTACATACAGTAATTAATTGCAGAAATCTGTTTCAGACAATGATAAAAGAAGAGTATTACGCAACATTATTTTAACTCCTTACAGAAAACAGTAAAAACTCTGCAAAACAAGTGTCAGAATAATGTGTATAAATGTATATAGAAGTTATTATCTTACTCAAATTCTTATGTAAGAGTTTGCTACAAGTATGGACTGTTTTAACCTCTTGTTACACATCATATAAGAGTGTTTTCTAACTTCTCTCTCCAATAGCTTTATTACACAGCACATGAGTGTTTCTTAACTTCTCTGTGACCTTGTTTCTCCTATTAGCAGGTATGTGTGTGATGTAGCCTCCACTGTGAATCGTGGGAAGTAATGAGGAGGATCCGCTCCTATCAGAAAGAGCTCGTTTAATGTCAACAATGTCGCCTTGACCCTCACATATTATCTGTTGTTCATAATTATGTTTTATGAGAGTGCTTACGTTGCTGCACATAGTTTTTCCCCCATCCTTTAGTAACATTGTGTAACCAGGGACAACCCTAAATAAAGAGACTGGGCGGAAATACCTTCAGAATGGTTTTGAGATTGCAACTGAAACTATCTCTGTCCATTCTCCTCGAGTAAGAAACCATTGTCTTTCTCTTCTTTATATGTTTTCAGTCATTTGTTGCAGGTTTTAGACCCAACAACAAGCCAAAATGTTGCATGCCAAATAACTTTATTGGTTTCTTTCTATTTCTAGAGATTCAAATGATGGTTTTCTGGTCATTTTTTATGCACTTAATGCTATTATTGTGCAGATTTACTGGTTTCATTTGGGACCCAAAGGCTATGACCAATACGATACTTAAACATCAACACAGCAATAGCAAACTAGATTCACTACTGTCCCGGATTGAAGAATGACAACAACCGTTTTGCTGCTGTAGGATGGATAAAATGTTGAGTCTAAAATGTGTCTGTGACTTTGTGGCATGATAAATTTTCAGAGTTACACAGATTTAGTGTCATGGAGGACAGTAGTGGACTTAAAGGATGCCACCAAACCCATTAGAGTAATCCATGTTTGGCAGAAGCCCATTAAACCTCTGATAAATGGTGAAGTGCCGCCAGATTACTAATTAATTTTATTTGATATACGGGGAATAGGAAAGTCATTTAATCAGAAATCCATTAGCTGGTAACCATCTGAATTTTTTGGACCTGCTTTTGTTCACCAGTCTGATGTCTTCATCCTCCTGCTCTACATTGTCCTTGGCGCAGTTTCCCTTACATGATAGCTGACCCCACAGAGCAGGACAAACAATGTTTATTTGCAATCTTACATAATTGAATCTATAGGAAAACATTATTTCAGAGGGCAAACAAATGTGTTTCGAGGTCATGAGTAATTTCACAGTCACACAGAGGTTAAAGCGCCTGTTTTTCTGCTGTGATTCTGAAGTGACTGCAATTTCTACACAGATGGGTATCATGCAAAGACCTCTACTTTACCTGGATGAATACATTCAAGCTGCCAAATCACATAGAGGATTATTAGACATGTTAGAATTATTCCTCTCTGTGTGTACCCTAAAGCAAATAAACCTTAATTTTACCTATTATCAGCGGAAACAAATCCCTAGATGAAATGGGAATAGACTGTGTCAAAGGGATGGTAATGCTCTGAAGGACTTCTCTGGCTGACAATTATCAGATTTTCTAGATATGTAGCAGCTTAATTTTCTCTTGACACATTTTTCAACCTTGAGTTTTACTGCTGGATTAGAGGGAGTCATGCCTAAGCCTCAAACCTTTTTTTAGCCTTCTTTCAAAGGGCATGACCTCACCACTAATCCTCGCTGTATACATGAAGGCCTGTCAGAGAGGTCACAACCTCACAAGGCAAGAGAGTGACAGACAAAGATATGTAGGGATGACACACCTTTATGCTTTTTGTTGGCTGAGGATGTCCCAATCAGTCTTTTGGGGCTTCTGATCAGATTTTTTAAAACATTGAATATTTGATCTGAAACTTTTATTTGCCTGAGTAACAGAGCTGTGTGTTAATTTTTGTTGTTTTCTTCTACAAAAATAACTTAAATAAGCCAATAATTAAAAAGAACTTCTTGAACTATTCAATCAAACTTAGTCCAGATACATGAAATCTGGTTTACATACTCTGACTTGGCTTTCTTACTTCTTTTTTCTCACTTATTCCTAAACCAGAATACAGTATCAACCAACTTGGATCACTTGATGTTGGAAAGAGAATCAATCCATGTGCAGCGGGGCTCAGCAGTGACATGGGATTAACATCAGAAACCTCCAAATATCTGTCGTCAAAGTAACAGCAGTCATATCATGTTTTAAATTACCTCCGATGTTGTCACCAACTTTTCTGTACAGCTCCACGTGTCTGACATGAGGCGTCTACAGCAGGAAAAACAGCGGATCCAAAACATGACATACAAACCTCCATGAAGATCAAGTGACACATTTAACCCCCGTCTCTGCAATCTTTCTGGTCTCCTCACAGATATTTATACTTTCTTTTAAAGTCCAGATTGATGCTTCCGTCTTTTTCTGCCATAATGAACCTGTTGTGCTATGTTAGTTTTCAGATGTCGTATTTCTTTGGTAGTTTTGAACACAGCTCTGCTTTTAACACTTGGCTGAACGATCGTATTGCATATGTAGGCAGCTGTTAGACTATTCCCCCCTCTAATTTAAAATATTTCCACTCTATGAGGATGTAACCACAGAGTTGCTTATGTAATGTAATGTAATGTAATAGACTGTACTGTGTTTCTGTTTTCCCTGTAGAGTAACTGTAGGCTGCTGTAGAGCGGCTGTTGTTGTTGTAATCATGCAGTATAGATTTAGCATGAACATTTCTACTGAAGGTAAAGTATGAAAACAAGAAAATCATACTTAAATAAAGGTGCAACTCTGCCCCGTTGTTCTTGTTTCGTCCTGTATGGTGAATGGAGTGTCCCTTATCTTCATTCCCTCACAGCATAGCTTTGCTCTGACCCTCTCCTCCACCAGCTCTCACTTTAACTTCATTATCAGGTGCCTAGATCGATGTCTGATACAGTCTGGGTGAGAGAGGTGTGGGGAATGCTGAAAAATGTGATAAGTGGGGACTGCTGTATCTTCAATACGTTGTGCTGCAGCAGCACAAACTATCACACAGCCACAGGTAGAGAGAGGAGAGCAGGGAGAGGAGCAGGAAGAGGCGGGTGTGTGTGTGGGGGACAGAGGCAGCACAACCAGATAGAGGCTGCGTTGATCACCAGGGTTTACGAGCTAACAAATGTCAGGCTAAACTGTGAGTGTCATCGGTCCTTGTCATTATGACATAAAAGTCAAGGTCTTGATGTTGTAAAGCTGAAGGGTTGAAAAGGCTGAATTATGAAACGATCTGCAGACTGTGATTGAGTATGAGTGGTGGAGGAGCTCAGATCCTTCACTTTGATCACATTTTCATCCAGTTTAGTAAGTATAATAAAGTTCTTTAAGTGAAGTATCACTGTAGTAAAAGGACTCTATCAGCATTATTATAGATAATTTGTTTTGATATTACTGCTGTTAAAATGCAGTTGGTAGGCTTAGGCCGATAATAAAGGTCAAAGATACACACAGCATTTAAAGAGTCCTCAGATGAGCTTATATCCACATATTTAGAAATGAATGTATAAAAACAAACAGACCAGCACTCGTTTTTTCTCTTAAGGATACTCCGGCTCTGGCTCAGGTTGAGGTTTCCTTTTTTATGGCAGCTAATAATATTGGCTGTGGTTCAATTACCCATGTTTAAGCATGCTAATCAGGCTGTTCATTCATCCTATTAAGCCTTGCTATCTCTATAATTAAACAGAAGTTGAACGGTTTTACCAGCCGAATGGAAGATGAATGGATGTGCTTTGTTCCTGTCGCGCACTGAAACTCCCAGAACAGTAACAGATTTAGGAGAGCTTGGCATGCTTTAACCCGGAGTACACGCACTACTGCCAGAGGTGGAAAGGTGAAGAGTCGAATAATTTCTTTATACTTTTAAATACTTGACTGAGTTTTAAGGCAGGGACAAAAATACATGACCATCTTTTAAATGGTTTACCTTAAATATTGGAGTTGCTTTACAAAATGTTTGAATTTGATGTATTTTTGACTTAAGGTCTGCAAAAGTCTGTAGTCGCCGTGTTGCAGGATTACGAATGTCTTGTAGCTACGGCTCTACAAAACAACTCTCGAGTCACAACACACAGACACATGCTGAAAAATTCATTCCCCTTGAATACAGTTACTCACATTTAATGAAGCATTAATGCCTAATCAAGGCAGAATGTCGCTTTGAGAACGAAGAGCTGCAGAACAGCTGAGGCGTGCGTCACCCCCGGGTAACCCCTGTGAGCCTGGCTTTCAAAAGGTAACCGCAAACCAGCTCTGCAACATGAGCTGTGCTGGAGTTTTACTTTGTATGAAGTACAGCGAGGGAGAAAACGTGACACGGCCGTGGAAAGTACTCTGAAGCTAATCCTTGAAGATGTTACTGAAACGGTTCAAATTTGTTGACAAATGTAACACAAAACTACAAGAAAAGTCTTGCAACAGATGATATGCAGATGAGCTTATTTGAATTAATCATTCTATTATTTTGTCTATTAAATGAGGAAAACTTCCAAATAAGTTTATCAGAATTGAAGAGACAACTTAAAACTCTGTAATGTTCATTGATAAACCACAATACTCAAAGTTCAAACACGCAAAAAAAAAACATTCAAATGCAAATCTGTAAGAAACTGGATATTCACCATGTTTGAAGGAAACAAATAATAAAGCTATACTGTTGAAATCAGACTAGTACTGATAGATTATTTATTATTATTGCAGCTCCGATATGTAACAATAACCCAAAATGTTATCAGACAAATGTAAAAAAACGCAAAATATAATAATTTGTCAACAATGTAACAAAAGTGTTGACCCAGAATGTAATGAAACTCAAAATGTAACAAGTTGTTACATTTTGGGCAAAAAGTTATTACATTTTGGGCTCAGCATCTTGTTACATTATCGACCAGTTATTACATTTTAGGTTTTATGATATTTTATTATAATTATTATTATTATTATTTTTTACATTTTGGGTCATTGTTACATATCAGGCTCTAACAAGGCCTATAAGCAATATAGTAGCCTTCGTTTACAAACTATAGGCTTGTATTGTCTTGTATTTGGAGGTAATAACCAAAAATCTTTCTGCCTAATTGATGGATTTTCCACAAGCAACCACAACTCCATCACCAGTTAGTCTCCCTCATCCTTTCTCCAGTTTCTCCCCAGATCTATGGAAGCCCTAAGCAGACATGTTTGTTTTTTTTACCCCCGTTTTCTGGAGATCACAAGATAATTTTCTCGTGATCTCGAGAAACCAGGGGTAAAAAAAAAAAAAAAAAAACGCTTTGGGCTTCCGTACAGATCTAATTGTGGATGAATAAAATCTCTCTCCCCTTGAGCATGTCCAACACGGAAAAGCCTCACAACAGAAAGACACACACTCACTCTTAGATGACAATATGTCGTTTATTTTCTATATTTTAAAGGTTTATTATTTACAAACAAAATAAACAAAAAAAATCAAAAAGATTTTTTGACAAACACTGTTTGTCTGCATATTGTTGTAAGAAAGTTTACATTTACCTTTCTTTCGTCTGTACCAAGTAACCAACTGAAAGTTCGTTTTGTCTAAGCCTTGGATTACTTAAATGAGCTGAACAATGACCATGTGAGTGGGGTTGAAGAGGACCGAGCAGCTCCTTGTAGCTTCTGCCTCTCTCTCCACTACGCATCTCATCAGTAAACATATGAAACCTGTGATCACACAAACCAAATGAACATCTGGTTTGTCCTCCCTGGGCAATATCCTCAGTTCTTTTTGCATCTCTTTTATTATTCTCAAACCAACAGAAAAAAAAAACAACAAACAAAAAAAGAAATATACAAATATATGTGCTGGTTTGTTGAGTCTCTATACTGCTAATATGTAAGCTTGTAAGTTTGTGTTTTACATCACCATTAATGCCCATTCCGGTATGTTATTTGTGATTGGTAAAGTGAAAAAAAGCACATAGTTGGGAAGCTCTCCCTCCAAAGGCATGTATCAAGAACAGCACAAACTAACAGTGCTGCTATCCATCTCCACTGTGAACTAGTTCCTATACACTATGGCATATTCACAATTAAGCGCTCTCTGTTGTAAATAGAAACCTACCCGCCACCCCCCACCCCCATTTTGAACCTCATAAAGGATCAGGGCAGCACTAAGTCTCTGGGATATTTACCATATAAACTCAGTAGACATTTTCCTTTAATATCAAAATCAGGATGAGAAGCTGAAATGCTAGTCTACTGCTGTATTTCAGGGCATTTATTTTAATAGTAACAACATTCACTCCTCGCTAGCTCAAACTTAACCAAAAAGTGGATAACCTACAGAATAACCTTGAAAAAATGAGGGTTGTTTGGACTGTATCGTGACATGTTAACTGCATTTAAGCTACTAATACTGACCGTGACATCAAGAGGAAACGCCCACTTTTGTAAATATGGTGAATAACTCCCGTACATACTCATTCGACATCTAAGCTAGCTGCTAGAATCCACACTCTTTTATTAGTAAATCAGAAAGTGCAATTTAAAAAAAAAGAAAAAAAAAAAAGACAATGACTCAGAATGTTGCTTTGGCCAGTTTCCTTCCACACATCAATATTCAACCCAAACATCAGTGGCTATAGCTACAAAGAAAGGTATAAAGGTGCTCCGAATTTGTACAATGTCTCATCGAGCGTGATATGACTGCAAGTCTAAAGATTGCACTTTTTATTTTTTAAACTGTACACCACCTCATGGAATATTCTATATAGCTTGACTGACGATGTGAGAAAAACCTGCCTCTAGGAGTTCACATTGTAAGTAAAGATACCAATTGGATAAAGTGAGACATTTGGCCATCATCATTGCTTACTCCTTTCCTGTCTAGAAACACTGAGACATAGAACACATAGAGTATAGTAAGAATGAATGCGCAGTTGTGTGCAGAAGTGTCCCCCGTACGCACCGAGCTCACACTCATAACAAAGGATGGAACATGGCTATAGTTTAGGCACAAATACTTAAGAAATGTCCATGTGAAGAGTCAATGCTTCTGTTCACACACAGGTAACGTCTAGGCAGACAGACAATGAACAAAACAGAATCTAACATTACATTTAACGTCAACATTTTTGAGATAGTATCTTTTTAAGTATTTGTGACAGTGCATGCTTTCATGACATTGGTGGGTTGACTGCATTGGTACACTATCGACACAATCTGTAGCGAAGACTCTGTAATCTTTTTAAAACGGCAGCTTGAAGAGCTTCGTCACTTTGAACTGACTGGACGCTTCATGCCGTGAAAAGTATGACTCAAAAAAAGGAGAAATTCTGCATTTTAAACAGCAGTTTTAAGACCAAAGAAAGGCCATCCACGATCTACTGTGCGGTGCGCACAGGAAAATGGCCCGTCAGCTATTACGGCCATCTTTACATTTTGCTGAGTCGTCGTTGGCTATTGTTGGATTGGAATAATCCGAATAGCTTTTATCCTTTTATGATAGAGTCATAATATTCAGGCTTGACCTTGCATCTCCTACCTCTGACTGGAGTCCAGGTCAGTTTAGAGTACCCAAGCCCATTTAATGGATTTACATGAGACAGAAACCTTAATGCAAACCAGCATTTCTTTTTCTGACACCTCGGGGTGAAAATGTCCGCAAACCTGACGTCTTTAACCTTAGCGTGCGTTTATAAAAATGCTGTGCCAGGCTCTTCAACTACAGTGATTGTGATATGACAGCGTACAGTACAGTTTTACTCAACAAGCATTTGCGTGAGCACATACTTAAATTGTAGTTCTGGAAAAAAAGTGTGATGGATAAAAAAGAAAAAAAGCCTCATGTCAGTCCTCGAAGAATACATGAGGAACACGCCAGAAAGAGTTGCGGTTTTGTAGAAGACACATTTTCATTGGATGATTTTAAATGGAGTTGTGTATAGTTCAATATTGTGTGAGTGTGAAATTAAAAACTACACAAGGATGAGAAGTAGTATACAGAAAAAGAGAGAGAGAGAGAGAAAGAGAGGGGTTCTTAAAAGTCCTCCAATCAGGCATTTCTCAGCATCAAGTCCTGCTAGCTATTGCATTAAGGTTTGTCCATCTCTTATGAAACATATGTATTTAGTCGCTTAACCTTTTTCGCATATAGATGATATCCAGGTTCCTGATAGAAGTAAGACATTGTTATGATAGAGAATGCACCACACAGTATCTGTAAATACTAGATCTACAAAACTATTTACAGCACACATATAGGTAATCTTTATGTCACAGTCTATTGCATAATGGTGATAATCTTTAGTTTATAAATATTATAAATATACACAGAAATTTAAGCAACATTACATAACATCTCAGCCATCTGAAATCAGAAATAGAAAACAATAGCATCCATCCATTTCTTCCTCCACATGACGCTCTCCTCAAAAATAAACAAAAAGTAAGCAGCATTTCTATTATCTATTCCCTTTGGACCCATAACACTGTCATGGTTTGTATGCGAGCCGCTGTGGGGGCAGAGTGGCTCGGCAGACTGTACTTTTGTTGCCAGGAGCAACATAACACTCAGTTACAGTATCTGTGTTGAGTTCTGACACGAGGATTCAGGAGATTCGTTTTATGTGCGTGTGCTTTTTGAGATTATTCGTCATTTTGAGTCGCTTGCATTTATTATTCCACAGTGGTGCCTAAAGCTGCTTAATAGGAGAAGATAATTTTTCTCTTCCTCATTGGTAAAAAAAAAAAGAAAAAAAGAAAAGTCATTGTCAGAATCCACAATGCATTCCAGTTTAAAATAAAAAAAAAGAGAAATAAAAATACTCATACATCGTATATAATTCTTTATATTTCTCAGAAAGGAAGACTCATGTTTATACTACAGCTTTTGAATTGCCATTGCCAAATATTCTTGTTTGATTTTACACACGTGGTCACATGCACGCACGCACACACTCGCTCACACACCCATACGTACAGCAGCATATATACACACACATACATAAATATATGTGTGCATATATATTTTATTATATAGCGCAAAAGAAAAAAAAAGAGATGTATCTGTATAATATACATTCTTAAGTTAGGGGAGACAATGTGTCTAAAATATAATACAAGGGCTTGTATGTACAGGGTTTCTATGAGGTTATTTTAGAAGAAGATTGAAGAGAAACAAAAACGCTGAAGTTCCTCATTTTATCTCTTTTGTTTGTATCTTCATTTTTAAAAATGAATTGAAAGATATATATAGGTTTAAAAAATGAAAAGGGGAAAAAAATGGGATCATAAATTAGATGCAAAACGCATTTTGTCTTGCTCAGTCTCCGTACTGCTCAGCACTGAATCTCTCCTAGATCCGGGCGATTCCCTGTGCTGTGTTGAGGACGATGTTGATGATGCTGCTGCCACTGCTGCCGCCGCCGCCGCTGCTGCCGTGGCAGACCGCACCGGGGGCAGCGCTCCCGACGACATCTGGCGGAATAGGTTGACCCTCTGGGGGACTGTGGTGCGGATGCCGCTCTGCAGACTCATTCCTGGGATTGCCGCCGCCGCTGGGGGCACAATGGAAGCCAGAGAGTCTCCTGAGGCTGGGTGTGCTCTGGGCCCCAGAGATGTGTCGTGTGGCAGTGATGGTTGGGAGGCTGATAAATGTCTAACATCCCTGCTCAAGCTGCCTGACTGAAGAGCCTGTGTGCTCTTGTGGATGTCTCCCCGCTGAGGTGACGGCACCTGCTGCTGCTGCTGCTGCTGAGGCGACGCCTGCTGCTGCTGCTGCTGCGGCTGCTGTGCTGCTGACCCTGCGGCGGCGGTTGACACTGCAGGTTGTTGTGAAAGCTGTGGCTGTGAGGATAGAGATGGTTGGGCAATAGGCTGCTGGATAAGTGACAGCTGGGAGCCTGTGCGAGAGCCGTACTGGAAGCTCCGGTTAGCCAGAGGGGTCTGGACAGGTGGACTACACATTGCGGCAGTGAAGGAACATGGTGACATGATGGCTCCCTGCTGCTGGAGTGGGGTCTGTGGGTTGGTGGCGGAAGAATTAAGGTTGCCATGGGAAAGACTGGGAGCAGGGTAGACTCCTTGTGCTGCAGCAGCGGCGGCAGCGGCAGCTGCTGGCAGCATGCGAGCAGCAGAAGCGTTGGCGATAGCTGAAGCGCTGTAGGTCAGGGGCACGGAGGACTGCTGGAGCTGGTTGGTACCAAAGGTGGTGGGAAAGGGCGGCTGAGCTGGTGAGTTAATGATTGAGTTTCCTGACATTGGAGTTGAGTTCATCCCGGTGACTGACTGCTTGCGGTCCACCATCATCACCATCTCCCTGTCCTGGCGGATAATCTGCTTCAATATCTCGTTCTCCTGCGTGTTGAAAACGCCTGCGTTCAGGTCCTTCTGAAACTTCTGCAGCAGCAAGGAGTTCTTCTTCCCTGTTGGGGTACAGTCAGGAGAGGTGAGCATGGAAAGAAGTGGCAAACTCTGGTTACTCTACACCACAATAAAACATCAGGAGCTACAACAGCAGAGATGAAGATGCAGCTTGTTTTCTGCAGGAAGACTTTGGATATTTGCATTTTTGTTTCTTCCAAAGAAGATCTCCAATACTTTGATTGAAATAACCCCCTCCCCTTTTTGAACCCCTACAAGCTGCATCTTTTCACGTCTACTAACTTCTGTCATATTGAATACAAAGATTAAAGGACATTGAATGGTAATGACTATGCAAAATATACATTTTGAGAGGAGTGAGGGACACATAAGGGGACAGATTACTGAAAGTGTGATGTGACAGCAAAGACTGTGAAGGTGCTGATGTGGACAATGAAACACAGAAGATTATTGATACCCACACATCAAGCTACTAAGCTTACTTTTTATTTTAAACAATGAGAAAAACGTCTACTTTCTTGAGTAAATTCAAAGATCCATACTACTTTATTTAAACCAAGGCGACTCTGCTAAACCACAACACAAAGACACTAAAAACTAACTTTGAAAAGAATCAAACAAAGAAAAAACACAAGTATAGAAATACACACAAATCTAATACAAACACACCAGCTATAGGAAACAGTCTGCAATTCTTAATAACTGATCTTGCTTATTTTACCACAGGCTGCGTTATTATTTCTTATCATGGAGAACTGCACTGACGATCTAAAGTGCACATCCTGTTATGTTTTATTATCATCATGATAATCGGTATAATTTTTTTAATATTGGTGTAAACAAATTATTTTTACAAGTGCTGTATTTATGCACTACAAAGAGAATTTAAAACCCTCCAGGTCTGATAATCTTTCTCAGCCTGTTAAAAGAAATGTGGCGTGTTAATAAAAGCCTGGCAGATGGCGTTTTTAAACACCAAACACTCATGCTGCTCTGGGAGTTTGGGAGCAAACTGTGGTAAAATGCTAAGTGGCTCTAAAAGCATGAAAGACGTCTTGATACTGGTCTTAAGTGGAAAGAATTTCCTCATTTGACTCTAATATTAAAGATCTGTTTATAATGTTCACTCTGAATGACTGAGTCCTGATGTATTTAGAGGATGTGTTTCCTGTAATTACTGTTGACCTTGTGTCTGGACAGCCTGTGAGGCGTTATTTGTCAGTAAAGAAGACAGAGCTGACTTTAGTGCGCTGAAGGCTTTAGCCTCAGTCAATCAATCATTAAGCTGCGTCCTTGAGGGTAGAAGATTTCTGCACAGAGTTTACAGTCGAGCAGCATTTGTTGGACGGATTTCTCTCCTCTCAAGGCTGCCAGCGAGCCGGCTGCTGAGCTGTGGACAAGACTCTCACAGCTGTAAGTGCTGAACGCGGATTGATGTTGTACTTTTGCAACCATTTCTCAGAATCAAGCTCTCCATTTTGACATGGTTCAATTTAACTGAGACATTCACTATAGGGTCGGGGAGTTCAAAACTAAACTAGCACCAAATACAGACTGCTAAAAACTTACAATATGGCTTCTGCAATTGCATTTTTAAAAGTGACAGGATTGAACTCTGTAAATTGAAAGAACAATGAAACGTTTTTTTATTTCTCCCAAAATAACCTGTGAGGATCTGAACGTCTGCTGGGGGTTCGAGAGAGGGATGCAGTTAGGAAATCCACAGCAACAAACATCAGTCAGTGTCTACAATTGTCATCAGTTTTATAAGGAGAATTGCATGAAATCTTAATTTACAAAACAATTTCTTAATCTGCTTTGGTCTTAATTCCTGTAGGCTCCGACACTTTGTCAATAAGGCTGCTTTATCAAAGTTTTTATCACAAAATAAGCAACAGAGGAACAGAAGTCAAAGTCTGTTGTGTATCAGAAAGAAGAGGAAAATGGACACTTTCAACTCATGCGGAACCTTTTCTTTTCAGGTATAATCTTCTCAGTTAATGTATCCCAGTGTCAAAATTAAACAAGTTTTGAAAATGCAGTAAAGCTGATCTCTAAACAAAATAGAAAGTTTTTACTCCAGTTATTACCCGGCTTTCTTTCTCTTTGAAAACTTCATTCTGATTGGTACTTCATACTAACTCACAAAAGCAACTAGGGGGACAACCTGATCACAAAATGCTTGTAATCCGTCTGCAGACAGAGTCTGGCACATTTCACCTTTGCCTGTTGACACTTTGGCAAAAACATGACCTTCCATTAACTTTTAAATAATGAAGTAAAAATGTAAAATTTTGTGATAGTTGAGAGGGTATTGTCTGGGCCCTCGCTATCTCTAATAGGGGAAAGTGAAGCGACATCCTGTCCTGCAATCCATGCAGCAGCAGTATCTCTAAGTTACAGTTGTAACTATGGAAACTGAGGGCCTGTTTTAATAAATCAATCATTTTACATCAATAAAGCATCTTTAAAGCAGTATTTCATGTCTACTTTTTGTTTCTTTGATTGGAAGTCGAGTAATAAGAGGTCAAGTGTATAATGAACAGGTGGTTATGCAAACTCAAACCCCTCAGCTTTGCCGCTAGGTCCCACTTGAACAATGCCAAATGTTAAATTTACATTACCACCTGTTCACAATGCATAAACCCTTCCTTAAAAAGAAATATTGCTCTATTAAAACATAATGCAAACAAACAAAATGTAACCACCAATAAGTATTTGAGGAAGATTTTTTTTACATTAGAAATGGATCAGATATGGGTTGAATTAGCTTTTGAAATCATTATAATAAACAACTGTGTTAGTCATCCTATGAAAACTTCTGATTTGTGTTCAACATGCAAACTGCAACCATCAAAATCCTTTTCTTTTTTCTCCACTATTACCACTTAATCCAGTAATCCCCATATCTGAAACCCAAAAGATAATTTAGTATAAACAGTCAAAAAGTCAACTTACAGACTACACAAACACAAAAAACAAGCAAAACATAAATATCATAATGTAAACAAACATGTCAGAGAAAATAAAGGCTATAAATACATAAATACTGGGATGAAATCAAGTACTAACAGTGAAATCACTCATTGTAATTTGATGGATAAATTGATAAACAGTCTTATAAGTTTCTTTTCTTTGAAAACACACCACATGGAAAGTGTTTTTTCTTTAGTCCTCCTCCTGTTGAGGGGTTTGAAGTTCAACATTGAGAATTATCTGCTGTTAATGTGTCAAAACAATGATTTCTGATGTTACCTCTGTTAAATATCACACTGACTTTCCTTGTGTTGTCTTTAGTTGTGTACAGTTTGTAGTTCCCCCCTGACCATTTACACAGAGACAGACTTCCTATTCAAAGTCAGACAATCAGAAACAAACTTTTCTTTTGATGGAAACATGAATAAAAAAATGAAATGGGATATCTGCATGTAACAGAAACTGTCTATGGAGTTGCATTAGTAAAGTCTTTACTAATCTGCAGGAATGGTTTCATTTGTGAATACACTTTGAACAAAGCGTTCAAAGATTGAACTAAAAAAATGTCACACCAGCATGTGCTTATAATCCAGCTGATTATTCTGCCACAAAATAAACATGGCATGTGACACTGAATGGGATTGTTTTTGTTTCTCTGATTGTCTTAGTTGTTGACATTTTGAATGTGTCCATCAAAACATCTGCAGGACTGGTGTGGGTGACTTGAGTTATGTATTACTGATGCAGGAATTAAACAGTTAATGTAACCTTGATCAGTGATAAGTCAAAGTCTTGGAGGATGAATTTGAGACCGGATCCATTAAGCAAGCCTCTATAGGTCAATTTGTCCCTGTTCGAATATTGGAATTGGAATAAAGTGTTTACCTGATGCCTACTCGTCGGCCAGGACACTCTTGAAAACGAGATGTGCTCGTCTCAAGACGGACTCCTGGTCAAATAATTTTTAGATAGATAAAAGATAATGTCAAATGTGCAACATGTTATTGGTTTCATTTCTTTCCGTTTTTGAGCAAGACAAGCATGTTACCAAATGCAGTTCATATATAGAAACGATACAACCAGCACGGATCATGACAAAGTGTCTTCCCTCGTATGAGACAAAACCCCCTTCATGGTTAGTTTGGAAGGATGGATCAAATCTATGTCACTCTGAGAGGAGTCGGTCAGATTGGGAAGCTCACTGTAGGGCTGCAGTGAACTCAGCTGGTAGCTCTCAGAAAAAGGGCAAATGTAGATTTTGACTGTTGAGGTCAAAGGGCATATAGTATGGTAAAGATCCATACATTTTAATGCAGGGCAAAAAATAAAAGGTGTTTAATTTTATCAGTTTATGCCAAAACACGCAACCTTGTCTCCAGTGAATAACATTCATATGCAGCTACTTCGTGATCAGTTTCTAGTGCTGAGAAGAAGAAGAAGAAATGTGATAATATACGAACAGGCTTAGATACAAAGTGTTGTACTGGTGGATGAAAGTTTCTGCCCCACCTTTTGCAACAAATCACTAAAAAATTTGTTAAAAATCCCTCTAACTTATTTGCCCTTAAGTAATCAGATTCTGTAGAAATAAAAGCCCTAATAGTGAGCAGATATGTTTATTATATGAACTCTTGCAGACAGGCTGGTTTTAGTGTTTAGCTAACTACTATATCAGTGATTCAATTTACCATTATTTCACCCTGAAAACAATATTCATATGAATGTAATTCTGAGGAGAAAAGGTTGTCTCAACAGTGACCGATCTGGTCTAAGTTTCTGATTTGACTTAAAGTGGTCTTGTTCCTGACAAGCTAATATATCAAAATGTATATATATGTGCCTGTGTGGTGCAAAATAACACACAAATACAAAGCCATGACAAAGGAAAAGCGACAATAACAGATAGAGAAGTAGATACAGAATGCAAGCTTAACCACTGATGTGAGACAACATCGACACATGGTCACTGTGCAACTTCAACTTTAGTTTTTGTATTCAAGCAATGTTGATTTTTTTTAGCAAATAAAATAGGGAAACAAATCACCAAACATTATCATCCGTAGTTTAATTAGCAGGCATAGATATTTGTTAACAAGGACTCATCTCTATTGGTATAGCCGGCAGCCACACTGAGACAGTTTGGCTGATTTATGCTATACAAGGCAAAAATGAGGTAAAACACCCGTAAAGGGGGCATTCTCAAAAAATCCCCTTTTAACAATTAAGACTTGTACTTAGCTGTTAACAGTTATCAGGAGCTTTACAATTAGTCATCAAAGTCTCATCAATCACCGTCATATGGCAGGCAATTTCCTCTGATGTCATGCTCAGGGTGGTAAACATTATATGCTGTTATAATGCAGTATTGTTGTGTTCTCTGTTCGAAGTAAGGTTTAAGTAGGGAATCTGAGATATAGTTACCATTCACTGCGCTCACATTTATCATATAAAATAAACAAGTGGCGCCAGTGTGCAAGTGACAATAAAACTGCAGTTCCTCAAGTGTCCACTGGAGGCTAGCTCCAAAAGCAATGGAATCTCCATTGGGTTCCATATGAAAACGTAAATTTGTACAGCAGCGTTGATGTTAAAAACACAACAATAGAAAATAGTTTTGGGTAAGTATGTGTTGTTGATAATGTTGCACAAGTATGTGTTTATGAAAAATAGTGGTATTATCACTGTGGCTGTTTGCCTGCAGGCTAAAGGTCTGCCTAAGCTCCATATCTTTGCGTGACTCCAGATCACAGACACTATAAAACAGCCTACTCTCAGTAACCTCACTCATTGACTTCTGAATTCTGGATTATGAAGTGGGCCGATGCCGTATTTAAAATGCTGACTCATGCTAGCTGTTGGTTGACCTGGCAAAGGGGCAAAGAGGCAGGATTGTGGCAGAGCTTTAGCCCTCTTTGCTAACAGCCGCAGTGCACCCAGCTGACAGTCAAGTCAGCCAAACCATTAATTTAGTCTAATAATACATGACTTGCAACCTTAATAGGTGATAACAAAAATTCACCTCAAGTGTGTATGACATGGCCCACTCAGACCATTACTGATTTTTTATACCAAGTTGTAAACAAGTTAATTTCAACTATAAAGATGGACGTTTAAGCATGTGTGTTCATGAGCTTTTGAGGCCAGCCTCGAGCAGTTCCCAGCCCTTCAGTATTGACTTCTTTTAAGCATCAGAAGTTGCTGCTTAATCTAGATTGATTGAACGTTAGGGCCGAGTCAGCACTTCCAATATGCTGATCACCAACATTTAGGCTACAGAACAAATCTCCAGAAACTAATCACCGAGACAAGGTCCATGTTCGACACAGTCTATGTAAATAACAGACGGAGCATTACAACGGAGCATTACAACATCATGGCAACATCATTACAGCAACTATGTTGCCTGCCTGAGCATGATGAGGAAAAATTACCTCTATTTAGCCAATTTCAAGTGTTTCGAGACTTTGCTGCATCCATATGTTTCAAGTGTTGTAAATGTTCAGTAAATCAGTGCGTACCAACCACTATTAAACTGTTTTATTGTGTTTTTACACCATTTCCTCATATGTCTACGGCGACTTCAAATTGCATGAATGTGAATTCACTCTATTTTTATTGTGTATTATCTTTTTTTGCCAACCTCATTTGGGCAATCTGCACACAACTAGCGAAGTGATATTCAAAATTTTCATGGCACACCAACTTCAGAATACCACCAACATAGTGCCAGTAAGGCACATCAGTAATGTGCCAGCATTTTAAAATTACCATAGCAAGAGATCCTGCACTATATGTGCTTTTCACATGTGTTCTTACTGCAGTGTTTTCAGTTGTAACAGATATGGATGAGTCAGACGGTGATACCAGATTTCAAAATGGGTACAGCACTGCAGTAACTGATAGAAAAACATGATAAAAATATTTGTCACTATGAACCGATAGTGTACTAAGTGTGTCTATACCGTATGAGTAGGAAAAGGTTATTAAAGGAGAGCATTATCATTTCAAAAAGATGCATCAAGCTAATACAGGAAAACATAAGCAGAGACAAAGACATACGATCTACGCCTGCAACTCAAAAAAATAATCCTTTTAGACAACACTTTCACATCAACTTAGCATCTTCTACATGTTTTATTTATGAATGTGTCAGTCCTATTAAATGTGCTCCAGCAGACAGATACAGAGGGATTGGGAGAATGTGCAACATAAGGGTCAATACAACCAATTATTGCCCTGATGTGTTACATACATGTGCCCCTTTTTTCAACTGTGACAGATCTGTGTTAGTGAGAAGTATTATCACGTCTTTGACCTCAGCTGGGATCTGTCATGAGAAAGTTGTTTGATAATACTGTTGTATCAGACAGTGAAGATAAGGGAGTATTCTGGATGGGGGAGGATTACACTTTAACGGGTCCTGCCTGCTGGCAAACCAGGCCGGACCTGATGTATGACGGGCTGCTAGTGCCTGAAACAACTCCCTGATGCCACCTGGCCCTGCACTTTGTTTGTCTTTCGACAGGGCCCGGTTGATTTGGAGAGCTCTGATACGGGGCGGGGTGCTGCTCATACCCAGGAGTGCAGATGAGTGGAAAGAGGGCCGGACACACATGCATGTGAGGTTAGCTTCCATCCACTCGCTGACATCCAGTGGGGGGGTCAACACCAAACCAACGAGGGGGCGAACTGACTCCCTCCCGGACAGCGACATGCACTGCCTTCCAGTTAATCCAACCACAAAACGCCACTTTGGTTCTTTAGAAGGATTAATGCTGGTTACAACAGATTTTCCTCTATATTATTCAGGACAAAGAGACGGAAGTAAACAAACAACAACAAAAAAGAGACAGAAATAAGAGCATACAGGTCATGCAGCACAAGATGGCAGACACAATGCTTTTGTGATGAGAAAAGGCAAACAAATACTGAAAGACAAGACAACAAGGCACGATGACAGGCAAGAGGTTCGACCAATCAGGACAAGGATTAGATGTCGGCAGGTCTTACCAATGCGGTCCAATCGGTCAATAGCAACAGTTTCGAAAGCCCGTCGCATCATGGGGTACTCTTCTAGCACCTCATTGAAATGGTCGACAGAGAGGGAGAAGAGTCGGCAGTAGGTGTCTGCACGCACACTCGCTGTCCGTCTGCCCTTGGTGAGCAGACAGATCTCTGTAAAGCAGGAAAAAAAGAAGATCAGCTTGACAGATGAAAAAGCAGTAACAGGAAGAGAGTGCACAGAGACATTCAGGGAGTTTTCACCCGTAATCACAATAGAGATTACCATAAAGATGAACCTAAAGAACACAAGGTACAGGAGCTGAAGCTAATGGCAATGTAAATAAAATGAGAAGCTCATCAGTGGTGCTGTCACTTGCATTCTAGCAGGATAATTCATCATCCAGCCGAGGCCTAATGGTCTCATAATATGATACAGTAGTCAGCTTAAAAAAACCCTGTCAGGCATTGCTGCATCGCTGCATCACTACTCGGCTCCAGCTCTCTAATGTAATATACATCCAAGCGTGGGTACAGTTACACAGCATTCCAGTATTCAGCTCAGTCATCGTCTTTGCTTTCACACACAACAATACCCGGCATCCTCTCCTCATAATTCAACAACAATTCATCAGTAATAATGACGCTACAGGCTCATCACAGGTGTAAATGTCACTTTTGATGACATGTTGGCTGATCAAATTGCAATGTTGTGATTACTCAGCGGGGTTTGGAATGAAACAGGACCCCACTCTGACCTTACATGCAAAGCCTAATTCAAGTCACTCAATCAGGAGGAAGTTAAGTGTGTCAGGGGTTTATCTCAGAGTAGGGTGCTTGTTATTGCTAATACTCATTTAAAACCCAAATTCTTCCTAACAGCAATTAAATGATTACAAAGGGAACTCATGTCGAGAGGAAAAGTTCATGCTTTTTATTCAGCATGAGCTTTAAAGCTCCCATCAGGAGTTTTTTTTTTTTAGATTTAACAAAAAGACCGAAATTCATATTAATGCCTTTCAACGACATCCAAAAACAAACAAAACCATCAGAGAAAAGACTGGCAATTTATACATCACTGTTTTTTAATGGCTAAAACCTGCAAAGACTGCTTTGTCCACAGGGGGCGCCAAATTTGACACAAATGGAGAGTTCCCCACATAAACTGTATACACTATGGACAACTTGGTTCCGCCTTCCGTCAGTATATTAGAAGCGAAAAAGCTCTCGGTATTTCCGTGATTTTTCTTCATTTCCTGAAACCAACATTGCGTACTAGCGTTGTACGCATTTAGCGGGAGAGTCACCGAGAGTCGCTGTGATGATGCTTGGCTTAAACAGCGTATCCCCTGGGTGAGCTATACAACCTTCGTACACCCATAGGCTGTATCAGCTGTCAATCAAAGAAAACATGAATCCCCTAATAACTTTTAAAAACTGAGCTTCACAGAAAAAAGAGGACTTGAGCACAAACCAGTTTTACAGTAACTACATGTAAACATCGCAAGCAGGGGGGAGAAAAATGTATATTCTGTGTGATAAATTTCTAAAGTTTGTCCATGACGCCATAAGCTTTGCTGGCAGAGGCGGGATCTATGACCTATACTGCAGCCCGTCACCAGAGGGTGCTGTTCTCGGAGTGGATTCACCCAGCAAGGAGGCAGACGGCGTCCATTCTATATACAGTCTATGGTTGCTTACAAGACGTTCAAAGACCAAAGTAATGTTTCGCAACTGATGCGAACAGCTGAAAAAATTTTGTTTCCTTGAAGTCAAATTAAAATCTTATACGAGACAGAGTGCATGTTACTGTACAGAGTATGTGATGGTGGCTAAAGCCTGATGAATGTTGTATGTTGAAGACCGATGCCAATGCTGATTTTAGAGCAATACAGATACAGCGACTGATAGAGTACTACTTTGTGTGTAAATAAAGCAGTACTTTTCCAAATATTAAAATATGACTCTTCAAATACGTAAATATGTGTCTTTCTTAAACATGATACACATATCAGAAAATGTTTATCAGTCTAAACAATATCTCACCAGTGATTCATGAACCTCCCATTGATCCTGCTCTATCCCTCCTTCTTTGCCCTCGATTTCTCTCCGGTCTTGTTCAACCGCCAACACCACACAACCTCCACCCACAGTTTTGCACTTCCGTCCGATCTACAGCTGCGACTTCCATCTTCATTAAACCGTTAAATGTTAACCTGTCATGGTGCGAGCTTTCTCAGCCATGCCATGAGCCGTCATGAAAATAGTGCAAGGTGTGAGAGCATCGCCATCAAGCTGAGGGCGTGAATAAGGTGTTAGTGTCGTTAAAATGGAAAACCTCCCTTTTAAGCAGCACCTCTATTATCGTATATGCAAAAAGAGACAAAAGAAAGACACATCTTTTGTTAATTGCAATTTCTCCTGATGGGAAAGGAAGGCACACAAAGAGTTTGACCATAAGTCTGCATAATACAAATACAAACACTGCAGCTTAATGCAACCATCTTTGTTTGGCTGACATACAGCATACAAATTCATAGCATAAAACATCTTTCAGAGGAATCATTTGCAGCTCTTAGAAATGTCTGCCTTCACTGGTATTTTGTGAAAAGATTGAAGTCTATTCACGGCTTCCTAATATCAAGCTCGGCAGGGTCTTTCTTTACGCTTTAGTTGTAAATGAGCCTCAGAAATACGGTAAATTAAGGTTTTATTCCTTGCTTTTAATGTTTATGTTGAGCTGAGAAAATGTTGGGTTGTATTATGGTCTTCATCTTATGGTACAAATCTTTCTTATATAAATTTTGTAAATATATATGTTGTTTTCTTTACCAATCTCGAGAGTCTTGCTGTTTTCTTGCCTCCTCTCTGTGGTGACATCTGGGATACAACAAAATAACCTTCAGAATGTTTTAGACAAAGCTGGAAGAGATAATCCAAAAATCCCTGAGGAGCACTAACTGTCTGGCTGCCTAAAATAATTTCCTGGATTTACAAATAGGGCCTCCCGAGGTCAGGTTTCATGGGAGCAGTTTGTTCAGACTCCTGTTAGTCCAGGACTTAAGTCACTATTGCTCAGAAAAGACAAGTAATTTAGAGGTTTGGTTTGGGCGTTCTGAAGTGGACAAGAGCTTTAGAAATCGAAAAAAAAAGACGGTTAGTCGCAGCTGGGGATGCTCGATGGGATATTAGATTGTGAAGGATTATAACATGTTCGCAATCTGCAAATCCAGAGAGATCATAGTATGGGAATGATCTGCCGTCATCTGCTGCAGTTCTTTGCTCATACATTGGCACATGTTGGTGTTACAGACCAAGCATTTGGGTGCAGACCACAGGTGAGAAAAGAAAATCCACTACTATGCATGCCGAGTATGAAATTCTGGGCAAGTATTTTCAAGTTTTCCTGTGCGACACAGGGTGCACTGCAAAGATGGTAAACAGAAAGACAGTCTCACTGAAAGAACAGGATTACCCCACACTAAAATGCTTATCTGAGTTTAAATCATTTTAATTAAGATTGTGTTAAAATACTTAAATCAGAGATGGGCCATGAGGAGTTAAATGGTTCTAGAAAGAGTGGATTTGGGTTTGGTCTTGATAAGTTTAACGATGAAGATGGAGTCTTGTCCATGTTAATAATTCGTGGTCATTATGAACTGTTCTTGGCTTAGATTTGGCCAAATTGGCTGAGATAGTGTATCATCCTTTTTTCTTCAAGTATTATCATCCCTAAAAGTAGAAATTTGTTTGGCTTTCCTGGTCCTGAAGATGTCATCGTCGTCATTTAGCCATGAAGGATTGGGACATGATATTTTTGCCATATCATGCACCCCTAGCTGTGGCTCTAATCCGATTTCACCCAAAACAACAAAGATTTTCAGGCCAGCAGAGGAAACTGTTTACTGAGTCCTGGAAAGTGCACTTATTTAATTGATTTATTGAACATTTGCAACTTGTAAAAAGCCACTTATCAAATTCAGTCATGGGGACGAAGCATCATTCATTTCGTAGTATGTGTCTGTCTGTTTGATGACTTTTAATTTGATGGCCACTCTTTTAATCTTAATCCAGTGCTTGCTTTGCAGTTAAGTTCAAAACACGACTCTTTTGATGCTATGAAATGCGTCACAGATGCTGGTCAGCAGATTCTCCTTAACTTTGAATGGAGCTGGCTACCAAAATTTATGCTAAGCTCAGCTAAGCTTCATCTTTTCAGTATCAGACACTTCAGTGTTGCTGATGTCCAAACCAAGTGGTTAACAAGACACTTAAAAAAACAGGTTTCTTTAAATCTAAACCCTGCTGAATTTGCAAAAAGATAAAATAGCTATGACATGCAGAACAGCTTTGCTAAGGTGACCCTGACCTACCAGTGAGTATCAATAATAAAACAACAAGGATGGAGAACGTCTTGCCAGCTTCCTACCTGTCAATGCATCCCAGACTTGAAAACACAGACAGTCATACTACAGGCCTCTCTGCCAGTGTCAGAGAATTTGAGTATTAGCAGAAACAGATTATTGGCTTGAGTAACAGCAGCAGATAAACCTTTTCTTTTTTCAGATTTTGCTCTCCTCTGTTGGAAAATCAGTCTCAAACTGTGCTAATTCACTCTGACAGGCCATACCGAACTCCAGCGGTGAGTGATTGTTTGGGAACATGAAGGGATCACTCTGACAATGAGCTGACAGAGAGCAGACAAAGAGCAGGAGTTTGTATTTTTGGGCCTCGCGGTTTTTGCATGATGTACAGTCTATACAGCATGGTCTGCTATTTAAAGTCATAGCTTTCCAACATCTACTGGCTGTGATAGTTAAGTTTGGAAATCCAAGTCTCTCTCTCTCTCCGACTGCAACTCCTTAAGCAGGTAAAAATTGGTGCATCCAGGCACACTTAGGCGCCTACTTTACCCTCTGCTGTGACTGGCAGGTGACAAAATTGACAAAATTGCAGACTTGGAGCAGTCTGACGTTTTAAACCTCTTTGCACTGTCATCTAAAAGACACGTGTGAGCACATCTGTACTCCTATGAGTGTTTGTGTGTGTTTGTATAAGACTAGACCCCTGTTAACACCCCCCATAATGCAGTTTGACACGTGTCAGTTGCCTCGCCACAGAGCGTCACCGCTGACCCCGGGAGCATTGCTGATAATTTGCCATCACTTCATGTGTCACGTACTCTCATGGCAACCAGCTTCCCCCCCTTCCTTGTTGCCCTTCTCCCCTCATGGCAGCGACTTAGAAGAGGAAGTCCCACATGACTCAGACATTCAAGCCCAATAGGGATTTTCATCTTCTGTCTGTCATTGTCCTAGCATTACACTCTATTAATCGCGTATTCTCAAAGTGACTTCACTGCAGAGCTGTGTGGCAGCGATATGTAATCCCATCTACGGTGGCCCGGGAGTGATTACTATGATATCTTTTTAGCATGCAGGCGTGGCGCTGACCGTGGATGGAGGTGCTTTTTGACCCACTGTCCTCGAAGATGTCCTCCTCATTACTATGCTAATGGTTTCATGTGCCTCAGCTCGGTTTTTGTTGCCCACTCTCCCTCCCTCTGTTTCTATCTCACTAATTTCTTATTCTGGCCACGCTTTGGCCCGGTTGTAAGGAGAGTGTGAATCATTGGAGAAAAGGGGAGAAGAGCGAGGTGCCTGGCACAACCAGCTGCTCCCAACTCAGGGCTCATAACTGATGCCATACAAACGGGGGGAAAATACCAGCTGGGCAGAAGGCAACAGCAGGTGGCCGGGCACCAACAGAGCCCAGTAAAATGAAAAGTGCAGCATTATTACACGGACAGGACACATCTTTAATTAAAAGATTAAAAGATTCAGCCTTCGACAACATCTACTCTGCGCGACATCCACTGCTGTCTCTTTTTGTTGATTGGATTTGAGATTCTCTTCAGCTTCTTGCCGCACTAATTGCACTCATGAACTTCTATTGTATTCTGCTGAATCAATATGTACTCAGCTGTAATTTGGGAATCGCCGTTCATAATGAGAACTCACGTCAGACAGCAAATTGAAAGGACAAATAAATTACGATTGTGCTAAAAATGACCTTTGCGATGTTTTTATCAGAGCTTTAACAAAAACGTCTAAAATGTCTGATAAGAAAAAATGTCCTTAGTCAAGCATTTTTCCATGTTTTGACAAATATCTACCAAGAAAATGAAGCATACATTAATAATTAACAAGTAATTTGGCCATCCTGTCCTCCAATCATTGGAATGGGCATCAGCCATTGAAAAACCATATTGGTTGACCACTACCTCTTAACATTGAAGTGTATGTACATTTAATCAAAAGGTGGACCTGTTAATGGAGCAGAAATGGCTCTGCCCATTGGTCGGTCAGTTTAAAGCTAAAGAAGAAGCCCAGATAGGTCATCAAGAACCGAGTCCAGTTGTCTTTTGGGTTAAACGCTAGGGATGACCGTGATTGGTTGACAAAACAATAAAATATAACCCTCACTAGTCATTGCTTATTATTTAAACAACATGTAGTTGTGAGGCAGCTGTGGTTCAGTAGTAGAGTCGGTTGCGTCTAAATGGGAAGACTGGTGGTTGGATTCAAAGTCCAAAGGTGCCAAAGTGTCCTTGGGCAAGACACTGAACCCCAAATTGCTCCCCTCGGCAGTGTCAGCAGTGTGGATGTAATGTGAAAGCACTTTGAATGGACTCGACACAAGACAGAATGCTACATATATACAGTCTATTCACATTAATATCCAAATAAGCCAAAAATGCTGGTTATACAACGTATGTTGTGTCCGAGCCGTAGTGCAGCCACCTGTCATTGTGGCTCTAATTAATGGCTATTGCCGTGATGCTATAAGGCTCTAATACTTGGATGTAAAGAAGCACAGATGGTGTCTTGAAGCCTCACACGGATTGACAGTATTTTGATTAAGAAAATGGAGATAAAGTTGCATGTATACCCTGTCTGAATAAACATATAACCACTCAGCTGGACGATTGTGTAACAAGCACAGGGATGTACACATTAACCTGAATTAATCCTTGCACAAGATGGCAGCAAGGATACAGCTGCTATAGGCTCTGTAAGGTGGGGAAATTTTTCAATTTTCTGTCAAAGTTTAATCACAAATCACTCTTCACACTGAGGGTACGCTTCTGCTAATTTTATTCTGTTTTCTAAATATTAAAGCTCCAGTGAGAAGCTTTTGGTGGGCAAACTGGTATGTACTGTGACCTTGCTGTTTTTTCAAGGACATATCTAGTCAGGGTTTTCTGACATTGATGTAACCCTTTTGTCTCTTGACCTTAAACTGCACACTCATTGGAAAACTTAGTTTTTGAAAATGTATAGTAAGACTCTTTCTTGTTTGACACTTAGCCCCCTTTTAGTGATTTCAAGCGTTGTTGTGACTTTATCAAAACATTGAATCTCCTCTCTGATAGTTTGGTTTGTAGCTCAGAAAGGGCCATCAAAATTAACTTAAGTCTCTTTCATTACCAGCTAAAATCTCCTCTCAGTAGCTTTAAGTTTTGACCTACCTGTTTTACCCTTGTTGCTAGAGGGCTGCAAGCTTTATTGACCCAGTTTTAAAGTGATCTTTCATTAATGTATTCATCTAAAAAATCTTCCATCCTGGTCAGTCATATATATTTAGGTCCTTACACACCGGGACAGTTTTTGTCGTGCGATTATTTCAGATGTCAATATTTTTTTTCGAACCTGTATCCTGTAAATACAAGTGTTCACATCAGCGATGTTTTCCTGTCCTGCGATATTGCGGCATTCATTTTTTCGGATCATGGTCAAATTTTCTAAAGTTTCGCATACTGTGTGTCCACTTCTGACCAATCAGATTTCGTGTTGTTGCGACGTCAGATTCACCGGTATATCCAACATGGCAGACCGGCTGATCGATCATGTGTCAAAGAACAGAGTGCTTTTTGATAAAAAAAACACACACATTACAAAGATAACAACCTGAAGGACAACTTGTGGATCGGATTTCTCACATGACGATGGTTTGTGTGCTTTAACAGTTTGCTAAACGTTTTTGTTTTAACTTTTATCTGTGCTAAGTTACTTTAGCTCGTAAGCTAACCTGTTCAGATACAACATACCATATGTATTTTCACTCAAACTCAATCGCGTTGTTGTCACAGCACCATTAGGTCTCGGATGTAACCTTACGTTTATGGATTATAGTTTCATGTTCTTATCTGGTACTGGCCCCGACTCAGTACATGCTATCATGTAAGACAACCATCTTAACACTAGTGTCTAATCAGAACTGATAAACAGTCAGTCTGCTGTTGTGTCAGTCTTCTCGCTTTCGTCATATATTTGCATCGTTCCCGGTGTGTAAGGACCTTTACTCTGAATTTTGCAAATGTAAGTTTGCTAAAAATCACAGTCTGAAAACAACTTAAAAAAAAACAGAAAAAGAAGTATGTTGGAGTCTTCTCCAAGGCTTCTCTCTGCTCTGAGTCCAAAATTAGTAGGTAAGAGTGTCATCTGTTATCATTTCAACTGTTCTCTAACTGGGAACAAAAAGTAGTCGGACTCCTTTATTTGTCTGAAACAGTTTGATGAATGCAGCCACATTCGCTGCCATTATGATCCATTTGTCAAAGCTTTTTTTGCCCAAGGTTTTGTCCTGACATTTCTGCTTAGTTTCTTTAACACGGTCCACTTGCTCTGTGCCACAGTGGCTCTCTGGCAGAAATGTCTCCAGAGCTGCAGTCCTACAGGATCAATTGTTGGCTCGTATCTTCCTACATGACATGTCCACTCTATGTAGAATATAAAACGCCCCTTTTTCTCTGAGAATCCCTTATTCTAAGCTGCTGACTTTGACAGCAGTTCTGTTTTGTGAACAAGACAAGAAGCAGAAAAGACAGATCATTTCTTTTGACTCTGCCTTCCACAGCTCGCCTGTGAGACAAGCGCTGCATGCAGCAGACACACCAAAGTGAAGGTATTCTTAGACTCCTCAGCCTGCCTCCATAGTGGGGATGAACTCCTGAGATAAAATATGCAAGAACCTCTAAAATAAGAACCTTTGCTTTGCTTTCACATTGACAAAATCTGCAGGCAGGCAACATCACGTCTGGGTAAACAACTTGCGATGAAATTACATTTGACTTTTAAAACATTAATGCTGTCTGGAATGTTTTGGAGAGGTAATGGGACTGGTGGACACGGCGGAAAAAAAAAAAGAGAGAAAGATAGAAGAAGACAGAGAATGAAAGAGGAGAGAGGAAACAGCTCCTGGCTCCTGAACAACATGCTGCTCTTGTCAGTGTGGAGTATAGGCAGCAGCAGGGCGGACGTATGGAGGGGGGGGGGGAGAAGAGTTCATGCATGTGTATGAGAGTGTGAGGGTGAAGATGAGGGTGGGGGAGGATCCTCTGTGTGTCCTAAGGGATGCCTGATCCACGCCTTGGCCTACTCCAACAGCCAGATGAGAGGTTATGTAACTGCAGAAACTGACTAACGTCCAATGCTGGTTAATGAGAATCTACATCCACAATAAGTTCACTTCAAACAGCATCAAACGCACGACCTCAGGCTAGACTCAAGTCTCAATATATATATGTATAAATCATACGAGCAGAAAGCAGGAATGCATGTGTGACTGTATGGAGCACGTATGGCAGTGCCAACATGTATAATTCACATTTGCTATTTAACAAGGAAATTAGACAAGAAAAATAAGAGTCATCCTTTAAATCCCTTCACATTTTCATAAACAGGCCAATCTATTATAATATTTTAACAATTTTACTTGATAAAAAGCATTTTTTTCTCCATGTACACTTCATCGTTGTGCTTTTGTACATACCTCCAAAGTAGGATCCGTCCGTCAGCTTCATCTCCTTGTTGAATTTTGTGATGACACTGGCGACCCCGTGTTGAATGAAGTACATCTTCTTCCCCACCGTGCCTTCCCTAATGATGTAGTCGTTCGGTTGAAAGACTTCGAACTTCAATTTGCTCAGCATCCCCGTCACGAAGTTGGGGTCGGCGTTGGCAAACAAAGGCATAGTGGCCACCAGCTTACGGCAGTTAAAGTTGACGATTTCCTGCAGGAGACACAAAGAAGTTTGGTTAAAGAAGAAGATGACAAAACAATATGAATGATTCAGTAATTTGCATCTTAAACCGGGAAAAAAAAAAGGTTGAAGTTATGTAGTCAGACATAAAACACCAGCACAAATCCTTCATCTCTGCCTCTTTTATCTCTGGGCATAAATGAATTGGATGCATATTGCTGCTTATCCCTAATACTTCTAAAGCACTTCCCATCGCCCCTGAGAAGAAACTTTTTGGCACGCGAGCCACATCCTGATGAGTTTGCCCTGTGGGGCCGGCTGCAGGCCACGCTCCACTCTCATCCTGTCCCCTCAGACCCGGCAGGAGATTAGGAGCGTGTTGTCTGTTTACCCATACATCTCTGTTGCTGTGCAGATGGAGCACAGGGCATTTGGCATCCTGTGGTGGTGTGTTGTTGACCCCCCATCCCCCCCTTGACGGATAACTCTCCTCCAGTGACAACAGGACATTGACGGGGAGATAACCAATCCCGGGGATGCTCGCTTGCTGAAGATGTTAGCACAGTCTCAGATGCCGGTGTCAGCTAATGCCACGGGGTTCTGACCTCAATCATGCACCAGAACTAATGAATTAGAGAGTAAGCAGTTTTCATGCCCAGCCAGGAGGCCTCGTGGGGAAACAATCTTTGGCTATGCCTATTTAAAGATTTGTCATATGGCGGGGAATAAAGACAAGACGGAAGAAAGGAAACGGGGGTGTGGGGAGGAGGGAGAGAACAGTTGGAACAGCTTGGAAGTTATGTCACATGCTAGCCCACGGATAATAAACCGTATACATCTGACAACATCCTGATAAGTATATCGACTTGCAAGATATAAAGGAGACCTATTAAGCTGCTTTGTACTGAATTACATACATACTGTTTCATCTTACAGCAATCTATCAGACTTTGGCAAAGATGCATAGTAATGACATACACGGATGTTGGCAGTATCCCTGACTGTGTTTCCAGGGTTTGCAGAGACATTAAGTGGCTAAAAGAGGAGTGAAGTGGGCACTAACAACTAGTTTCAGATGTTTTCTCCAAAGGCACAACTTTCAGGTTATTCCACAACGGCTAAGCTGTGTAAAAAGTAACACACACACCTTGTGAATAAGACAGGTATACCACTTTGTCACTTTATGCATTATTTCCCCTCATGATTTGGACCCTGAGTTTCTTCATGCCTCTCTGATTCAAGACCATATAAATGATATGTGTTCTTCCAGGTTACAATCATCTCTTGGACATTAAAGTGCCCTTGAAAGTTACACTACAGAGAGTCTTTCAAGTGGTTTCTGTCCACTGTAGCAGAATAAGAATATATTGTTCAGCCTGATGGATTACCTGCCTCAATGGCTTTTTACAAAGAGAGGGTTATGTGTATGAGTAAGACGATTGAAAAACAGTCCACATATGAGACGATTCAAATCGGTTAGATGAAAAATGAATTACCTCTAAAAAATGAATCATAAATACTTTTTTTGAGGCTCCTGCTTTGGTCCTTATTTATTCAAAGCTATCATGTCTCCCTGGGTGACCATCTTAGCAGGGGTGTGTCCAGACTTTTCGACTATGGTGGCCCAACCCGGGGCACTGACTGCCCTTTTTAATGTTATTCCCCAGCTAATCAAAAATCAGTTTGCATTATTACACAATTGTCCTGAATATAATCAGTCATCTCTGTTATTTTGTTATTGTCAGTTTTCATTGGCCATGTATTCAATATCTCGTCACGAGTTTTCCTGCAATTCACACTTTCATTTTTCACACTGTCCAACTAACGAGAATATATTTACTGGCAAAGTTTTAGTTTCTGAAATGTTCCAATGAATGTGTTTTTGACAGTTAGAAGAATTGCAGGAGTTTGTTTGCAATTTTTAGTGGACTGATTCCTCTAAAAACCTTTCCAACAAATTTGACAACGCAAATATCAATTATAATGCAGGAATTAGGATTCTGGGGTGGCACCGGGGGTGGCCACCTCGGGCCTTCACTCTTGACACAGCCCTGCTGTCAAGATGTATTTGCCAACTATTTCATCAATGTCTTTTTATTAGGTCTGTTTAAGAGTAGTGTTTGACATCGATATACTCGTACTCATTGCCAACATGTCATGATCTACCCTGTTGCTCTGCAGGTAACAGAGACAGAAGGATACAAATACATCAAACTTTATCAAAACCTTTCGATAAAGTACATATGGTCTCCTTTCAAAGATAAAACTTGTTATCAAAATGGGAAATTCAAGGTAGTAAGTAACAGTTTTATGTGGTGTTCTCTCCTTTGAAACTTTGTTTTATTGGGTGGAATTTAAAGACGCTGTGATGGACTTCAAAGTTTAAACAATTCATCTCCAAAGTAAAGTCGGGCCTCATATCATTGCAGAGCTGTTTCAAATTCACTCTACCATTACCATCTCGGCCCACCAGCATGATTACCTGAAGACTCTGCTGTAAGCTTCATTACCTTTAACCTTCCAAAACCACTCACCAAACCCCAGAGCTGTTTCATCCGCTGAAGCACAGTTATTATAATCATAATTGCTTGAGCCAACAGCAGCCTGAATAAGGCACACCTGGTTCACAGGCACAAAAGACTTTGGAGAATCAGCTGAAGTATACTTGGACTGATTTCACAGCCCTCCTTTAGACCAAAACTAGCATGAGTGCTGCTGAGTGGGGCTGATTCTGATCCCGAATTGACCCATAGGTCCTTCGACACCCCCCCAAAAAATGGCGCAGGGACAAAAAGTGTGGACACTCAGCTGCAATCAGCCTTGCTCTGATACTGTCCCAGCCCTTTTTACAAAACTGAGTCTGGCTTGAAGAGAAGTATTGATTTCTGCAGCTAAATGGTGAGGGACTGGGACACAGCCCGAGGATACAAAAACACAACAAAGCCTGGTGCTCTCTGTAGCGCTCCCAAAAAAAGAAAAAAAAAAAAAAAACTTCTGGCCGCTTTTCTAGAGGTCAAAGAGGTCAAAGAGGCTGAACTGTGCACAGCAGAGAGCGTGCCTTTAGCTGTGCCATGCTCACAAATCCTGAGGTATCTAATTAAGTCAGCTGTAATTTCTTTCTGTTAGTTAACATACTTCAATAATAAGCTACTTTTTAGTCTGGAGAGAAAGGTCAGTTAGAGAGGTGGAATCGGCATATTCATGAAGGTTGGCATGAGTCATCAGGCTTTTCAAAAAGATAGCCTGAGAGCATGAGAGGTGAAGACAGCGTTTTATGGGGTGATAGAAAGCAATTGAGCTAAAACCTGACGATAATGGCAGCTCGAAGATGAGGCGTTCTATCTTTTTATTTGCAGTCTTGAATTTTTTTGCACTTGAATGTTAAATAAAGAATATGGACCTTTTTAAAGCCATGACATTTTCACTGCAAACTATATTTCTTTTAAACTCCTCGATTTCTTGTTTTATTCCGTAGATATTACTTTGAATTGAGAGACTACACATAAAAAAGTAGAAATATCCTTGGATCAATACTCAGGTGACCTAATTCTTTGATGCATTGCGAGAAAAAAAAAAATCAACTCCCTTGCATCAGGCTGAAGTAGCACAGTGCAGCAGTTCCCCAATTAACAAGATTATAAAACCAGCCAAAAGTTGCTTTGTTGGCTGTACAAACAGAGTTCTGGTTTTTCTACCTTTCTGTTCAAAAACACTGAGCCAACAAAGGTTAAAAAAAAAAAAAAAAGGTGCAGTGAATCTCGTAAACATGCAGGGGAAGTAAGAAAACCACAGGGACCTAATTTGAAATCAAAACAGGAGGCAAATTTTTGAATTTTTGCCGTACCTCAAGGTAACTTTGAGTCTAAAGCAGGAAATGGTTGACGTGTGGAAATGAGTCACAGGGAGGATTTTTGCCTGGATGTTTAAAGTTGTTTACAAATCAACCTGCTTCTCCTGCTTCCTCCTGGAGGAGCAGACTCCTGAAATAATCCAATAACTGATGCATCCTCAGTTATCAGTGAAATAGCAACCTAAGCTAGTTCCTGTGTCCTAGTTTGCTCCGTCGCGATTCAGTTTGTTTTTACCCATGATCCCGTGGGCACAAAGCCTTCATTGTGTGACACTGTATCTATGCAGATTTTTAATTTTGCTTGCTCTGCACAGGGAACTAAGCCTGCAGGATTTTTCTGTTTAGTAAGTCATACCTTTAAATCCCTTCGCCTCCCTGTGAGTGTCTGGGATTGTGCAGTGACTCCCCTCGCCTCAGCGTTCTACTCTGCAAGGTGACTTAATGGGGCTACATGAGGGATGGTCACGAATCCCAAACTCACTTTAGTTTTACAAAAACCATAACTTATAAATGGTAAATAGACCATTTATAAATAGTAAGCTGATAGTTTATTAATGTTCCATCATCATTTATAAATAGCATGTAGACAATTTGAAAAACCTAACCCTAACCCTAACGCGAACTTTACAATAACCATCTAAGTAATGTTTATAGATGCTTTAAAAAACAAATATTGACCATTTACAAAGTATTACAAACATCAGTTGCAACTTTACAATAAACTTTACTATATAAACCTTGGATAAATAGTCCATTAATCATTAATGAAAATGCTTAATCATAAAGTCATTGCTTGTTAATGGTAAAGTAACTATTAACTGACATTAATACATTATCTATTTACCATTTATAATTGTTGTATATGCTGTTTTTAAATGATGATTAAACATCAATAAACTATTTATTTATAAATTATGGTTGTTATAAAGTGTTACCAAAAGTATCACAGCCCTTAGTCATGAAACACTACTCTGGTCACTGTTTTTTGCTGCTTTCCTCTTTTGTTTCAGACAGATGGTAAAGTTCCTCTAATGCTTCTTCATCGAGTCTTCCTAATGTTTCCAACTAATTACCAGCAAGAGTAACTTCTATTTTTAAGCCCCTGAATCATGAAAACTCTGCCTCTGGAATCAAACTGGAAGGCTATTTTTGGAGTTTTAAAAAGAAATTTGAGAATTTCTTTGAATGTGAATTCTGATTTGGAACATTTTCACCTTAATTTTTATAATTAATGTCTTTTTAAATGGGTTCCTTCTCCTTGGTGTCTAGTTTAATAAGTACATCCTCTGGTGTGAAAATTAAGCTGAAACAAAGTGCGAAATACTTCCTTTCCTTAAGTATCAGTTTGGATCCAAAAACCAAGGAAACCCCATAAGGTCCCCTGTTATAAACCCACTTGACCATGTTTACAGCCTGTTCAGTAAATGGTTTTGGTTCGTAACCTTAGTAAAAACTGTAAAGGGCTAATAGGTTCAAAAACTCATCTATTTTGACGACATTTAGGCTATGAAAGAATTGTAAGTATATTTGCAAAACTCCCCCCAACAACCAAGTTAAGTTAAGTTAAGTTAAGTTAAGTTAGAGTTAGTTAGGTTTAGTTTAGGTCAGACCAGGTTAGGTAAACTAGAGTAAAGTAGGGTTAAGTTGGGTTAGGTTAGATCTGATTACATTATGCTAGGTTAGGTTAAGTTTAGTAAAGTTAGGATAGGTTAGCTTACTTTATTTACGCCTGTAGAAAGTTTCCAGCAAAGACTGTGTTTTACGAGAAAGTCATATTAATGATGCCACCCATTTATTTTTGGAATGGATTTCTGAAGCCAATCATCGGCATATGCCATCGTGTAAATGGTGAATTAATCTAACTTACAGTCAACCAACTTAGAGGAAGGCTAAAACCTCCTCGATAAACATTCACCGAACTTGTAGCCGAATATCTTTGAAACAAAGTCATTTTAAAAAATCAACCATTATAAAGTGTGTACAAACTGAGTTATTCAGACCAAAATTGTTTTTTGAACCAGGCTGTAAACCTTTTCTTCTATTGCCCTAAAAATGGCTCTTTTTGAATGAGTGTGTATGTGGTTTCTGGTGATTCTGCAGCCAGCCTCCAGTGGGCACTGGGGGAACTGCAGTTTTTAGCACTTATACATTGGCTTCCTTTCTCAGGATGCTGCTCGGTTTCCAAAAGGTTTTTCTTGTAGAATTTTGTCCCTATTTTGCTTCTGTTTTTTTCAATGTGAGTTGTTTGTGTTCACACTGAGACTTGCAAATAAAGCAGGAAAATGCGGGACTGTTTTCTGCAGAAAATTTTCCTATTTCAGTCAGTCTGGGTTCACAGAGGATGCAGAGGAGAATCCGTTTTTACTCTTCTTCCGTCTGATCTCATAAGAGGAGATAACGGCTGTAAATACACTTTTTATCTTCTTTCATGTTCCAAACTAAAACCAGCCAACCTGTCAAGTTTGTCCTTCTCTTCTTAGACTTGTGGTGTTTTTTATATCTGCTCCAAATAAAACTTTCAAATGGGAATCCTCAAAGAGATTTATAAAAGTAATCACATACATGAGTAAATGCTTGAACTTAGGTTAGAGTGAAAGTGCCTCACCTCTTTGAGCGGGTCGTTGAGTTCACTCAGGATGTTATCCTCATCAAAGATCTTGCCTTGGTAGCGATGCTCGTAGTAGTCGTGGATTTTTTGCCTCATATCTGCTGGAAGCTTGTGGAAGGACATATATTGCTCCACTTGTTTGTACTGGAAAGACAGAAACAGATCGATATCAGGTCAAGTGAGCATATGTTTAAGGCTAGTACACCTAAATAAACAACAGAGCTCGGCTAAAATGTAGTCCTCACAGACTTTCTCTTCACGCCTCTGCATTGAGGACAACCTTTAACCTCACACAGTCACAGTCCCCCGTCCTGGTTCTGTGTGTGGAGGCATGAGATGGAACGATGGAGGCAGGTGGAGCGAGAACGAGAACAGGCCCGAGGCTATGTCAGACCAAAGTAGCAGTTGTGATTATCTCACCCATGCAGGAAGCGCCGTCTTAATAGGCAACTGAGTTATGACCTGATGCAAATTTAAAGCAAGTTCACCTCATATGCTGGAGAAATTCAAAAACTATGAACGAAGTGAAACAGATTGCATGAGTGTTGAAGCGATGATTATACGCATGATTTCACCCTGGTATTTTGCTGTAGTATCTCTCGTCAGAGTCCAAACTGATCCACTTCCTCCACTTGTCCTCTTGTTTGTATTTTCCCCCGGAATTTTGGCAAATCACTCTAAAATTGTCTGTTGTATCAGTGGTGCTGTACAGTCAAACTCGCTGTGCTGACAAGCTCTCAATGAGTCGCCATTACAGTTTATTGATCCGAAACTTCCCATCCAGGACGCATTGATCTGCATAAACAAATCATTTAGCCGTGCCATTGACTTGTTTTGTTTTTGGAATAGTAAAAGGGCATAAACTCTGGGTGCTAATACACATTTGTTATTACATTTAGAGTGTCCTTTGCTGTTTCTAAGATTAAAAATCAAACAGCAAGGTAGAAGTTTTGACCTTTTTGTGGACATATTTCAACTTTGAAACATTTCTTTAACTGGGATTTGCAATTTGGGGAAATGAAACTTATTCTCCAGGAAACCAAAGTCATCACAACATACATTTGAAATTGTGTGACAGAGTATGTCTTAGGGATATAAAATGGCGTAAGTATCTGACCAATGTTCACACTCTAAATGCTGTTGGCCAGAAAATCATCCAGTGGCCTTTGGTTTGTTAGCACAAGACATAATATCTCAAATTAAACTTCTGGGATAACTTTAGTTTGAAACTGTGGCAAAGAATCAATTGTTTATAGAGACCTTAAAAAATCCTAAAAACATAAATCTTACATAAGATTACATTTTCTTTTTCTGTGCAGTTTTCACCAAACAAACACCATCCATGTTATCTTTTGTTTGAGAGGGATATACCTGACAAAAGTTGATTGAACTTTGAGTATAACACTGAAACCATTGTTGTTAATCCTTCCTCCACTGAGGAGATAGAGGAGAGAAAGAGGGATAGAGGAATTTGTCAGATGAAGAGAGAGGAACAAAATAAAGGAAAGGTTGAAAGATATTTTGGCAACACAATCTGAAGGCCAGATGGCCTGTTACAGTTTTTTCCCCACACTGTGCATGCATGGCTGGATGCAGGACTTTTCCGGTTGTGCAACACTGCCAGTAATAAAGATGCCCTGTTCCTGGTAATTAATTGAATCTTAGAGGGAGTAAAAAAATCTGTCCACATTAACCTGAAAGGCAAGTGTCAGCCCCAAGGAGAGACGGGGAAAGAAAATACTTGTGCTCTCTTTCTTTGATTGGTCTCTGTTTTCTCATGCAGGTTTTTTTTTTCCACAGACAAGGCTGTGAAAACAATCTACTCAGACAGTCTGAGGTCAGTGACACCTGGAAAAAAAACCCTGTCTATCACACTGCCTTTGGTAATCACAGAACAGGAGGTTGGAGCCAGCAGCAGCTCCAGGTTGGAAGCTCAGCCCAGTATCAGCCTCGAGATATGACCAGTTTGACTCAAGTAAATCAATATTATCGAGTTTCGATTCATCATATTTCAATGGCAGCTATTTTCCTCTGTTATCATGCCCAGGGTGTACAACAGGTATAGAAACATTAAAGTAGGGAAAGCTAGAAATCGTCATTTCATTGCTACTCGATCCATACAAAAGTAAAAGGGCATGTTCATTTAGTATCTGAATAACAGAGCTGTGTTTTTCTCACCATGTATAGCTCAGAGGAAAGTGTTATATAACAGCTGATGTAGTGTTCAGTCCACACTTAGCTCACCTTACTGTGAATAATGAAACAGGAAAATTAAGACAGGGCATTAATTGATAACTCAAGGAAATGTCAGTTAGCTAAAGGCTAAAAGCTAACAACTCTGTATTGGTTGAACTTTGAACTTCAATGTTATCTTAGATGTCAGAAATAATGCTTTATATATTCATATCTTTTATCATTTATATCTATAATTGTTTTAAGAAAGAAGAGGTCGGCTGCTAACATAAACTGCTGTCTTATCAGCAGTTGAGTGATCAAACAAATCATTATTTGATTAAAATATGGGGGAAATCTCTCTCAGTATTTCTCTTTTCAAATCCAAGTGACGTCTGACTAGAAGCAGAGAATCATTTTTCAAATTTCCTGTTTCGTTTTTTTTTAGGGCTCCCAACCAGAAGGACAACACAATATTACCGCATAGCTTTCCACCACGTCTGTGACATCAGAGAAAAATGATCGACGTGTTCAAACAGTGAATGCCTCTCTCATTGATTCTTTTCCTGATTCTATGAAAGAGTTTCCAAAAAAAAGTCTCAACCAGGTCATTTTGTCAGGCTGGTCAATGAGCACAGAGTTGTACAAAGTCGGCCTCTAGCTTAGGGTTATGTCAGCTTTTTATCATGATGACATAATTCCCCCTCCCACCCAAATCCAGACTTTACGCGTTCATGAGCAGGATCAATGCTGACTATGTCCCCAACCTTTCCTCTTCCTCTTTGTTTCTGTCAGTCTTTCTCTCCAGAGATGGACATGACTGCAGTCAGGGCATGAACCATCTGGTACAAAATTAACTCACATGTCTGAGTGCCAGTGCCACTGTCAGGCATTACTGTTGATAATAATAAGCCCTGAGGGAAACTTTGTCATCTGTGTGAAAAATAAGGCAACAGCATCCCCTGGAAATGTGTTTTTATTTAACCTCAAAGTGAAATAGGGTAAATTCTGCTCAAGATGGGCAGAAAAATTTAAAGAGGGAAGACATGGGATGACTAAAACAAGATGAAGTTTCCACTCTCTTTAGTTTGGACTCCTAAATTGTCTTTAAAGAAATTATCAAAAATGAAAAAAACACATCATAGACATAAACACACAAGTATATTATGTTGCTCTTCCTTTGTCTTCTTTTTTCTCAATTTTACTTACTGTGTTGTTTTGAATTTCGAGTTTCCCACCGATTTTATTACGATATTGTTTTAGAGATATTTAATGGCCATGATAATCCTGAGGTGAAAATCTGATATTGTCACATTCCTGTTTTAAACTAAAAACTCTATTTTTCTTGCTTGTAACTCTGACTCCACAAATGTATGTTGAATGTAGTATTTTCATTTTTCATTTCAGTAACACTTTCTTTGATGCCTCTCTCTGAAACACATTATAAATATATGTATAATGCGTAATAATCACGTTATAGCACTGTATAACTATAGTTATAAACACTCATGAATGATCATAATGCTTTATAGCAATAATCATAACATGTTATAAAGCATTTTTATCATGACTTACAAGATCAGGTATTATAATGTGTTATAACTGTGTTACAACTCACTGACAATGCCCATATAGATAATTAATTGCAACTGCTGTTAACTATAGTTGTACAGTGCTATAACGTGATTATAACGCATTATAAATATATTTATAATGGGTTACATAGAGATAGGCGTCAAATAAAGCGTTACTTTCATTTCTTTTGACACTGATAGCTGCACATTCAAAGCGCTATAGATGACAGACCAACTTGTCAACGCTCTTATTATCTTAAATCATGTTTAACTCTTACAGTATTTCAGGGCAGACAAGTGGTTGAATCTGGTCTACGTTAGCCTCTTAGCCCTGTAGAAAAGATAAGGCGCAGCTCTTCAGCTGCTGGATGACACAGCTGTATGCCAGCTTACAGTGATTCAGCACCGGGGCATCACAGCAGGCATGTCTACAGATTATGCATGCTTTACATCATCACTTCCCCCAGCCCTCTCCTTTGATTTCTCTGATTCTCCTCTTTCTGTTATCTCTCCGTCTGTTTCATTACATCTTTTCGTACATCTTTGTTGGCTTAGTTCATGTTTAGTTTTTCTTTGATCTGATCGCAAACAAAAAGGCAGCATTAAAAGAGATAAGACGACGAGTCAGCTCAGGGCAGGGTGTTTGCTATGTAAGTCGTACTTATTGATGAGAGAGATAACTCCAATCACTCCTCCTCCTTCTTCCTCATCTTTCCATCCTTGTCATAAACATCCTCTGTCCTGGGCTAACCTCTAACCTCACACAAGAATCTATCTCTGCGTCTGTGTTTCCGCTCCCCAAGCTGAAGCAGTGATAAATGTAATGACTGGGCTCCCTGAGCTCCTCCCTGCTGCTCCTCAGCCTGCTCCACTGATATGCACAGCCGTGCAGCAAATCAGCCCTGGCTGAATCTGGCTCCACACTGAGGCTCTGTTACCACGAACATGCCATTCACAGCCTCAAAGCTGTCACTTCGATGTCTGGAGGGATGCTGAGAGGCCAAAGTAGGATGTAGATTAAGCAGATTTGCTGGGAAGCAGATGTACATACATAGCGAGCATGACACATGTCACTGATGCATACTCAGAGCGGCTGACTCGTTTGCTTTGGGCAACCTGCTGTCATTAATTTTTTAAAGGGATGTGCTGCGACATCTGAGTCTGATCAATCCGAAAATTATAGATGGGGAATTGAAATTCATGAGGAAATGAACCCTGTGCTGGGAGTTAAATACCCATGTCGCTAATTTTAATAAATTATTCAGACTTTTTCTGAGCCTTCTCCATCTCACCACACCGACATTTAGATTTGATAGTTTAATATCCATAAACACCTCAGATCTAAAGTGGTGTTTGTTTTACTAATCATACTCAAACTTGAACTATTTTCAGGAGTGGAAGTAGCCATGCTAATATCACCCTTTGGTGTTTGAACCCCTCTTTTCAGAGTCTGGCATTTTGGGCGTGGTCACCTTGGTCTACAGGATCATCTAGGGCTGGGCGATATGGCCTCAAATCAATATCACTATATATTGAGCAGTTCACCTCAATAACAGTAAATGGACGATAACTACTCCATAAGCTGCTCACCCCCTCCCACATTAACTTTGTCTACTTCAACCCTCTTTGTTACAGACTGGATGGGGTGGAGTCACATCTCCGACGTAGGACAGCGTCTTAAAGGGACATGAGACCATAGCCTACCTCCTCACATCCAAAACCAACTTTTATTTATTTATTTATTTATTGACACCAAATATATCGATGTTGGCAAAATGACATTGGTTATTGTCATAAATTTGGGTATCGGTAAATTTTCAGTTTATTGCCCAGCCCTAGAATCAACAATCGCAGTTGGCCAATCCTTACTACATAGACATCTTTAAAGTCAATTTTAACGTCATCACAACAGTTGGCTAAAAAACTAGACCCGTCTGTGTTTAAAAAGACCTCAGTGCAGTGTCAGATACTGTAAACTCATAGGAACATTATTTAAGAGTCTCCTCTTGGGACCAGTCCAATCTGCCTCTACATGCTACGCCTCTCCTCTGAAACCGAGGGACATCGCCCGCTTCTATATATACTGTGATTACAGCACTGCAGTAAAAGCACACAGAAAGGTTGTTAAGGTTGTTTCTCTGAATTGCTTCAGCCAAGTAGCAGCTGGCAAGGTCAGGCCGTCGGTTTAGGGTGAATTGATGACGGCTAAATGCTTTTATGTGCAAGTGTAAATTAATGAACTGGTATTTTAACATGTCCCGTTATAGTCGCAGCCAAGGTGACTCTGCAGACTCCTTGATAAGAATTATGGCAACAACCTTCTGAAGGATAACTGATGTGTGTGCTGCGTGTCAAATCTGGTCTGCATTAGTGTGTGCGGCTGTCTCTGTACATGTGAACATAAATGTAGTGGGGCAACAGCTGTTACATGCTCTTGGAGTCACCTTGCTTGTCACCTTAAACTATCAAGTGATCATCTGATAAGTTGTTTTGTTTCTATAATTTCATCTCATAGGAACTACATGGGCCAACTCTTGGTATTTCACACATTTCACAAATCGCTTTATTTACCAATAATTTGTTTGTCTTATTGAATTTAAAGGTTAAAAAAGCACACTTGGAATGTAAGATGGCAAATTCCTCTTCATTGCTCCTTCAATTGACCCTGTATCCCAAAATGAACTCAAACCAAATCTCCTTTTTCCATTTGTATAAGATAACTCCACATAGATAAATCAGTGTGTCCAAGCTTGCATCATCTTTTTAATCCCATAGGGTTAAAGATCACATCCCTGTTTTAATCATAACTACAGTATCTTCTTAATTCGATGGAGACATACCATAGAGATCTGTAATCCCTTGCATTACAATGCTGTATGCACGTGGACAGCATAAGCACAGGAAAAGTTTGGGAGTTGAAACCGGGCTCTTGCGTGTGAGCGCAGAGCACATCAGTCATGGCCTTGTGTTCTGGGAACCGCCCAGGCCCCCTTAGAGCAGATCACAGATGGTGGCTCGGCTGAAGCGCTGGATAATCACTCTCCATGCAACAAAAATAAAAGTGATGTAACCGGGGCTGAATTGAAAGTAAAGAATAAAATGTGAGCACTGGCAGCGTTCAGACAATGCGGTGACCGGTCATATCGAAGACCTTTTCACCCCGTTGACCTTGTATGGTCTGCCCCGGGGAGAGAAAATCCTCTTTCCTAGTCCTTGCCCCGGATATAGTGGATTGTATAGCTCAACACATTGGTCCACGGGGCCACTGCGAGATCACCTAATTTGTTTAAGTCCAGCTCCATGAGCAGGATTTTATGCGGTAGGAAAGAGCAGAATCCCTTAGAATAATACTCTAAAGGCATGGCTGACAATTGGAGAAATTGGTAATTATGAACCTCGTTTCTATGGCGATCATGGTTCTATAGTGCAATCTCCACAAAGTGAAGAGAAAAAAGAATGGAAAATATCCATTCTTTCAAACTGACCGATAGGAGCCATCCATCCCAGACGCAATTTTTTTTGTATGATGGTAGGGGAAAGTCCTGCCTCCTTCGCCTCTGATTGGCTAGAAAAGCTGGAAACGTCATCACATGCTAAAGCCAAACGCGGGCTGTTGGCTCTGTACAACAAACAGAACATTACAGAACATTATCCAACCCTCTAACAATCTCCTAACCCTAACCCTAACCCAACAGACGATGACGTTTCACAGCCATAAGTTATAACCAATCGGACCCCACCACTTCAAGCCATTCAGAGGCGAACGATGGCGGGACCTTCCACTATAATCCTACAAAAAAAAAAAATGTGCGTCCCGGACAGCTCCTATTGGTAAATTTCCTGCTCCGCCTCTCCATCCAATCACCTTGCTGTATTGGACACACCCCTCTCCAGTTAGTTCCGACTCGTCCCCTCTCACTTTCTTGGGCCTTTCGGAGCTCTGAGCGGCTAAGAGTAGCGTAGCAGCTTAGCTACAGGAGCTGTGTTGGAGAAGGACGGAAAAAAAACACTTCTGCTTGCCCTACCACCAAATTGGGAAGAAAACGCAAGCCAACGGAAGAAAGGGCAGAGACGAAGAGGAAATGTGACCAAGCGAGGAATCTAATTGGACGCTGAGGCAGCAGAGTTTTTGTTGAACAGGTAATTTTTGCCCTTTATCGTGGCACATGTTACATAAATAACTGTATTAGTCTCTACAATGTCAACACGGTAGCTGTCCAGGCAGCTGCAGAAGGTTCTCGCTAGCAGAGCTGGCGTGCTTTTTTTCAAATCTGCCTCAATGCCTCAGTTTTTTCAACTGCTTCTCAGATCGTCAACCATGCCTTTAAGACTGTCCAGGGGTTTTTTTACTTACCTTAAACAACACATTCAAGATCTGTAAACCACACCACACTGTTTCTGCTCCTCAGATAAATTGAGTGTTTCTGTCTGGTCCTTACCTTCTCTTGATATTGCCTTCGTGAAGAGTCCAGTGATTGGATTAGTGCTGTAGCGTGGCCCACAAACATGGCGTAGCATGTGGCGCCTACAATCATACTCAGCATGGTGATCCACAGGTCCGACATGCTGACCGGCGCCCGAGCACCATACCCGATGCACAGCATGTGGCTCATGGCTTTGAAGAGGGCGTAGGAGTACTGCTTACCCCAGGAAACGTTCTGGAAGGATGGAGAGACAAAGAAGGTTGGGGGGGTGGGGGTTACTGCAAGGCAAAAGAGGAAAAATCCCTTTTAAAAGTTCACTTAAATGTGTGGTCACAACCTCAGTTTCTCACGCCCGCACTAGTGAGCAGTCACACTTTCTACCTTCTAGCCTTTCAGCACTCCCCAAACCCTATCTGCTCACTCTCAGCCTGGAGGATGGCAAAGAGCTTATACTTGAATTTCTCAGAGTTGCTTTATTTACAGAAGACTGAGGTCTTGTATCCCTTAAAACCCTGGGCATCCTTCTCAGCATGAGGCAAAGAAAAACAGGCCTGGTCTGGGGATGTTGTGCCATCTCTCTGAGGTTTGGTTTTCATAAGTGCTGCGAAGGGATTCGGCTTGTTGGAGGCATAAGAGCAGAAATCCTGAGAGGGGAGGGAAGGCAGAGCTGACAGTCCTGTGACATATCAGCGTGAATGTACAACAGTCGTCGTCTTTGTTGCAAATGAAGCGAGACTGTCACAAAGGACCTTTTTGAACAGCTCTTTTTTAGAGTCGGAGGATGTGATTCGCCCTGGCTGAGAGTCTCTCCCTTTTATCCTTTCCAACATGTGTTGTGTCTGCAAAGTGACGTATCATGTTCCTCTAACTACACAATGACTGAGATTTGAGTCTATGAGGATGCTGTTATCTAATAATATGTCCAGCTGGGTTTATAAGAAGCCGTTTCATTGTTGTCTCGTCAGATTAAGTTGTCTGAAAACGACCCGTTCAGTCCCTGTTGCTGACTGGGGAACACGTAGAGAAGCTGCCAGGCTGGAGTTCAATTCTACCACTTAAAAATCTGCCTCAATGACTCATCTGTTAGTATAGTTATATAAGTCATATTGTCTTGTCTAGTTTCTGACAGTATTTACACTGTAAGATTGGGGTTTTAAATTGGAAATAGGTGCTCCAAAGCCATCCCTAATATCTCAAGTAATCAAGAGACCACAAAGTTGTAGTTTTTTTGATTTATAGCAGGTTGGAAAGGAGCATACGGGCCCTACATAAGCAATGACGGAGGTTATATTTTTGTCAGCATCAAAGTAAATGTTCAGGGGTCAGAGTGTTTGAAGCAAAGCTCTTATCAGCCATCAAACAGCATATAAAACTACCTTGGATGATCTTTTCTGATGCCTTAATTGGGAGAAACCATGAGCGAGATTGTCATAGTTCTTCACCGAGATTGGCCGGGGTATAAAGTTGGGTATTGAGCAAGAAAATGAACAATAACACACTGATTTTATCCTTAGGTGTGGCTACAACCAGTTGACCTACTTAATAATCCACTGATATTTATCATAATTAAAGGTTTATCATGTGTTTTATGTGACACTGACTTCCAGTTTTCCTTTCCTCTTCATATTTTATTGGTCTCATCCTCAGAATAATTCACGTCTCAGAGTGAGAGCAGGATTTAGACTCCTCATTAATACAGTACTTGTCAAACGCGTGCCTTTTGCCCGGAGACATGCCAAATCAGCAGTTAACAGCCTAACAAACCCCATCAAGGCTAAATGTGTGAAAGCCAGTAAGTTTCTTACTGGAGGCAAAAGTGTTAGCTCTCTGGTGCGGGCTTAAAACCACAGCTGAGTTGCTGACTCGTCCAATAGTTTTGGCACTTGTGAGCAGAAATGCTGAGGAAGCGCTTCCTCCATTCACCGCACCTATCGCAGCCAAAACAGAATACCTGATGAAAGGTTCGCAAAACCCTCAGAAACACGTATGAAATCTCTGTCTTCTTTCCGACAGGCTGACATTCTTCATGTTGCACGCCTGGCTGTGACATAACACTTCAATATTCTACTCGACTTCACGCTGTTTGTCAACTAGAGTAAATTTACAGCTCGTCATGTACTTTGGATGAGTCACCCACTCTCGTCTCTATGTTAATGTTAAAATATGTGAAAATTAAAACATGCCAGCATAAATAACAAATAGAGTCTTTTATGTTTGAGCTAAAGTTTGACGATACAGTAATGCTCTTCGGGGATCACAATAAAGTCCACATTGAAAAAAGGATGACAAACAGCAGATATCTTTAGACCAAATAACAGACCAGATGATTAATCTATAGTTTTCTGAGGACATTTATGAGCACAGTCTACAAAACACTACTGTAACTGTGTTGATGACGGTGCATGAGTAATTATGGACAAACCATCAGTCATTAAGAAATGAACAGAATCCTAGCTAAAAGTCCTGATAAGACAGACTCTATCTGCAGTAAAGCAGTAAAAAAAAGACTTGAATTTGACTTGAATATGCTTTATAAATTATATTATCAGGAAAAGAACTATTTTATTGAACTGAGTATTGTTTAAATCCTCTCGAATCATGAATACTGGAGAAATCCTGATGCAAACAAGTGAGGAAACAAGTTTGGCTAATGTAAGCTGGAGCCCCTCCTACTCTACACGTGTTAAAGCTACTGTGAGGAACTTTCAGTTTGAGCCTATCTAGCACCACTCTTGGACAAATCAGTCTTTGCTCATTTGAACCTCTACATTATTAGTAGTGTTGTATGAAAACAAACCTCATCCTGCTGACTTCTGACAGTCAAAAGTATCATAACAGGACAGTTTTTTCAGCCGCTTCACTGACACCTAACCCCTCACATTGGTTGTAAAAAATCAAAAGTCATCAATCATGTTGTTTATGATCTTGTTTGCTGTTGGATATCAAAAAGAGGCATCAAGATAAATTTCAGTCTATTTCATAAATGTCAAAAAAAACTCTTCACAGGACCTTTAATGTTGTAAATATTGAAGTTTATTTGCTGGTCTATCTGGTTTTCTCAGGGTTACATCTCGATACTTGAATCCTATTGAATAATGTCTTATGATCAATCTTGTTCAAATGAGAAAAAAAGAAAAGTATATTGCATTCATATTTTTCTTGTCACTTTACTCAGTCCTATTTAAAGCCTCTTCATAAGGAGAAATGAGTCCAAATTTACTTTGGGACACTGAATAGCCTTTTAACACACACACACACACACACACACACACACACACACACACACACACACACACACACACACACACACACACACACACACACACACACCCATCCGAGCATGTAACTGGAACAAATACCATTTGTGGGGTCATGGGCCTTAGGTGTCTTTCACATGCCTACATTTGCAGTGCGTGCTTGAGATGGTTATTGAGCAACACTGCAGAATGCTTGTGTTGACATCTCTGTGCATGTGAAAACAGAGAAATGTGTTTTTGCCAGATGAATTCAGAGAGGCTGAGCTGACTCATTGCACCTTTTCTCGATGTTTTGTGCTTGTATGCATTTGATGCACGGATAAATATGTCCGACAGGGAATAAGTAAACCGGATGAGAGTATCATATAATCCTATTGTTGTATGGGTGGTTTAGGGTTTGGGAATTGGTGTCATTTTCTTTTGCACCATATTACATATGTTTGATGTTTGTTTACAAATAGAAGACAGGATGTATGTGCGTGTTCGGTGAATATCTTAGTACATATTTTTTAAAGAATAAACCAGAAAATCTTGAGGAAGCAGATGCTGCAGGAAATATCATCTACTACAGGCTGTATGTTGTCAAAAATAGTCTGAAAAACAAGTTTTGGGAGCTGGTTTGGCTCAGCAAAGTGCTGTTTTATTGAGAATCAAGACGAACATTTAAAAACCAAAGTAGATTTTTCATGGGAGAAATCCATCTCTTAAAGTTTTAGCCGTATTTCAGGTGTTAGGATTATTCTTTAAAGCCCTCCCTTGAGCAGATATTAAGTGCCTTTAAAAGATTTGCAGCAGGGTTTTTCAGATGAACAAGATAGTTCTGTTTCAATGAGTGGCTGCAGCGCAACAAAATGGCACTATAGCTGCTCTTCTATAAGCTGCATTCTGGGAGCAATGCTACGAGTAATGTAAGACATTGGCTGTTTTTCTGTTTGAACCAGGAGCAGGAATGAAAAGGAGAAAAATCTGCAACATTTCAGAAATATTCAAAAACAGTTTTTCAGCCTTGTGAGATGGAAAACTGTGCGAATACTGCAGCCATGACACCTGCAGAACTATGAAGCCTTGAGTGTGTATTTTTCCAAACACCAAGTGACTCACGGCATGTCTGGTGCTTTTTTATTCAAGCTGTCAGCCATATTCTACCTTTTCCTCACCTACAATAGTAATCAGGATGGACATAAATATGCATTTTTCTCAGTATGTTATAAATATGACACAGCAGCAGAGATCTCACAGATTGACAGGGTTATTTTGCGGCTGTTTCTCGCTGCGAGCTTTTCTGTCCTTGAGGAAAAATGACTCATTGCAGTATTAACACGTTCTCGAAAGAAACTGCAGTTTCTACTTTTCTCACACAATTCCCCTGATTTTAATAAATGTGGCTAACACAGCAGATGTATTCATTTCTTCCACAGCTCCAAATATCATTAAGCTCTGGCTGCAGCAAAACAAGTGACACCAGACACTGCATATTCATGTTTCAGCCGCTCTGCCTTTGTTTACAAGCTGAGCAGTAAAGTAGAGTTCACAGACTTCATTATGCAGCTGGCATTAAAACTAATCTGACCAAACGTCATTGTCAGAGTGTACAAAACAACTTAAAAGTTTCTATAATTAGTCTGAGCCCAGTCTAAGACTGTGCTAACAACATGCCAGCATTTTAATTCATTAGTCACTACACGTAGCCTCCACCAGACACAAGATGTTACCAGTTATGTGACCAGGGTGGTAATCTGTGATTCACTGTGGCCCCAATGAGGAGTGTGCCCCAGAGGTGCTGGTGCTGTAAATGCCAACGAAGAAGAATGAGACCCAAAGGATGCAATCCACAGCTGACAGGAAAACCGAGCCTCTAACAGCGTCAGAGCTCACAGGGAGGGACGAAAGATTTGTCATTTGTACTCCCACAGACCTGAACTGATCACAGCAAATACGTCGAGATGAGTTAAAATTCCTAATTTCTCGGCTGCATTTTTAAAAGGTTGCTACGCAGGAGATTCAGTTTGAAAGATTTTTTTGTCTGTTGCATTATGACATTGCCAGACCGTGGAGATATAGTAAAAATAACTGTGGACTGCAGTGTCACCATCTTTTGATAGATAGAAAGTGGAAGATGGCTTATTTAGCACTAGGACTGGGTGATATTGGAAAATCTTCGTCATGATAATTTTTTTGTATCAGTTGACATCGATAAATCATGATATAGAAAAATGAAATTCAACAGTGCTTATTGGTAGCATGTCTTTCGCAGTACAATAAGCTACTGCATTTGTGAGGTCTTTGTGTCTCTTCAACGTTTTGTCGTAAGGTGTTGGGCTAGAGAAAGCGGACTGAATGGTCTGCTGTTTCGGCTGCACAGGCACCATGGGCTCCTTGCTCAGCTTAGGGTTTGTAACCTTTTGCACTGCGCGTGCTCTGCTGGTGGTGAAAAAGATTTGAGGTATTCCCTGACTTTGCGAGAACATGTACTCGACTTAATTTGCAGTACACATTACTCTGTCGTCATCTGTTGAGCCACTGCTGTCGACTTAATCTGTCAAAGTGCTATGGTTGTGTGTAGCTGCAGCCTGCTACTACAAAGTTATTTGCTACTTGGTTCTAATTCAGTACATGACTGGTTCAGCGCGAAGTGAACCCGAAGCAACTCCCCTTTTCATTGGCTATTCGTATAGTCTACCAAAACATGGCAGAATGCCGGCTATTGAAAAGCATATTGACCATGTTTTATATTTATATTGAGGGAAATTAACTTTTTTGAAATATATTGTTATCGTTTTAATGCCCAGCCCTATTTAGCGCCCACGTATATATTAATAATGGAGTCTCTCATCAGCATATTTCTCACTAGGTTAAAGAAAAACTACAGATCTAACCTTGATTTCACTCCCCCATTGAAAGCAAATAACTCTCGGTGGTCCACCAACAAGAGTGTTACCTCTCACTTTTCTACACATGTAGTGTGGACATGAAAATCAAAGGCAGGATAAGACAGTGGGTTTTCATCAATTATAAATCACCACCACAGTACTTGTACAGAGGATTCAAGGGTAAACATAATTTCAAACATTAGCAGAAATAATGAATGAAGTGTGAGCACGTCCATTGTGTTTAGTACGAGAGTATTGTATCGCTCCTTCTGCACTTTCTCCTTTTCTTGTGTCTTTACTGTGTGTTAGAGCTGCATTCAGAGGGCTGAACATACACCAAAAGAAAGAGGGGGGTTACACTGAAAGAAGAAAATAGACCCGGAGGTCAAAATGATCAAAACTATAATTGTATTATTGATGTTTTAGTCATTTAAGTACATAAAACACATTGGTATGAAATTCAAATGTCCGATCACAGGGTCTGACTGTTGTAGTCACTGAATCATATAACTCTACGACCCGGCGAGCTGTCCCAAACAGGGGGAAAAAATGTGATGCACAATATTCATTTTTCAATTACATAATCAAGCTACAAGCTGTTCTCCCTGGGAGGGCATGGGAGGCCCTTCAGTCTTTGAACACATCAGCAATGCTGCAGAGGGGTCTGCGGGGCCAAAAGCCGAGCCAAACTGTAAGCTGGCAAGAAAGAGAGCTCACAGCGGTGAGTCACAGTGTGAGAGGGGTGTGAAAAATCGTTCTTCAGGGTGGCATGTCCAGACTTCCCTTATTTTTGGTTGTTTATTTTGTTTGTGTGCAGAGGTCTCCCTTGCTTTTTTTTTTAGGATTGATTGGAGAGTTGCAAAAGATGATTTCGTCCATCGTCAAACATGATTTATGGATCATTCTTGTGGTATTTTTCTCCTTTGGCTCACAAAAAAAATGAAATTGCTCGAAATTGAGTTTGATCAATAAAAAGTTGCCAATTGAGGTACTTCAAATAAAATAAGTAATGACTCGACTAAATGTTTATCCTCACATGTATGATGTTTTTACTCCTCTTTATCTTACTTAATCTAGTTTTGTCTATTTGTCACCTTTGATTCGCATTTCTCCTTCTCATCAAGCGTTATAAATACACATCTACATTCTGAGGACCGACCTGACTTTTCTTCTTTTCAATCATGTGCAATCAAGCATTCAGCGGCCGTTTTCCCTGATGAGCTCTGCCACAATCAGAGAGGTTAAACTAAGACAGGAGTGAACCCGCTTCATGCTTGGTACTTAAGAGCTGTCTGCACCCTCCAGATGGCTGAAACCTCCACATGTGTGCCGTCGAGTGCTGTCCTGGGTATCCATGCTTAACATCCTGACACTTAAGGTGGAAAAACTCACACTTAACAACAAGTGTTATCAGACTCTTATGTTATCAGCATAGACTCAAGAGGCTGAAACAACACAACCAAACTGAAACTGAGCTTGGACTGCAACTTCTTCATGTTTTTTTCTACAATTGCCTTTTTATTGTTGAGTCTATAAAATGTCAAAAAGATGTGAAACATGCTGATAACGTTTCCCCATAGTCTTTAGTGAAGAATATATTTATTGATAGCATCAGCTCCAGTCTGCACTAAATAAAGAACAAAAAAAGCTAAAGCTGCATTCATCTTGGGAGAAAACAGTCTGGCATTTTACTTTGATAAAACCACTGTGTCCTCTTGTTGACCGACGCACCCTGAGAGAGGGGGAGAGAGGTAAAAAGTCTGATTAATTCATAACGTCTCTGGACTGAACCCGGCTGTGACTCTTCCAGAGGTTTGAGTAAAAAAAGGAAAGTAGCGGGTGGTCCGGGGATTAAAAAAAAGGCGAGGAAGAGTGGATGAGGCTGAGAGGCCTGCCTACCTACAGGTTTTCTCTGAGACATGAACCCTCTTTATCGGTCTATTTCTTAAATCCTGACAGTAACATGTAGCATAGAAACACAAACACAAATCCCTGTCATGCTACTAACTTAACATCCAGAGCAGAAATTTATCCTATAATCTTAAGGCTTTGGACTTTTTGTTGGTACTAGCAGCAAATTCTTTTTTCTGTTTTGTATTTTCTTTTTTTTTTTTTGCACAAAATAGAGTAAAAAATTCACACACTAAATACACTGTATTGTCACATGAGGTCGCTGCGCCATCTACAGGATAAGTCGGGGAACTTTTCAAATGGTGGAACATTTTTGAAGTGAAACTGAATCTTATTCTCCGCAATTTATTTCTGATAATATTGGCGAAAATCCGTGAGTTTTGGACGGTTACCGATTAAGTCTGAAACGGGCTAAAATTGGCCGACTTAATCCTCTCGCTGATAAATCGGTCGGGCCCTAATTTATACAGTAAAATATGGTAGAACTTGCTATGATACCCTTTTATAAGATTGAGATAAATTTGTCTTGGACTTAAGGGGCTGCATATTCTCAACTGATATTAATATTGATAAAACATCGAACAATAGAGGTAGAATAGGCCCTGCAGATCTGTCAATGCCTGAGAAGCTAAATACTGATACTGACAGTTTGAGTTCGGTTTCTAAACCCTAAAAATATTAAAGTCATTAAAAACTGCAAACAATAAATAAAAACTCTAAAGGGAAGCCTGATTTTCTAACTTGATTCCACTCAAGTAAAAGAAAATTCAAGTAGGAACTGATCATTTTACAATCTCAGTTTGATTGAGACTTACACAAATTCGTATTATTAAAATGACTTTCAAACTGAGCCTGCAGAGGAGCAGTCAGCAAACAAACACTGACAAAATGCTCCTCCATGCTCCTCAACAGACCTTGTTATGTTGTACTGTACATGCAGACAACAGCAGCAGCCTGTCACCCTCTGGCCGAGCCAACACAGCGACAGCAGCACTATCTACTCTGGTGATTAAGTAAAAGCAGCCTCTAAAGAGTAAGAAGCTCCTCTCAGGCCATTAGTCAGGAAGATAACAGTCCTGCTCCCTGCATGTACTGCAGCACTCAGCAGTATCTGCAATCCTCGTCAGCCTCGCTCTTCCTCTCCTTCTCACAGCTGGAGACACAAAACACAGCGCCACAACACACCACACAAAATAAAACACACATGATGCAAACAGCCGAGAGACGGACACGACCTTCACCTGAGCGGCCCCCTGCTCTCTCCTCACATTACTGTTTTTTTTTTCCAATTGCAGTGAACAGGAGGGGAGATTTCTCATCAAGATCTCCAGCTCCTGAACACTAACGCAGTGTGATGGTGTGAGAAGAGGAAACCCTCATGTAGGCAGGGCTTTTCACTTTGGATTTGGCAGGCCACGTTCAGCACACATGCCTCTAGTTCTGCACAGATCCACAGGGAAGAGGTTCCACAAATTGCTCGTTCTAGCACATCACAGTCAGTAACACTATGTTAGATACCGAAGGGCTCGCTTTCACACACACACACAGGAAGCTTAAGGCTGCAGCTAGCTATTATTTTTCTCAACTGCACTACAAGCACAGACTAAAATCAATAAGGAAGTGAGAAAATCAATAAGTAAAGCAATGTGGAAACTGATTATATTAAATTATCACCTTATTATTTTGAAATCATTACTACCTCCCGTATCGATTGTTTCCTGAGTTGTTGCATGCTAAGCACAAGTACTGCACAAGTACTGTCTTGCATGAACAAAGGTTGGAACAGATTTTTATTTGCAATCTATAACAAATAATGGATCGGGCTTGTGTGGATAGCCTCACTTAGTTGGATTAGATTCCTTTGTGAATGCCTTTATAGAGGGTTAGGGCTCTGGATAAGGTCCAAGAGGCAAGAGAGAGTAAAGAGTGATATCCTGCAAAGGGCTGTGAGTGGGAGCGGCACCACTTTGAAAGCTGTTGCCTCTGTACATGAGGGCTGATTTAATCCCTGAGCCAAACCCTGGTCCTAGACTATTTTCAAGTTTGAGAATGTTAAGAATGTTTTTTAGATAAGAATTCATAAGGATATCCTGTCCAGGGAAATCGAAATCAGAATCAGAATCAGAATGCCTTTTATTGTCATTATACGCAGTACAATGAGATTAAAGCCACCCAAATCAGTGCAAGACATGATAAAAAAATAGATAAAAAATATAGAAATATGAAACTAGATTAATATGAAGTATATACAATGTAAACGTGTGGACCTGAGATTCTTTTGACATGATAAATATGGTACGGATGTGCATAGGTGTAAATATGTAACAGTATAAAATATAAAGTGCACAGTTCTGAGATCCTATTAACAGAATAAATATGGTAAATATACAGAAATAACATAAATGTAATGTGCAAATGAATCTATATAGTGCTGTAAGTGTGTATTAAGTAAAAAAGAAGTACTGTGAAAGTCACAGCATACACATAATGTAGATTACTCCTATTTAACGGTACAACAATTAGCTGTGGACGACTTTTCCATTGACTAATTCATTAATTAACTGACTCTTATTGTGGTCAAAGTGTCATCATTCCTGATAACTGGAAGGAAATTAAACCAGATAAGATTAAATAAATGGTAATCCTAATCCATGGATCCCAGCAAGAGAAACTAGTGCATTTTGAAAGCATTGTTGTGCCTCCAGACTCCTGCACACCCAAACTCTGTGAGGTTCTATATTTAGGTGTGCGAGTCTGCAGCCGCAGTCGAAATGTGTCACCACAGTCCTTATATCTGTTCGGAGCTGTTATGATGTTCCTGCACTCTCAACACGAATGTTTCCTCAGTTTTCTTTTACTACAGAGAGAAAATTAGATTCATGAGTCATCAGAGGGATTGGATCTCACATATCCCGCTTTATGTTGGCTTGTTGCTTCAAAGGCCCGTTTGCAATGTGAAGTTATAGCTATGGATTTCCACAGGGGGAATGATCCTGCCACACAGGGTGCAGTAAATGAGCCTTTCACATGACTCCCATTTGGTATTGATTTGCATACAAGAAAGGGAATATATCTGATTTATTATGAGACGGGGAGCAACATGTGTTGATAATTAAGCTCCAGAGCAGCGTTAACAGAGAAGCTTAAAAAATCTGTGTCTGCTGCAGTAAATGAAGAGTGTGTTTGCCCTGTTAGTACACAACCATTAGCATGGATGAATTGTGACAGTTAAGTGGGAAATAATTTCACTGCACATTCATTTTGGTGCAGGCAGAGATGGATTATGTCTGTTTGGATGAATAACACATGCTAGCTGGTATCGGGCTCACTTGGGCAAGTCATCGCCTCCAAGAAAGAACGCGAATGGGATACAGAGTTTGTGATGTTGAGGAATGGCGACATGTGCACCTCCAGCACGGTGCCTGTGAGGCGTCAGTGTGCATGTGGAGAGCAGAAATGTACATCTCCCAGAGAGGGAGCAGGCAGAAGAGCTCCTCGGGCCGGCATTTACAATCAGCATTAGCCAGGAGGGTCGTATGCACTTCTACACTGTCACGTCGCTCAGAGAGCGGCAACAGCAGTCCGTTTGACCCCCAGTCAGAGAGGGAGGGAGACGGGAATATACCAAAACTGAGTGAAATGAAAGGGCAGACAGTTAAAATAACCCTGTAATCCTACACTGAGATGAGAGGGCAGGACTTCATTTGAGAAAAAACAGTTCGTAGGGAAGCATCTGTGTAGAGTCTTTGGAAGAAGTCAAAGACACAAAGGGAGTTCCTGTAGGTGAAAACTAGGGTTTAAAAATAGCTATGAATATTCTTTGTTGTATGCATGTATATTCCCTAATATACAACTTTGTTTAAAGCTCCTATGATGGAATTTCTGTACATGTTGATTTTGGCACCGCCTGTGCATTAATTGATTTTGTCCCATAAAAGTATCAGATGTATTTTCTGATAAAAAATGCTCCCAGTCAAACATTTCACCCTCTATAAAAATGCAAAAAAATCTGTTTCTCTTTAAAGAGCTGACCATTGTCTGATCTGACGCCTAACCCTTCCTAAATGACAGTATAGTCTTGTTGCTGTGGTCTGCTGTGGGTTGCTGTTGTAGGTCAAAACGATACATCTCAGTTAACTCCTATTTCATAAAGACAAGATATCATTGTTTCTGCATGGAAAGTAAAAAGAAATTGTCATATTGGTGCATTTTGTCAACTTAATTGCTGATACCAATCAGTTTACATCACTAACCTGACAATGGAATAAGAAAATTACAAAATTAAAACAGTTAATCTGGTCACTTATCTAGTTTGATTTTTGTATGTCACAAAAAGGCATCAAGATATTTATTTGACTGCTTCATTACTGTCAAAAACTTTAAAACCAGGAGCTTTAAAACCAAATACCGTTATTTAACAGTGTAGTATTCTGCAGATTTAGAGTCTACTCTCTCGGTTTCATTCCAAAATAATTCAGTATAAGAAGGATGCAAAGGGTGCATCCCGGATGCAGCCCTCACAGCCTGGGAAAAGTAGGACACATCTGCCGGCAGCATTTGAACAGGGACAGCGACAGCCTTCAATGCGCTGCTGTGACGCATTCGATCTTCAAATTTGGCCTTCGAAAGCTGCAACCTTTTGGACTGGGACACAGCTCGAGTTACATAATTACAGCAGACTACTTTCTTTACTGTTGATGTCAATTAAAAAATAAAAAATAAAAAAAGGTACAACCCACTTGTTGAAAAAAACAGGATTTGCCTTTCGTTACAGGTCACCTGAGAAAGACTCGAAAACACCTGTCGCAGTAATGATCCCACCTAGAAGCCTTACAGAGTTTTCCCATTACGCCATACACAGACATTAATGGACTTATGGGATGTACCAATCAATAAATTACCTTCATGTGTCACAAATCATTGCACGCCCCGGGAAACCTCCTATCTGTCTACTTTTTTCCACAGGCTGACGACTTCAATATCTGTGATAGGCCTATCACAGCAAACAGATACAGCAGTCAGGCTCCAGCATGTCCTGTTTCATTCTGACTCACTGCCTCTGAAAGCTATATTTCATTGTAGGCTGGCAAGGCAACAATGTCTCTGATGAAATAAAGTCCGTGTTTATAAATTCTCTTGATCCTAATTAACCTGACTCTACATCAATACAAACCACCAAGAGAGTAAGAGACTAATCCTGTATCTGCATGTCAACATGTAATTTTTTTAGTTAATTACAAGCCCCTGACTCTTATCCCCCTGATGTAGGATGGTAAAAAGTGCTCATTATAACTTTAACACAGAGAAATGGGATTTGAAGTGTGGATACTAACAGTTGCTCATAAGTCACATTTCAACTCACATATTGTAAGTTTTGGCTGCATCCATTGAGATTGTAACACTTGATGAAAAATAAAAAAGTGTTCTCTGACCACTTCCCAATCTGGTGTGTGTTTTCTAAACAGTTCTGGCTGCTGAATTGGTGTTAACACAGGAGAGAAGATAAAGAAGAAGAAGAGGAAGAAGAAGCAGTTCAGGGTTGGCTAAACAGACGTCAGAAGACTTTAACACCATCGCTGTAAGCAGCAGAGCAGCGGGAGAAAAATGATAGGGTGAAAAGGGCAGCACTCTGCATATTGTTACACTCCTTTTTCTCCTCCTCCATCACCTCTCATTCTGCTCTATTGACAGCTGTGTTGCCGGTTATGTAATTTGATGCATAAAACAGTTTGGGAACCTAAAAGCCATTTATCATCTCATGTGTTCTGTACTGTGATGCAGCAGGAAAAAAACACAGGCAACATGATGTTTCCTAGAGTTAGCGCAGACATAAAATACTCCCAGTTTGTTCATTTTTGATCCTCTCGGTTTGCTTGTTAAACTGAAACACCTTTTGGAAAGTGTTTTCTTTACATAGTGTGAAAACAACCTGGATGAAAATCCACCAAATGATAAAATAACAAACAAAAGAGAAAAGTGGCAATACTTACAACCATACCGTTTAGCGATACCCAGCAGTCAGGGGGGAAGTCTTGGAGAAGCGGCACCAGATACTGGAGACAGCCATCCCAGTGACACAGAAGCAGCATCATCCCTATCAAATTAAATATTCTTACCACTGCACTGGCCAGGTCATAGGTCATATGGAAGATCTGCAGGGAAGAAAGAAAGAGTCTAATTAGACATAACAGAGCATCATAAATATAGCAGCAAAGTGGTTTGAATGTAGATGTTTGCGCCTCTGAATCATTTCATGCATTGGTATTTTAGAGACATGCACACAAAAAAAGATTAAAAAGATACTTAAAACGTTCACAAAAGTACAAAGTCCCCTTTGAAGTGAAGGGCATGGTGCGCCTGTTTGGCCACCAGAGAATCTGGTTGCCACCAGTGTTTGTGTGTGTGTGTGTGTGAGTGTGTGTGTTTGTGTGCATCCCACAGATGTTGAGCTGCATAATTCAACATGGCTGCTTTCCAAAACAAACTGACCAGCGGAGGAAATCCTCATAGAGCACAGAGCGGGCTTAATGAAAAGCTGAATGATGAAGGGAGTGCAGACCTCAGGACATTCAGACAGTATATGTGTTTGAACACAAGGCGAGGGTAACTGCAGGTGTGGCCATTTAATCAGAGCAGGAAGTTTCAGAATAGAAAGTCATCAGCCGGATGAGTAAGCAGATCTGCAATGCGAAACCGTTTCATTTGCTCGGGATCTGAGCGCAGAGAATTGACACACGCCCAGTTGGCTTTTACTCTGATTCAGAGTTTCTCATTAGCGCGAGATTCCCGTTGCTTCATTACAGCTTAGTTATTCTGTCATCATCCTTTAAAATTCTCCTTCAAGAAAGTTAAATATGGAAAAAATAATAATTGTGGACTAGTAAGTTTTGCACCATAAACCTGCTTAATCAGCCCGATTGGTTTAAACGATTCCAGGTTATAATTTTCTTTTATTTTGGGTTGATGGTTTTCTATTCTCTGTTAACTGCCCATTCAGCTTAATTGTAGGAATAATAAAAATTTTACTGAGGCAGGGTTAGATGCACCTCATTAAGCTGAAATAACATCACACTGAGAAAACTTTGTTTCTTTTTTTGGAAAGTCACACAATATGTGTCCAGAAAACTTCACAATCCATAACATATTTTAAAGATTCAAATGAAGTAGAAAAAAACAATACCACCAATGAAAGGAAAAAAAAAAAAGACAAAATCTAAGTAAAATATGCTAAATATGGCTACACTGTACTGGGGCATTGCCAGTTTCCCTCTATTGGAGAAGGCATGATAATCAGAAGTTCTACTCGTAGTATAAATAAAGTCGTTTTCGGTAGCCATAACTGACCCATGATAAAGCTAAGCAGTAAATCTGGGTGTCATCTGCGTAGCTGTAATGAGAAAAGTTGTTGCCGAGTCTGATTTGACCTCAAGAAAGAAGTTACAGTTTAAAGTAAAGTGGCTCAACAATAGTGCCCAGGGGGACTCCAAACTTTGTTATTCTGTTCAGATTTTTGCATCATCAGAGGAAATAAGACACCAACATTTCCAACATATCAAAAAACATTTGGGTTTTTTCTTAATTTTCAAGAAAGTTTTTGAAGTATTTATGGATTTAATTGGTAAATTGACAAGTGAGTAGATTAGAAAACTGGAAGGGCAGAGTGCAGACTCATCAAAGGTCATGGAGGGTATTTGGACGTGGTTTGCTCACTTTGAGGTCTAAAGTCTCTGCAACCGGTACAGTTTTACCTCTGAGCTTAACCAGATAATCTGGACTTTTATCCAAAAAGAGGGACATACAGAGGATTTTCAGACAGCTAAAGTCCCTGTGAAGAGCTTTCAGTCTATTTTAGTTCTGACATCCTTTGTTGATAAGAAGTAAACTCCCCTTACATCTTCTACATGTTTAAAAATCTCCTCTTGCTTTCTTGACATCTAATAAGTTAAAAAAAGGGTTTTAATTCATCAAGCTGTAAATTGCTTTGACTGAAGCTTATCCCTTTACAGCAGCTATAAGCCTTAAATAGTACCATATAGGAAGAGTACATTTTAATTGCAAACGGTTGTGTTTGTTTTAATACGCCATAATGATAAATCACTGTTTTATAACCAGTCAGAAACTCATTACAGGAGCTTTAATATTTTTATTAGAGCAGACCCAGTGCTGTGATGTTACTGGAGGAGTGATCAACATCTTCCTCAAAGCCAGATAACATTTAAATACTAAACTGTTGAATCAGGGCAGTTTTCTTAATTATTTTTCAATAAACAGAGTATTAGAGAGGACTCTTTTGTTGTGCAATGTCGCAGTTCCAAGCTGCCTTTTTTTTACTCAAATAAGAGATTGTGTAAGGGATTAAATCAGCAGTACTTTGTTATTTTCTACATTTCTATTTTCTGATATTATCTTTTTCTCTATATTTAACATCAGCTCCAATCTTCTTTGCGGCTTTATGTGCCTTTTATTTTTTATTCTCTGTTCTATTTTTGCATTTTCTGGCATTCTCCTCAGAATTTGGAATAACAGTGATCATTTTGACCAAATTGCAAAGGCTCCATGCTTCCTCCTCCCAGGAAGTGCAGAAACCAAAGGAGGCCTGTGCAAGGTCTTCATTTTGTGCTGACACGTATTCTGCCATAATTCTGAACCTCTTTTTTTGCCGCGCATAAGCAAAAATCAGCAAAAACCCCAGGTGTTTTAGAAGCTCTTTGAATCCACATCTCTCCACCCCGGTCCATTGTGACTGTCCTGTAACCTCTGTGCACAAAGGACAGTGTCCACATAGAGAACAGATGAGAGAACAAGAGGCTGAGCTGATGCTCAGATCCCTCTATGGTTCAACTCATCCACAGGGAGATACAGTGCACTGCCCTGACACGCTAAAATTAGCCACTAGCTTACTGGGTGGCTGTCTCTATGCACCCAGTATCTCTTCTGCTGCTTAAATCTTTATTCTTAATATAGAAGAACTCTCTGTCCCTCCATTAAGAATAAGAATGCCTTTATATATATGTCATAGTTTAATGTCAACACAAACACACATACAGGACAGGGGGGTGACAAAAACAAAAACAGAGATATTGAGATATAGAGTTATAGAAGCAGACGTTACTGACAGATCGCAACATGACTGGCAAAGAGGAAAGAGCACTTTGGTCCCTCTTTGAATTACAAATGATTCACAGCAGGCAGAAATAGAAAAAGGTCGACTGCTTGTCTGCCCTTTCCTCTTTCAATGAATGCATTATCAAAAGAAAAAAAAAAAGGAAACATAAAAAGTGAGTGAAGGTTGTGGAGGTTTTGTAAAATTCCCAGAGACTATTTCACTTTGTTGGGAAGCCTCTGCAACCTTTGGGTCACACCGAGGGCACAGAGAAAAGATGTAAGAGCTCATTAACACAGTGAGGGATTTGTTTGGGTTTGTACTGCAGAGGCACAAGTCCGCTGGTGGCAGCAGGTAGCTGAGAGGCAGCTGTCTAAAAATAGAAGTCTTAATTATAGAGGCGCCAGGTGTAAATCACTGATCATCCTCATTCATCCCCACAAGGCAGTAAAGATATCCTGTATTTGGTTTAACAGACTGAATTAGGGGTGTTTTATTTTGAAATAACAGTCTGCCACTGTTTATCTAACATAGTGAGTGAGGGATCTACTGACAAGAAAAGAGAATAAAAGAAACACAATATGTTTATAGTTTACAATTACAGATGTACTGAACAATATTGATACAGCAATATATCAAACCCTGACCTCTTCAAATTAAGGCCTTGAAATTATTGCCTCGTATCATATATTGAGCATGGTGTATCATATTGGGAGTAACTCTGTGATTCCCTTAAAAAAAAAACATGACTACCTTAAAATTATCTACTCAGAACAACCTGTTTTCATTCATCGATTAATTGTATTTTTATATTATTGGCCATAAAGCATTACTAAAAAGGTTTTAAGATATTCAGCCTAGCGAGAACGACCACGGGCAACAAATCTTACAAAAACAGTCACTAAACATAGGTAATAAGTAGGGTTGCAAAGGGGCGGAAAATTTCCAGAAACTTTCCATGGGATGTTGAGCTGGGGAATTTTGGAAAAATTTCGAATTGGAAACTTTCCATGGGAGTTATGGGAATTATTGGGAATTCATAGGAATTAATTGGAAATTGGGGGTAATTTATACAAACTGTATCATATCCAAACAAAAATGTAAATATTTTTGTTTTGTCATTAGCAGACATCCCTGCAAAATAATTCAACTAAAAACATTTCAACAGACTTATTTGAGTGGCATTGGCGAACATGGCATTTTTCTGTAGAAAAAAATAACTGAGCACTGTGAGGACTGTGCTGGCTGCATGTGATTGAGGAGAGTACTTGCATTAAATCTGGTTGTTTTAGCCAAGATTATGCTACAATATATTTTTCCCAACTATATTTAAGTTCCCTGATGAGGGCAAACCTTCAATTTTGATTTAATCCTGTTAATTCCCATATATTTCCATGGAAAGTTTCCAACTTTGAAAATTCCCGGAATTTTGCAACCCTAGTAATAAGTTTTCTGTTCAGCTATTCAGAAATAATAGCTCCAATCAGGAATAACATGGCATAGTCAGAGTGGCACCAGAGGTAATGGAAACATGCTTACATTGAAACACAATAGCTTAGTGGGTTTTAGGATTCCTTTGTCAAAACAGGGCAGGAACTGTTGTCAGCGGAGGTCTCTTATGAAATGGATTGGAGACCAGCCGCTCATCAGTTCAAGTCCTGATACATATCAAAGTATAAAACTTTGGCGGTTGGCTCAAAAGGTGCCACTTCAGTTTCTGTACAATTTCTGAGATACCCTTGAGCAGCCCTCTCACTCTGACATTGCTCTATTGGTGCATCTAGTTAGTGTTTGTTGTGTTTCTGATCTATGTGTGGATGTATGGTGTTACAAACACGAGTGTAGATGCTGTGAAAGAGCAGCATTAGTGTAAGCTTTCACTGTGCCCTGTGCTTCATTTTGCAGCTCTGTGATCTGTTTATATTTGTTCTGCTGCGTCTTAATCAATGCATTGGTTTGATTTAAGACTGCGACACTGTGCGTTGATCTGTGTGGCGTGTTCCACATCATTCAGCAGTACCTCTACATCCTCAGTGAAGTGCCCCCTCTGAAAATCTTTAACTGTCTGCCTGCTTTATACCCCGATGAAGAAGGTGATGATTTAAATGTACATTTCATAGAAGCTTACGAAGCTTTTTCCTCGCTGGGTAGATATGAATCCACTTTCATTGCCCCTCCTCCCTCTGCTGCCGTAAGCTTTTATCAGCTGCATGACTAGAGGAAATAGGTAGCAAAGACCGAGAGCCAGAAATACCGCCAACACTCTCAGCTGGCATTGGCAAAATATAGGCTTAAAATTAAGTACATCAAGCTTAAATTTGACCAGGGGACAAGGGGGCAAAGGTCAGCATAATCCTCTAATACAGGAGAGAAAAACAGCCAAGATGTGATGTGATAGCTGCGCAAGGTCGCACGCTGGATGTGTTGAGCCAACACAGCGCTCATTCAGAACAGAGGAGCAGAGTGCATGTTTATGTTCTTCTGGGATAATGCAAAACATTGAAAACCTACTTCACAATCAACAAAGTGGGTGTAGAGTCGAAATAAAGATCTGAACTGGGTAGATATGCAGTTTCCCTTGAAAGGATCTGCACCACAATTCAAAAACTGTATCTGACATTTTTGTAAAATAATAGAGCAGAAGAAATACTCTTTGTTAAACTGTGGTGGAGCCTCCGACACGCAGTAAGGAAGCACTCTTTACGCGTCTTCAAATTGGACATGAGTGACCTCTGTTTGAGGTTAGTGAGGATTAGCAAGGGACTAATTTGAGGGGATTAAATCCACCACTGGCTATTACATTGGAGGATGACACAACTGCTTCCAGGAAAATCTGGAATTCTCCCCCTTAAAATCGTCTTGTAAATCTCTTTTTTGGACCTGGCCTTTTTATGGCTTAATCACAAAACTGCTGTTTAACTTGGATTTGAAAAATAATATAATCACGTGCTGAGAATTCACTGGGGTTTACTGAGTCTCATGTTTTGGCCATTGAAAAAGAGCAAAAGTCTCCAAAGTAAAAAAATTCCAAGTCATAACAGATAGAGCTAAATATGGGTGTTTTCTGTACAGTGTATACAGTGTTGCAGTGGAAACAGGCTTCCAGTGCCCCCCAAGGAAAAGCAGCCAGCTGGAAGTAATAATGTTTCACATGGCTGCAATCCCCTATGCGTAATCATGCTCATATACATATAGTTCAGCAATAAATAAACATAAATAGAGTTGGCATTATTTCAGTGCTTCAGGCAGGATGCTGTATGCACTGAAAAGCTCATCAGTCTGCAGATCTGTCTACAGCACAGACTAGAAAAGACAAGACGACACAGGAGGAGGAGACATCTTATCTTATATGCATAGCTGGGTTGTTGCCAAGGCATGCAAAGCCTGTGTAAAAACTGCAGTAATCTTGTTTCCCTGCATTAAAAAGCGGTGGATCCTGAGTTTCAAGGAGCAGTACATTTAGGTAATGAGGCCCAACAGTAATTTGTAGCCAGAGACTTAATTAAAAGGCAGGTGGTGATCAATGAGCCCTTTACACAGGCAGAAAACAAGTAGTGATCTATTAATGTAGCAGGATGCACTTAAAAGAGGAGGTCATTATTTCTTCACTGCATACGCTCCTGCCCTGCATGCAAATACACAATTAATCCTGAGGTAAAGAGTACAGTACATCCCTCTGAAATAAAGTAGAGAAGTTACAAGTACAAAGAAAGTACCTCCTCATGGCACTTAAGGACAACTCCCTGAGTTACTGAATATAACTATAAAAGAAAAACTATGTATTGAAAATGAGACAGATTTTTCTTTCTGGAAAAGTGGATTGTCTTATACTCAGGTCTAGACTTTTGAAAGCCAATATTCTTTCACAATAACACACAGCACTACTTATCCGTAAAGCTCCCACATGAATGACCAGCTATCACTCACAACCACAGTGCCAAAGGGATTAAAACTGGAGAGGCACAGCAATTGTCCAAAATAAAGTCACAAAGTAGCCAGGTTATTCACCGGAATTAAAATAAAAAAATAAAAAAAATTAAATAACATTCAATTAAAACCTAAAATGCTGTGGACGTCAGTTTAAATGTCCATCATGTATTCAGGTTATGGTTCTTGAAGTGGGCAGCCCATCTTCCATCCTATCATCTAAAGAAAGGCATTAAAGCCCCTATGATATAAAAAAAAAAAAAAAAAACTAAAAATAATCATGTTGTTGTTATCTAAGGGGGGAGGGTGAACATTGTTCAGATGCAGAGGCTGAAAAACATCAAAACAAACATGTGAAAGGCTGCAAGAAGAGGCAACTGTTGATCTGTTGCCGCCACGGTTACAACAGCATGTTGTGGAGTAGCATGCTTAAGTCTCATTTCTGCCATCTTACCATTTATGTACAACTTTAGATGATTGGCCATGTCAGCAGATCATCATAATAAAGAAGGATGCAGAAACATTAAGGGAATTGGAGTTCTTCTTTCTCTTGTTTTGATGTCACCACAGGAGCAAATTGTTTGTGAGCTATAATATGATGCAGAGGCTTTTTCACTTACTTAGGCTCGCTGGGCTGGAGGATGAATAAAATTTACCAGTATATAGAAAAAAATTGTGCTGACACTTGAATCCCTGCCCTCCTGCATTAATCTGATTTAAGTTATGAGAACCTTAAAGCTGTTTCAATTAACAAGCTTCACTTCAGTAATCCTAATTTTAAAAAAAATCCACTTCACTTTCAAGGGATATTCCGGCGTAAAATTAATTAGAATTAAATGTTCTTCCTTGAGCTATGTCACCCCCGCTGTAGTGCGGAGGTCTCACTACAAACAAGCAGCTGCTGGAAGAGAGTAGGTGAGTTGTGTTTAGTCTCTTTGCTGAAGAAATTAGGCAAAGCTAAAAAGATGTTTGGTGGCTAGTACTATGGCTGGGAGCCTGTACTGTTGATGAAGTTAGGTGCTGTTCTGACCATTATTTGTGGCTATAGAGTGGTGTTTTAGTTGAGGTTTGTTTATGGCTCCTCAGACCGCTGTGTATTGCTATCGTGCTGGTGTTACTAAAGTTGGTATAACTAGAGAAGCAAGCGGTTGGCAACAGTCATCTCTTGCAGAGGTGTCTAACTCGGTGTTACGGTGTGTCTGACCCTAAATCAATTTTACGCCAGAATATCCCTTTAACTAAGAGCAGCTTTTTCAAAGGCAATGTAAATCAGCATCACTGCACTCACCACCTCTGATAAACCAAGCGGAGAGGAGTTGTAGTAACGACCAACACGTTAAAACTCTTTGGGAATCACACATTGAAGTGTTATCCACACTTGGCTTTCTTTTAAAGTCTGGCTTTTCAGCTTACTCAACAAATAATGGACTGGGGACTTTTGTTTTTAAATGCTTAAGTCATAATTTTGTTCAATTTTTTTATCAACTTTGGGTATTTTCTTTCATTCAGAAAAAATCTATCAAATAATTCATAAAGAAACTGAACGAAAATGGTTTTAAAAAGAAGCATATTCTTAATAATTACATGCTTCTCACGTTCAAAGACCGCAGCTGAGTGTGAGAGTGATGGATATAAATAGAAACCAGGAGTAGTGTTGTGGGGGATATGGTTCTTTACAGGATTAGCCCATTCTGACCATCAATCAGTGCGTTCATTTAACTGGAAAAGCCCTCCCTTGTAGATGTGTCAATCACAAGCTTAAATAAACACTCTTTCTGCACATGCAGCTCTTTCCTGCGGGACTTCATCCGCGCTGTTTTCCATCATTTCTCTGTCCGTCAGCGGTATTCTTCCTCTCGTTCTTGCCCTATGCACATCACACTGTACTGCGAGCGGAGCTGCCTTGCCCGCTGTCTCACCCGCTCTGCGTCTATTTTGGTCGTGTGAGCGTGATAACCTCAACACTACAGTTCTGCCTTAATCTGCGCTCAACCATTCAGAGCTGCATCGGCAGGGGCAGCATTCTCTGGGGCTGAAGCTCACACTGCTCTGGGGGTCGGATTCAGGATGCTCTTTGCTATAACTCTGAGTGAAAAAACAGTTTTATTTATGCAAGAGTGTAAACACAGAGTTGAAAAGTGGTATAAGAATATTATGCTGCTTCCGACAGTTCTTGTTCCGCCGCTAAAAAAGTCTGCATTAGTTTGACAGTCTGCAGGGATTGATGTGGGCACTTTTTTTTATAAGTGTCTATAAAAAGTCTACTCTGATGCTCTGTGCATCAGGGAAACAACTAAATGTATTTATGGCTGTGCAGTGAGGTCGAATGCTCGATCAATTTGTACCTGAAACCTGAGCGCAGTTACAAAGTAACAGCAGTTCAGATCTAAGAAAGCATGTTCACACGGCTGACAAACTCCAAACACAAGCAGCACGTGAGAACTCATCAGTGCAATGAGACTGTTGCAATATGTGCGGACATATTGTTCAGAAATCACGCCAGCAGACTTAACAACTGTTTTCCCACATGACCCATTTTCCCCTCCAGTTGTCTGGTTATGCAAGTCCGTATCAGGGCGACAGTTTGACAACATCATTCCAGGAATTAAATCAGCGTCCTCAGTCTGTCGGTCTGTGACTGAGGACAGTGATGGAGGGAAGGAGGAAAGAGGCAAAGACAGCTGGCTACTACAGTAAAACAGAGACAGATTAATCCTGTAAAATATTAAAAACCATAAGGGATACAATGTATAATTAACTGTTTATAATCCTCTCCCCCTACAAAAAAAAGGAAAGGAAAGCCAAATTACCACCATGCTGGACATATTGCTCTGTGTGATGATATATTTTGGAGCCAAACAGATCTGGCTGTTAAAGCCATGGGATTGACGTCATACTCCCCGCAGCTCACCAAAACACATCTAACTTACAAATTAAATGTCAAAGATCTCTCAGGTCGAGATAGTCCACAGCTGAACAGATTTTCTCTCGACTGGAAGCAGAAACTCACAGATATGGAAAGTTCAGTGATTCTTAGGAAAGGGTATATTACATTTTATTCCCATATTTCCTTTTTTACGTTGCTAAGCTGGTAAAAAATGTGGAAGAAACTAGAATTTGTCAACAGGGCTGTCTATCATTATGTCACATTCACTTTTCTATAAACAATAAGCTGCCATGACAGCCAATCACAAGGGGGCGCTCTAGATGTTTTGGCTTTACTTTGTGGGAGCAGTCACACTGCCCATCTTCTTTGACAGTCTACTTCTATTTCTGATGTCTTGCATTATTTGACCACTCAGTTTAAAGACTATTATCATGTTCATTTCAGGGTAACAGCCACTGTGAGGTGGTAGAAATAAATTACATATATGCAGTTAGCGTTAGCACAGGGCTGAAAAAAAAATTGGCATTTTTTAACATCGAGTTATACCTTAAGACTGATGTCCTAATGCTGCATTTCAACCAACTCGCCATCCTTTAGCTGGGGACAAGATAGTTAGAGAGGCCAAGACCCGCCTTACGTTGCTTCTGATTGGTTTATATTGCGTGATGCCTTCCGTGGATGATTAGATTTAGGCACAAAGGACTGAAGGATTGGTCTGGGTTTGGTTATCTCAGTCAGTCAACCAGAGTTACTTGAACTACGGCCAGCCAAGTTTATTATCATAAAAAAAATAAACACAGAGGATCGAATGGGGAAATATAAGTGTGAGAAATGTCAAGTGTGGCGTGTGGCGCGAAATCGTGTCAAATTGCGTGACTGTCACACTCAAAGCGTGACACTTGGCAGCTATGACGCTAACCAGCTATGACGCTAACCAGCTATCTGGTTAGCAGCTATTTTACACATACAGCTGGGTCTTTTTAAATGTAACATTTGATGGAGTGAAGTTTCTAGTCTGGCTGTTAATATATGAGTAAAATCACATACAGTCCTTTTCTGGCCGCTTTGTTATTAATCAAATCCTGAGGGAAACACAGATAATTCTTTAGCAGCTAAATGCTCCTTGTTAGCAAGCTGCTAACTGGACCTGTTTGAGCCAAGTGATAAAGAAAAAAGATTGACAGCCCTGTTGTGTCTGCGCCTTAAGGGTTGGAGCTGAGCCAGGATGTAATTAGTTGACTTTGGCTGACTACACCATTAATTGGGCTAAACGCTAACCTGGCTGTCCTCCAAGTTTCAGAAGACACTCACCAACTCTTCTAAAGCTAGCAGTGGTCACATGACAGCCGCTCCAGCACACAGCAAACTGTAAAAACTTTTACTTCTTGTTTTTACTTTCTTTATGTTTACTTAAAAAGACCTGAGCCACCAATTTTCCCTAACTACAGGATTTCTGCTAAGCTAAACTAGTTGTTGTTCGACTTTTGCTTTTAAAAGTGGAATAAATCCTCTCATATTAACTCTTGGTACAAATAAAAGCACTGTTATTCACAAGATTTTAAAATTTGATCTTTGGGGGGTCTCAAGAATCCAACTTCAAATCTGTGTGGACATTTTGAATTTTAAGCACCATGTACAAAAACGGGAATGTAACGCAGAGAGGCAGGAGAACAGGGAAAGAAAAAAGAGCAGGGCGCAGTTTTTGCAAGCGTCAGGGGGGGGTAAAAGTGAGGAAGGGCGAGAGTTGCAGCCTGAGTCCCGTTTATGCTAAGAAGGCAGTCAGGGAAGATTAGTGCCCATGTGAGAGCTGGAGGGATTTGACCGGATTGCACAGGGTGACCTGCTGTGTCCATGTAAACATCAGCATGATGGACCCTTCCCTCTACGGTGTACAGTGAGGACACAACCTCCTAAGGAGAGGAGGAAGTTAAAATACTTATCTCTTATCATGGCTGTAATTGTAAACGTATTTAAGCTGAGCGTGATTTTGAAAAGAAAGTTATAGAATTAAAAGAAAATATTAAGATTATTAATTAGTTATTATATTTTATTTACATTCTAAAATCCTCAGAGGCTTTTAATCGACCAAAACAGTGTTATTTTTGCATTTACCTAATTTCATTGAAAAAACATTTAAAGAAAATAAAGTTTTTATACTTATCTTAAAGCTTCTGTGAGAAACTTTTAGTTTGAGTCAATTTTGGCACCCCCAGCAGACTTTGTTTATCAGACTTTCACACGTTTGAGCAGTGTTTTCAGATAAATACCTCATCCTCTTGACTTTTGACAGCCAAATGCATCATTTATCATAAATATTTTAGAAGGAAATTTTTTTAAAAGTTGTTTCCTCAGCTCCTTAGCCAACACCTGTGCCCTTTGAACTGGTTTAAAACTTACAAAGTAAAGAATAACAATTGTCAATCTTGTCACTAATGGTTTTGTTTGCTTTTATATATCATAATTAGGTTGAAATTAGATTTTCAGTTCTTTATATTAGCATGAAAAAACTCTTTACAGGAGCTCTAATCTGGAAATTTTAATGAGTTTCTTCAAACGGCTCAGGGACTGCAGTTACAGTTGCTATAAGGCTTTCAGCAAACAAAACCATTCAAGCATTTAAAACCACGGAAGAGAACAACTCTGTTGTCGAGGCAGACAGACAGATCGATAGGGCTGATTAATGGTATTTGAATTAATCAACATATCTTGGCTCATGAGGCCAATTAAAAAATAAAAAAAAAACAATGTCTGCAGGCAGTCTTGTCATTGCAATGATGATACTCCTTTAGCTGATAACACATTAAATGACAGTAAATCAAATATAACAGCTACTGACAAATGTTTCACATGCATTTTGTTATGATGTATAAATAAACAGATTTTAATATGACCTCTGGCATAAAAATGTCACGTCTTCATATTTACATCATGATCCAGTGTATTTTTCTTTCATTTTTATGCAATTATGCAAATACATATGTCTGGATAAAATAACTATGGGTGTTGGACAGGGATGTGCATGTTAGGCCCATTGCTGCAATAAGCCTGACTTATCATTGCTGTTTTTGTTGCTCTCTCTTCCTTATTTGGCTCCTTATTCAGTTTTTGTTTTTATTTCTATCTGGCAAAAGTTTAATAAGCTTCTGCCATAACTTCACCTCTGTCTTCCCACAGTGCACCCCCCAAAAAAGCGTGATATTGGTGTCCGAGTTTGTATTTTCACATTGCGTAAGGGTGTTGCAGAAGTCCAAGAGGTTTGGCTTGCAAATATGTGGTGGGAGTGCCACATACACGAACACTCAGGCTTGCACATATATGCAAAGCTGCTCTGCAGAAACATGCATGCTGTATGTAAGAGCCATTTGCACCCTTCCCTGGATTTTACTTTCTTTGCAGCTCCACTTTGAGAAAGGTTTCCCTCACTATTGTTGTTTTACAAGATGCTCGCTCATGTCTGACAGCCTCTATAGAGAGAAACACAGTAATGTGAATCAGTATTGAGTTAGTGAAATCATAACAACAGAGCAGTAAGTCATACTCAGACTCAAGAAATCAAACTCAATCTTGCCACACACAATGAAATCTGTACTGAATTGTAGTCACAAACGGCACCCATAATACCCTGTGGTCTATAAATAGTTCATTGCCATAGTGATCCCATTATAGAGACAATATAAATAGTTGTGTTTAGATTCTTAATAACAGCTAGGCTTGAATACATGATGAGCACAGATGTCGTCAGAGCAGATGGATGTTGGGGGCTTTAGTAAATCCATCCTCTACAACATTAACTCCCGGGAAGTGAAACTAGCTGAACCCTAAATGCTTCACCAGTTACTAATTAATTATTTTGCACAAGACATCATTACAGGATATGTGCAATGAGTGGTGCTCCCCCTCCTCTAAATAACAAGGGATCATTATAGGCCTCGAGGAGAATCAGTCAAGTATGGAGAGTCCATCGCAAGAGCTTTTCTCAGCAAACGACCAAGGATCATAGATACGCTGGTGATCCCTGGGAGTAGTGGGTTTACTTCACTGTGAATTCCCCTCCCCCTCTCACACATACCTCACCAGACAACAACCCAGCGAGCAAAAATAACTGAGATTAGCTTAATCTCCACTCTTATCACTTTAGCCCCCCTCCCAGGACTATATCTGTCAACTGTCTGCTTACTGTACGGTACACACCAGCTTGGAGGAGACTTGGGATATCCCACAGGCATGGACACAAGATCAAAGCTGACTGTTTTCTGGGGGTTCATACAAATATGGCAACAAAAATCATTTAAAGTTATCTCTCACAACCTTTCATGCATTTCTTTTCTACATCACAAACTTGTATTGCATAAAACCCGCCTCTGTTTATCTCTTCTAACGCATTTCTGATTAAGACACTTTCATTTTGATGTTAAACTTCTTGCTTTCTGTCCTGACTAACTATCCTCTTTTTCTCCATCTCTGCCTCTCGGTGTCACTGCCTGTCTGTCTCTCTGTCTTTACTGTGCGGACATGTCTGTTTATATCTAACATCAAATAAAGAAAGGGCCGAGCTGAGAGGCAGACTGGCGGTGACAGTGGGAGATGAAATGGCAGAAACAGACAGAGAGCCAGAGAGAGAGAGAAAGAGAGGAATGGAGGTACTCCCAGTGGAGGAGTATACAACATTTTAAATGTCACACATCAGCTCGCAGTGACAGGACGATACAAAGTGACCTATAGAGCCTGGTTACTAGTATAAAGGCTGACTTATTAGAAACTAAACTCTGTGAATATGATATGTCAGCAGTTTCTTTTTGCTTTTTTTATCAGTTTCCCTTGTTTTACAGATTTCATCCCTGCTTCAAAGCTCCTCATAGTGGCACCAGTGACATGAATGGGGGTTACATAAACAGAAGTTAGTTTGCTGAAGAAGCTGACAGTAGGGTTGTAGAGACCAGGACTATGTGAACACTGGGATGCATTCAGATCTGCAGTGGTGTTTATGATGGGTGGATATCACATACAAGGATGCTCTATGTGTCATTTACTGCTCATTTTATCCATGATGAGCATCCCAACATGCAAACCATCATGTTGCATAAGATTTATACCTGTGCTGATGTATCATATCATATCAAGTTGTTCTGCATCTTAAAATATTTCTTCTTATCATCCCTGTTGTATTGTATTGTATCGAATCATATCATGCCGAATCAATCGTACCGTAACGTAACATAACATATCGTATCATATCAAATTGTATCATATTGTATCATGCACATCATACTGAATCAAATCGTATCGTACTGTACCCTAACATAACATATCCTATCATATCAAATCATATCGTGCATACCATACTGAATCATATAATAATGTATCGTATCATATTGTATCATATCATATTGAATTGTAACAGATCGTATTATATCACACTGAATTGGAATGTAACGTAACGTAACATATCGTGCATATCATACTGAATCATATTGTATCATATCATATTGTACCGTAACGTAAATTAACGCATTAAATCGTATTGTATCATACTATACTGAATCATATTGTAACGTATCCTATCGAATTGTTTTGTATCATACTAAATTGTAACGTGTCGTATCGTATCGCTGAATCGTAATGTAACATAACGTAATGTAACGTCTCAAAGTGTATCATATCATTTTGTACCGTATTATATCGTTATGTATCGTATCATATCATATCATATCGTAGCATCTTGTCCCCTATTGTGCAGTTTGGTATGCTGGGTCAACTCAAAGTTTCAACCCCTACTTTTTACCGGTATTTTAAAAAGTAGGGGTATTTACCAGTCTAAAATACTATCAATGCAACAGTACAAGTAATTCAAAATAAAGGTCCTGAAAGCATTTCAGTTGCAAATTCAGCGGGCATCATCCTTCTACACCGTGAAGAGGCTGAGTCACAAAGACAGCGACCTCAAATCCATCAGACTTCCTCAGATATGAGATCAGATCAGATTATGTAATACTTATTTTAAGTATGGCACTAAAAGTCAATTGAAACTCATCTCGTAATCATAATTTCTGGCTTCTTTCTTCCTCTTTGTATATCTAGTATTTGACATAAGAGCAGCACTCTCACAGACGCTCTACTCTACATTTTTATTGCTGTAGCATTCAATAAAATTGTGTACTGGAGTTGCTGTGCGGGCAAAGTACTTTAAATTACCTCTTTGTGTTCATAGTTTTGAGCAAAGCATTACGATCTTTAAGTTATTTCAATTTCCTTACTCAACAGAACACGGACGTAAACATAGCTGTGGTTATAATTATCAGTGTTTTTGAAGCTATATTTGTTCTTCACTTTAACACCGAGGGTGTGACAATTAACTCTGTACTCCAAACCATATGGTTGAGCAATTAACACTCTCTACAGCAGTTTAACAAGACCAACTTGCAACAGAAGGAGTGTCGGGCTGTTTGGCATGGGAAATGGGTTAAATCTACAGGAGGAGATGTCTTCTTTCAGGCGGTGGAGGATGCTAGGATTTTCCACCCCGTGGGCTGAGAGCGAGCTTCCCTCAGCGATCTGAGCGAGAATATGATTCAAAGCGCATTACGTTCATCGTCAGAGAGCCGCTCCTTAGAACAGAAAGGACAAGAACGCACAGGCAGCATGTGAGAGGAAAAAAACATTGTCTTTCTTTGTCGTTTGCTAGACAAAATTGGACTGGAGGACTGGACTCCATTAGGCTACTGTGTGTGTGTGGCTTCACTGGCTTGTGTGTGTGTGTGTGTAGGTGTGTGCGATGGGCAAAAGAGGGAAATGGACAGAGAGGGGGAGTGAGGTTTTGGAGAAAATCAATTAAACTATATTTAGTACGAGATTACAGTCTGTGTGAAAAAGATGATTCGACACATTTAATAAAGAAGAACCAAAAGCTTAAATAAATCAAGTTTACAAGCTTGTAAAAATTATATTACAGCGTTCAAAAAGTCCATTCCCGTCCACGTTTTTCATTTTTTCAGTTCAAATAATTGCATAACAACTCATCATTATTCAAGTGTATTAAACATTGATGTTAGTGAGTGCTGACGCTGTTGCTGCCTCTTAGTTTAACAGGGAAAGGTCTCTCTCCTCTCAACATGTCAAATGTGTGACTGGCAGATTGTCACACATAAAGACACGTGACAGAGCTCTTTAGCCCCCCGCAGGCTGCGACTCCCACAAACAAGACAACAAATGTCTGCTCCCTCTCCTGACAGCCTGCACGGTCATGCTCTGCAGGGCTGCATTAAGGGTGGGGCTCCCTGAAAAAATGCATTACTACCATAAGATAGATTTCATTACTTACATGTAGCAGGAAGAGGGCAGCTATTATACTTATAAAGGCAATCACAAGCTGTTCCGTCAGAAACCTGAATGCAAAAGATGCAAACATAGTCATTGCTAAAATGAAAGTGCTTATCTACGTCCATAAAGGCCGCTGCTGCTGTTTGGAGGCTTGCACCACTACACAGGATAGAGAATGCACAAACTCGACTGCAGCCTGAACGTGATGAAAAATGCAAGAGTGAAGACGAGGAAACAGTGAATTCGCTGCCCCAAAGCCAAGTGCAGAGCAGCACGGAGAAATGTGCCTCTTCTCTTGCTTTAGCGACAAATGCAATCTGTCCAGGGTATTATTTTCAAGTATCCACACAGCTCCAGGTTCAGTAATATCTCTTTCATCAGCTGTGGGATTGTTGAGGGTGTATAATTCTGGGTCTAAATCAGGACATGAACCCACAGTTCCTGTATCCATAGCACCTCTCATAAGGCATTTAGATCAGTGTAAGTCAACGACTACGCCAACTTTCTGCTCACACTGAGCTGACAGGGTGCACTCTTGTCCATCAGGCTCAGAGTACAGGGAATAAGCTGTTACAGCTATACAGCTGCTAAATGATTCAACAACTTTTGGTAACAAAATCATAATAAAAGGAAGATTATTCCATTCAAATGATAGAATAGAGACAAAGGAGAAACTGGGGCTCCAACTCTTCAACAAAGGCTCAGATCAGAGCTGCATAGAGGATGTAGGTGGCACTTACATATATGATTGATGTCTCCTAGCCTCCCACATTATTGTATCTAAATGCACACTACAAATGGCCTGTCACAATGTTAGGCTGTAATCACTATAATGGTGAGGACATTTAAACTTGTGGAGTAAAAACCCAACCTATTCATCAGCAGCAAATGACTGTTTTTTACAAATAACATGAATGTTTCCATGCACAGAAACGTTCTCCCTCGGTGTCCTCGACTTACCTCTGAGTCAAATCAGACCTTTTTCTTCAAAATGAAAAAACATCCAACATCCCAAGCTGTTCCAGTTGGGATGTTAAATATAAACAACCAGCTGTGCAGCCTCGGCTAACTTGCAGCAGCAGAAACTGAATCTGGGCGAAGTAACACCTGCTCTTAAGTCAACTGTGCCGGCAGCCTCTCCTCACACGATCCCGCTTAGTTAACCCAGCAGTGCGTGATTTATTTTCAAGGAGCGCAGGATATAGAGTAAATCAGTCCGACAAATAATGAGTATATTTGCCACTATTGAGGGGAGGATAGAGGGATTTCAATTTGGCAAAGTGTGCTGAAAGTAGGAACCAATTCATCAACCAAAAGAAACTTTCAGGTCAACTGAAAATCTGACAAACTGAAAAGAAACAAAGAGGTTTCAAAGACAGAGGAAGTCACAGCTCGGGCTGGACGATAAAACGATAATGATACGAAAACCGATACGAAACATGGTCAATATCATGGCATTCTACCATGTTTTGGTAGACTATACGAACAGCCAATGAAAAGAGGCACCGCACTGAACTGACCATTCAGTCTGCTTTCTCTAGCAAAACGTCGAAGAGACACAAAGACCTCACAGATGCAGTAGCTTATTTATAGCAAAATACATGCTACCAATAAGCACTGTTACATTTTTTTAAGAGTAACAGGGAACATTCAAGATTGACAAGTGTTTTTTTTTATTATTGACTGATGTGAAAAAAAATATATTGTGATAAACCTTTTCCCAGCCCCTAGTCACAGCTAACATTAGCACCCAAAGTAAAGGTGTAAGGATGCAATTTTTTCAGTTATTTGAGAACTGAGGAAAACCAAAAGTCTATAACAAAACCGCTGGGCTTTTCAATGGTTCATTTTGCTTTGAAAAAAAGACCCTAAAGCTCTTATGAGTAACTTTCAGTTTGTGTCACATTTGGCGCCCCCTGTGGACAAAGCAGTCCTTGCTTGTCTTGTCCTCTGACAAAAAAATCTCATCCCTGTAAGTTTTGAAAGTAAAAAAGATCTTTTATAGTGAATCTTTGATTGTGAAGATATAAAAATTGAGCTTTTCTTTAGCTGCTCTGCCAACACTACCCACATACCAATTCCAGAGGATAAGAATATTAAAATAGTCAATCAATAGTCGGCTATACTTTACCTGGAACAGGATCGGTTTTGGGTGGCTGACTGGATATGGTTTTAAATCAGTGCATTAACTGACCTCCGTTTTGGCAGGATAATATTGGAACAGCTGCATTCAAACACTTTTTTTCATTATTTTTCTATGCTGCAGTAAAACCATACCCCGAACTAAAGGATTAGGCTTCACCTGGCTGTGAGAAAAATAATACGTTTGTGTAGCCATGAAGCACTAAAACAGATATGTTGTGCAAGCAAATTGCGTATTCCACCTTTAGGGCTAGTGGTTATGAAGAGTCCAGATGCACACGCACAAACACCTCGATAAGACACATTCTCCTGACAATCCTCAGCCCGACACATCGCTTCACATCAGATCAAACCGCGTCACGTAACAGGAAACAGTTGCATACAGTCATCAGCCGAGGCTCGGCTCAGACACAGCTCTGTCACAGTACTGCGCTGCACTACTCTGCATGTGTCCCACAACTAAATGCCATTTGAGAGATTGTGATAATGAGGCCAGGCTCCTTTTAATTATCCTCCTCTTCATGTCTTTCCCTCTTCTCCATGATGAATGTAAACTTTGACTGTAGACTCACACTGTTGTTAAAGGTAGAGCTGCAGTCTCTGTGATAAATTGCATGTAGCTTTAAGAGAACAGAGGTTGATAGCGTGTGAAACTGTGACCGGACGCACAAACAAAAATAAAACCCACCCAGGTCGAATCTGAAAAACCTTTGTACCCACTTTGGTTACAAGCTGCAATTACAGGGGGGAAATGGGGTCACCACAATAGAAAATCAATCAGGGGAACTTTGTATAGGAAGCACTGTTGCTGCAGCGTGACGCGCACAAAGATAAAATGTAACACACACGGCCCTCCTCCTTTTGTTTTGTCTTTTCTATCTGTTTCCATCAGTGCTTCTGTCTCTCCTGCTCTCTCTCTTTCAAACACACACATGATTCAGCACTTCATGATTCAGCACACCTCCAGTGTGTGCATGCGCCTTTGCACCTGTGTCCCTGCATGAGACCGGGGCGGTGGCCTCTAGGCTCTGTTGACTTGGCATAGACTATTCCGACCCAGCCAACTAATCTCATTTGGCATTAAACTATCTGTTGCTGAGGTGGCACATAACAGAGTACATTGACTTAATCGTGATCTTCTTTCTTACCTAACCTTCCCTGTACCCTTTGTCATGTCATTAACCCAACCACCAGTACAACTAATTGAAACAAAACATAAGGCGCTTTTCACTTTAGACGATCAGCTGATCAATGTTATAGCCAAAATACATTGAGAAGCTCTTTTTTTCTTCTCTTTTAACACTGTCCCCTGGCAGCCAAATAACTACAAACTCTGGAGTATACATTACTAGGGATGCACCAATCCGATATTTAGATTGGATATTGGCTCTGATATTGACAAATTAACTAGATTGGATATCTGATGAATGATGCCACGTTCCGATCCAGTTTTTTACTTCTTTTCGCTGTGTGCTAATGTGCAATTTGTTATTTGTTAATAAATAATATTAAGTAAATCTATATCTGTGTTAGTTTGTTACCTTTTTTTTTAACAAGGTCAATGTAAAGCCCGATACCTTCACTCACAGGACAAGGTATTCAGTTCATTCATTCAACAGTAGTATTGGATCAGTATCAGATATTGGACGATACCTCAGCCCAGGTATCGGTATCGGATTGGATCGGGAAAAAAATGGATTGATGCATCGTTATAAATTACATCGTTTGTCTCATGAATCGTTAAGTATCTGCAGCCCACGCACTACCTTTCAATTTTTTTATGATCAATCAGAGACAGTCATCAGATAAAGACAAAAAATGTGATTTTAAATTGTTGTTGTCGTTACAGAGGTCTTTCTAACTTATAACAAGAAACAGATTATGCAGTAATCAGAGGAGTTTTGTGTGTAATTAAATACCTCCAAAGTTGTGGGTCAATGGATCAACACATGAGCAGACTTGGTGTAAAGGTGCAGACAAACATTCACACCTCCACAACCAGCGTGTTGACATTCTGTGTCTAAAGACGGCAGAGTTAAAATAAGTCTGTGGTCACACCGTCATGCAATAGTGTGAGTTATTTCTGTGGGGACCAAATTTAGCCAGTGTCAAGTCAACACCGTTAAGTCTCCTCTCGTGCGCCCATCCACTGAACTAGACACCCAGGTCAGCTGGCTCACATTTTCCCCCTTTCGGATCAATTTACTGACCCTGACAGGGATCAACCGCGCACCTTTGACCAGACCAGGTATCTGTGCAGACTTCATAATTAAACAGATTGTCTCTACCCTGCTCTGCTCTCTCTATCTCTTAAAGATAGCGTTAAAAAAGAGTCAATTAATAAGACAAATCTCAGCCTCTATCTTTTCAATGAAACTGTTCTAGGAAGCAAGTGAGTGGAGGACTCTGATCGGAGTGAAAGTGACTCAGTCTGATGTGTTCGTGTTCACAGAAACAGGTTGTACTTCTGCACGACAGCATCGCGATCCCGCTGCCGACAAAGTGAAACTGCACATAGGGGCTGGTATAGCCGCCACTTCCTACAGCTGCTAAGTGCCTCACGCACATTCAGTTCATCATCCTATGAATGTACTTCTAATTGCATGCAAGACATCATGAGATGAATCAGTGATGAAGGGAAGGCCTCATCACGAGAATGTATACTGTGCCTGTGATTGACACACGCTAATGAAAACGGCTCTTCAGGGCATATTTGTACCACAACTCATCTCTGCTGATGACACAATGACATGAAATGATGATGCAGTTTCATCACGAAGCAAAGAACAAAAAGTGCATCACTCAGGGACTCTACTGTACGATTCATCAATGAGGCCTCTGCGAATATTTGATGGAGAAAAAGAAAGTACCTTCAATCTACAGAGGCGTGTTTGTTGTAATCATGCGAATCAGGTAACATTACCTCATTTCCTGCTACTGCTGTGTGTTTGTGCTGACAGCAGAATGAAGAGAACTGTTGTGTAACTCCCCACCTGTGAGTATCAAATGTATCAAATGGTATCGAGGTACAGTCGACTCTGCAACATGACCAGACAACATGTACTGTGTTACACTACAGTATCTGTTTAATTAAAGATGAAAACAAGGCCTGAGTCAGAAAGACAACGTGCCAAAAGACTGACGGCATGTTTATTTATCGTACCGAAGCGTGTGCTTAAACTATTTTAAGTAAGTAGAGTCTCTGTGACTTGAACTGAGACTCAAATGTGAGACTTGAATGTGATGGCATAGCACATTTGTGATAACATGTATCCACTCATTTATTTTCTATTTATATTTATGTACATCATTAACTGGTCCTTTCTAAAAGTTATGTTTGTTATTGTTGTGTTATTTTTAGTCCTTTCTTTGATTGATATTATAGTTACTATTATCATTATCATTTTTTTGTTGTTGTTGTTTTGTTATTGTCATTATGATGATAACTTTTATTGCTATTATTATGATGATTAATATAATTACAAAATATTATGATATATATGTAAATCATAAGTGTAGGAGAAGGGGTGGGACTAGATAAGTTTTGACCTCTTCCCACTCCTTTTTGAACATGGATAACTTTATCATTTGTTGTTGTATCTTTACTTTTTATCATTTTTTTATATGTTCAAAATAAACTTCAATCAATCAATATAGAGTAATACATAAAAAGAAATTATTCACGGTTTGTCTTATTTGTCGTAGATGAGATTTCAACCAGACAGCAACAGAGCAATTCAGCCTGGGGCTTTATAAAGGGTACTGGCACCCACGGGAGCTGGTACTCTGCCACAAGCCCAACCTGAACCCCTCATCCTTGGGCTGGGATCCGGTGGGCGGCTTGGTGATCCTGATGAGCCAGATGTGGCCCTAGGAGCTGAGGGTATTCTCTACTGCAGTTTAAAATGTCGTCTGCTTGTCTGCTTTTGCATTTTTTATTGATGACAATAAACTAAAATCAGCTTCAGTCTCATCTAAAAGCTGCTCCTGGTAACATAAATTATGGAGATCTCTGCACATATCCAATGCTACAGCAGAAGTTAGGATTGGAGAGATTGGTAATTATTATGAACCTCGTTTATATGGCAATCATGGTCCTATAGTGCGATCTCCACAAAGTGAAGAGAAAGAAGAATGGAAAAAATCCGCTCACCATAGCAGGTGCAGGGCTGCAAAAACACTGACCAATGGGAGACATCCGTCCCGGACGCGGAATTTTTTTTTTTTGTAGGATGGAAGGGGAAGGTCCCGCCCTCCATGGCTAGAAGTGCTAGGCTCCGTTTGGTTATTCCCTATGGCTATGAAACGTCATCGTCCATCCAGTTAGGGTTAGGATATTCAGAAGTGCGATAATGTTCTGTAATGTTCTGTTCGATGTACAGAGCCGACAGCCCGCGTTTGGCTTGCAAGTGTGATGACTTTTCCACTTTCTCAAGACAATCAGAGGCGAAGGAGGCAGGACTTTCCCAAAAAATTAAAAATAAAAAAAATATTGCGTCCCAGGCAGCTTCTACTGGTAAATCTCTCGACTCGTCCCCTCCCACTCTCCCGGCCCTCCTCGGAGCTCAGAGTGGCTAAAAGTAGCGTAGCAGCTTAGCTACACGAGCTGTGATGGAGAAGGCCACAAATAAAAAAACAACTCTGCTTGCCCCACCGCCAAAAGTGCTAAGAAGAAGCCGACAGAAGAAAGGGCAGAGTCGAAGAGGAAACGTGACCAAGCGAGGAATCTAACTTGAATAAATATCGGGTCATCCTTTGAGCGGTGGAGAAAGCTCCTGAAAACAGACGCTGAGGCAGCAGAGTTTTTGCTGAACAGGTAATTTTTGCCTTTTATCGTGGCACATGTTACATAAATAACTCTTATTAGTCTCTGCAATGTCAACACAGTAGCTGTCCGGGCAGCTGCAGACGGTGCTCGCTAGCAGAGCTGGCATTTCCTGACACTAGTCACTAGCAATCCGACATGGTGAATCCTACTTGAAGTTAGCGTTGGATCTTCTGCCGGCCGGTTTCTTGCTCTGCCAGAGGGGGTTTGTCGTGGGGAGGGTGATACAGGTTTGGGGGGAGAGGTTTGTGTGTGGGGGTGGGACACTTTTTTCAAATCTGCCTCAACGGCTCAGTTTTTTTTCAACTGCTTCTTAGATCGTCAGCCATGCCTTTAACTAATAAGGGCAGGGGGCATAAATGTCCTTGAAAGATCTGAAAATTCCTGAGAAATTACACATAAAAGGGCAAAAAAATGCCCTTGTTTCTGTTCTCATTATTTTACTGAATTATTAAACAGTCGGCAATTAAAATGATCCCCTGCAGGCTGATATAGGTGAGTGCTGGGACCCATGACTTGGCAATTTTTTTAAGCAAAAGCTACAGTACCTTCACCTGCTAGTCACTACCTACAACAATCTGCTATTTTGTGTTCAGTAAGGAGAATACAGAAGGATTTTTTTCATATTCTATGTAAAAAAAAAAACGCTGGCCTGCTGTGCCTTGAAACAGGGTTAAAGGATAGAGTAGTGGAAGTATCCAAACACAGGAGTCGGGGGGGTAAAACTGAACTAAAGGGTGCTGCACAGTCAATGGTTTGCATGAAAAGTCCTCTTGAAATAAATCACAATTGCTCCTCAATAAAGTTGGGTCAAAATAGGCCATATTGCTCAAGAGCACATCAAAGAAGCAAAACAACATGCCCTTGAATATTCATAACCGTAGGCACGATGTAACATACATTTCTCACTGCCCTTTCAGGCACACACTGAGAGCCTGAAACACTTCCTGTTCTCTCACGAAAGGGTGCAGGTCTCATGATAAGGGCTTACACATACTGTACTGTAAAATCATGCTGATGTCACTTAAAATTACTTAAGATTTAGTGGTTAGATAGCCACGAGGAAATAGGAGAACTGAGTTACTTCCAGTTGCATAAACAGCAAACCCGCTTCTGTTTGGTTAGTGCCTGTTTAAATTGCGGTCTTTGAGCGTGGAGCGCATTTACTGCTCTGCATGACCTTCACACTGAACGCTGCAATTTCCCTAAGCACTGTGCTCTGCAATAATTATGTGTGAGTAAACAAAGAAATGCATGATTGAACAAACACATAGAAAGTCATACAACAGTTGCAACGCCTAGAATGACAGAAAGGCTGGATTCAGAAACTTTTTAGATATTCATATTCAGACTAATAAAGAGATGTCGTTGTTTGTCTAACTGGCACAGCAGCCAGATGGAGTCGTCTGCTGCTCCTCTCTAATGAGTGACATTCGAGTGAGTTGCTTAAATAAGATGCATCAGTTCCTCTGTGGCCACTTACACTGTAGACACTCAGCTGTTTTATTTAGACCATAACACCCAGAGGTCACTTCCCAGAGGTAGCCTAATATCCAGAATGGTTTTCCCTTGCTCAAAAGAGGGGAACAACACTTTTTGATCCTCTTGCTTTGGGATCACAGAAGTAAACTCTGACCCAACAGATGTGTTGATTTGCCCCTAGCTTGGCTTAGCATTACGCTTTACACTACCAAACAGGACAAGTATTCCTTTGTGGAAATTTGGCACTTGTAACCATGGACGAAATTTTGATTTCAAAGGTATGTGACTTGAGTACTGTTGAGATATATAGCCTAGCAAACAGCACAACTCGCACACACAGTAACAGAGGAGGCAATACGGCCAGCGAGTGGATGGAAGTACAAACCCGATACAGGGACGTAAATGAAACAGCCCTCCTGTAAACTTACATCGGCAAATAGCAATGTTCACGGACTGACGCTTACGAGCAACTTGCAAAATGCTAGTCGGATGGTAGGGGAAGGTCCCGCTCTCCTTCTCCTCTGATTGGCTAGAAGGGCTGGGCCCCGACTGGTTATTCCTAATGGCTGTGAAATGTCATCTTCTGCTGGGTAAGGGTTAGGGTTAGGGTTAGGATGAGGGTAAGGATGTTTAGAAGTGCGATCATGTTCTGTAATGTTGTGTTCGGTGTATATAGCTGACAGCCCGCATTGGGCTTGAGTGTGTAATGACTTCTCAGCTTTTCTAGCCAATCAGAGGTGAAAAAGGTGGGACTTTACCTTACCATCCTACAAAAAAAAATATTGCGTCTGGCAGGCATGGAATGACTGACAGCAGGAATAGCCAATCACACACAAAAAGCGTCCCTGCGACAGAGCCAATCAAGGACCTTGTGGGCGGTCCAAACCGAGGGAAACCATTTTTCGGCTTGAGCAGCCGTTCGATCCAAGTACCTGACGTGTATCTGTTTGCTATAGAGTAAAGTAACATTGTTTTCAGATGGTTAAAACTGAAGGGGACCACACGGGGGACATGCCCCCTCCACAAATTACGTCTGAGCCTGTAACAATGAGCTCCTGCTTTCTGCAGAGTGCACAGGTATGACGTTTAAATCCATGATCGAAACGTGGAGGGAAGGCTTTGATAGACAATGTTGATGAACCAACAAATCTGACTTAGCCCAGTTCTGACTGTCCAGCCTGCACTGATTAAATAACCACAGATGGAGGGAAGAGATGGTGACAAAGTGAAGGAGGGCGGGGAGGGGCATAGAGCACACGACAGATGAAGGAGTGACGGACACACAGGCTGCGGAGTGATTTATAGTCTAAACTCGCAGTCTGATTAACTAACAGAGTCCATCCCAAAGCTGATGTAATGATGCTGCGCTGCTTGAAACCCATTATGGTGGCAGGAGGCTGCATTTGTCCCTCCATTACTGTTCTAATCCAGCATCCTACACCTAACATGTTACGACAGCTTGGGATTTTTCCACCCAGTGCGTTTTCTTTCCTCTCAAGTTTCCTGTGGATGTGTCTGATTCACTGTCGTTTTATTATTCAGATAACGTTGTTACAGTGGAATAACTGTTTTCAGCTTCTGCACCGTTTTTTAAGCATCCTGAAGTCAGACACAACAACATCCAGAGATGGAAAAGGCTGTGAGAGTGAGAACAGGCACGCAAGGAGGAGGAAGAGGAGGAGGAGGAGAGCCAGGGAGGAAGACACAGGCAGAGTTTGATAAGCAGAACGGAGACGGTGAGGAATGACAGAGCGTGAGAGAGACGAGCTGAGAGTGCAGGCCTGTGAGCTCTGCTCTTGTATCCGAGCATTTCTGACACATCCCTACATACTGCACTGCCTGCCTCCCTGTATGCTCGCCGCAGAATTTCATTAACCTTGAGGCAGCGTCTATTTGTGTTTCCAACCTGGTCCATAATGTCTCTTCTTCTCACTGCATGTGCACACAGCTGTACAAACTAGACAACACTGCTCTAAACAGGAATATTAGAATTCATAAGTGCCATCCAACACGTTGTGCATGCCATGTTAACCTATGGGGTGCTCTCCTCCAGGATACAGTTTTTATATGTCTTTGCTTGCCACCTGAATCCAAACTCAGTGTTTACTTGGAAAAGAGTTTTATTTTTTGGCTCAAAATCTTTATTTTTTTGTAAAAGCTCAACTCATCATCTCCTCTCTTGCATGACTTCAGAAATTGCTTATTTACCAGCACGGCCTCGAGGGAACGGAGTGAAACTGCAAACTTATCAGTTGCCAGATTTTAAATCAGTTCAGTCAGTAACAGCATGAAAATGCAGCTGAATAAAAAGTGTCCTAAACCCGACATCTTTGATTGAAAAAGTGCATCAGAGGACGCTTTAGTTCATATTCTTTACAGATACATTAGTATTGAGGAGACAAATGATGAATACATTGTATTTACTGATGCCATTTTTGATTCTGCTTATCAATCCAGTTATCAGTTTCTGTGGGTTTTCTGTATCAACAACATAATTTTTACTCCAAGTTTTGCTATCACTCATCTGAGACAGCCTGGCTTCTTATTGGGCTTTTGGTCTCAGATACAGCCCCTGATTGGTAGACAGATCTATACAAAGATGGCTTCCTCCAACCACAGATGTTACACTGTTTCTCTAAAATTAAAACATAAATCATCACAGATTAACTTTGTTTATGAGGGATTGGATCAGCACGGTCTCTGAAAATAAACTGATCATCTCTGTGGGATAGTAAACACATGGTGCTTATTGCTGGGAAGCTTATCTTATCTTACAAAGTGAGTGTATTTTACTGTAATTCTGTATGTCATGCATTCTGATTTTTGAGCTGATATTAACAATAATAAGTTACAATGAACAGCATTATGGACTGCTCCTGCTTTCTGTCTGCCATAGTTACTTCCTTGAGTCCTTGGTTGTCATGCTGTCTGTCTCTCAGAGCGTCACGTCATTGTTTCGCAAGGCACGCAGAACTAAGTGCAGACTACTGTTAAGCATAAAGCCATATGATAATGGTTGCTCAAACTAGTTAGAACTGGTTCTGATCTGGATCTGCCTCTAGGTCCCATCCCTCATTACTACCCTTGTGTATGCGTCTGATAATTTAGGGATTCTCTTTCTTTCCTTTCTGCTAAAATATGCAGAAACTTTAATATATTCAACAAGGCCTGAATACATGAAAATGATTTTGTGTTTTTTTAATGCCAGGTTGTGCAGAGAGTGTATGCAACACAATTTATTACACTGACAGTCGGAAAAATACAAGCCAACACAAACAGTGTACGTCTGCTGCCTCTCAGGTACTTTAGCACTAAGATCTTTTCCTGCTTCATAAATGTTCACGATCCAAAGCAGTGGGACTGGGAATTGGACACGCTGCAGAACTTCATTGTGTACATTAAATTCTGGGTGGATGATGTTCATAAATATGGCTTTTAGTTTGCTTATAAACCCTTGTATTAAATTCCTTTTAACTTTTGACTCTTACAGTTAAACACTTTATTATTAAACACTTTATTTGACGCCTATCTCTATTACGCATTATGAATATATTTATAATGTGTTGTGATGTTATAGCACTGTATAACTATAGTTATAAACACTCATAAATGATCATAATGCTTTATAGCAATAATCAGAACACATCATAAAGCATTTCATCATGACTTACAAGGTCAGGTATTATAATGTGTTATAACTGTTAACAACTCACTGACACTGCCCACATAGACAATGCAATGCAACTGTTGTTAACTGTTATAACCATAGACTGTATATACGATGGACAACTTGGTTCCGCCTACCGCCTGTATATGGATTTGAAGCCAAAAAGCTCTCGGTATTTCCGGGATTTTTGTTCATTTCCTGAAACCAGTGCTGCGCAGTAGCAATGCGTGCATTCAGCCGTGCAGTTACAGAGAGTCGCTGTGATGACGCTCGGCTCAAACAGCGTATCCCCCGGGAGAGCTACGCAATCCCTGAACGCCCATAGGCTGTATCAGGTGTATATCATAGCAAACGTGAAACCCCCTAATAACTTTTAAAAACGGAGCTGTACAGAAAAAAAAGGACTTGGGCACAAACCAGTCTTACAATAACTACATGTCAACATCACAAGCAGGGGGGAGAAAAATTTATGTTCTGTGTAATAAATTTCTAAAGTTTGTCCACAGCTCTATAAGCTTTGCTGGCGGAGGCGGGATTTATGACTTATACTGCAGCCCATCAACAGAGGGTGCTGTTCTCGGAGTGGCGTCACGCAGCGAGGAGGCAGACTCTGTCCATTCTATATACAGTCTATGGTTATAACACATCATAATATATGTATAGTGCATTATCTATATGGGCATTGTCAGTGAGCTGTTAACAGTTATAACACATTATAATACCTGACCTTGTAAGTCATGATAAAATGCTGTATAATGTGTTATAATTATTGCTATAAAGCATTATGATCATTTATGAGTGTTTATAACATAGTTATACAGTGCTATAATGTGATTATAATGCATTACACACATATATATAATGTGTTATAGAGATAGGCGTCAAATAAAGTGTTACCAACAGTTTTTTTTTTTTATTTAAACACTGCATACGAAAATATCTGTCATTATTCTGCCTCCTAAATTAATGCTTTACACTGCCTGTATGCTAAATTGGTCATTTATGATTGTGCCTATATTTTTGCCCTTCCATAATGACTGTTGTATCTTTAAATAATATGGTTTGCTTCCCCTGCAGATTTCTTATCTGAGGTTGAGCCCTAACATCGACACAGTTTGCCTCATTCATTGTTACAAACAGCCTGGATAACAGCACCGATAACAACAGCCAGAGTCGGGCAGAAAGGGAGGGACAGGACGCAGTGGGGCAAGGACGACCAGGACGAGGTGTGTGTGGGAGGCCAGCTCATTAAAAAACAACGATGCTATGGTCAATCATTTACATTTTTATCTCAGCTATATTAAGAATAAAAATATAATGTACGTCTGCTTCCATCACCATGCCCAAAATGTATCTGTCTGCTGGAGAGGTTGGGTCCTGATACCGGGGAGCACAATCTTTCTATCAATCAGTGTGTAATGAAATCGTTACCAAGAGAAGGAGGAGAGAATCGCTTTGTTAAGTAGTCTGAGTCAGGGAGTGCAATGACTCAATGGAGAGTAATAACATATCACTCCCAGTAATGTCCACTGGGCTTTGACCTTGTGGATGTTCGCACCAAATCCACAGCCGAGTCATAGAAGCCCTAATACCAGCAGAACACAAAGGAAGTAGATTCTGTAGCCTGTGATACACCTGACTTAGATTCCTCTACAGAAAGATATGCTCTAAGTCTGTATGACTTGTTTTATAACAAGAACTAAAGCCCCTTTCAGGTAAAGAAACAAAGGCAATTAAATTGGACTCCAGATTTTGAATTCATTTCACCCATCAGTGAACTGAAAGTGGCATTTCCAGTTGTTATCCGCAGATAAGCCCTCTGACCAGTGATGATTGACAGCACCTATTAGTTTTATACTTGCACAATCACGTCCCATGCAGTAACCTTTCAAGGTTGTTACCTTGAAAGCTCCATAATAGGGTACCAAAACAACAACAAGTATCTTCCCTTTGCTACTTTTTGGCTGTGAAATCAATTCTGATTTGTGTTTTTTTCTGCTTATAACCAAAACATATACGTACCTCCTCCCACTGATGAATGTATCTGATGAGTCGGGACAGTCTCAACAGACGCAGAAGACTGAGAATCTTGGTGAAGCGGACGATTCGCAGGGCACGGGCTGTTTTATATACCTCCGAGTCAAAGCCTTTCTCCACTATTAAAAAGATATAATCCACTGGAATGGAGGAGAGGAAGTCCACAACAAACCAGCTCTTTAGGTAATTCATCTTGATGACCTTGGGGTCGAGGATGATCTCGGAGCTCTCCTCATTGACGATCCCCGTCCTGAAGTTCATGACCAGGTCCACCAGGAAGATGGTGTCTGAGGCCACATTGAAAACCAGCCAGGTGGTGGTAGTCTGCTCTGAGAAGAAGGTTATTCCCACAGGAATGATGATTAGATTCCCCATCATCATGATGAGCATTATCAAGTCCCAGTAGAACCTGCAGAGTGACAAACAGACACCAGTTATCCACATGTTAGGAAAATCCACACAGAAAGAGTCTGATTGTAAAAATCTGTTATTTCTGTTGAAGCTAATTCACTTTGCTATATTTCATATAGCGTCAGTGCTAAAGAAAAATCATTAAAAATATCATCCAAGCTTTCCATCAACTGCATGACAGCCAGCTGATTGAATGCCCAAATTGCAAAAACCTCAATTCTTAGATTTGTTTCATTTCTTGTCAAAATACCTCATTACACTTCATCTGAGCTACACTGACGTGACAGGTCCAAATATAGATCTTATTTCAAGATATTGAAGCCAAAACACTCTTGAGAAGTTCTTTGAAATAAGTATCACAGCTTGTTTCCAGGAACTTAGAAAGAAAATTTGGCTTGCCACATTTGGAGTCATTTCTACTTCTTAGTCATTAAAGTCCTTAGTTTGGCTTGTAATATCAAGCACAACCTCTGTGCACAGCCAGCCATGAGTTGAGTGTGCAAAAGTCATACTCATTCACACTCCACTGATAAAATGTTGGCATGGTGGTGATCAAAAATCAGAGGATCACCAAATTCATCCTGAGGGGAAACATGAATGCTGGTTTCAAATTTCCAAACAATCCACCCGATAGATGTTTAAAGAATTCACTCAAAACCCCAAATGGACACCACACGAGGGGCAAGAGGTCAACACAATGGATCATAATAAATCACGTATGTTCTGCAGCTGCGACTTAAGCCAACAAATGGTCAAATTCAGGTTAAATGACAGTATTTTGCTGTGTAATAGCTTGCTAGCAGTTATCCTGTCTGCTCACACTGGCATTTACTTGTAGCATTAGCATCTAACCATTTCGAAGCTAAACTAGCATCCCCCAAACATCCAATAATAATATGAGTATTGTTATCAAATCTCCTCTCAGTCTTTTCAAGTCATTGCCCAAAGTTCTCCATGATTCAGGGACATGGAGGAAAGTGCTGCTGGGCCGCCACTTACTGTATGGATTGAGGGCCCTGCTAGAATGAGACCCTCTCATCCTCTGACTGTGTTAATGTCTCTGCCCTCTGTCTTCTGATGAACAGAGTCAGAAGTGATTCATCAGCACCCCGCTCTGCTCTTTTCGCCACGTGTCCAGGCCCTCGATAAAGGCCGGGCAACCATGAATGAAAATAGATGCTTTCAGGAATCCTATCTCATGCTAAAAACTCTCCACTGACGCCATCCGCACAGTCTGCCTTGCTGCCTGTGCACGGCTGATGTTGAGCACAGAAATGGACTTGCTGGCTGGCAGGCTGCCTGTCTGGCTTGCAGACCATCTACGCAGTAATGGATACATTTGAATGAGTTAAGATGGGGCCTTGGCTTTATAAATACCCACAGATCATGTGTCCGATAATTGTCTTCACTTCAGCCACAGAGCGGCCATCTAGGTGTTTCAAAATATCCACTATCGGTATTTTTACACCAGCAGGCATTGAACTGAGGCCTAAGAGTGGCCTTTTCAAATGGAGATTGACTCAACACTTTGAGTGGGACATCAAAGCGGAGAACATCTTTGAATTTTCTAAAGCTAGCTATTAAATTCAGACGGCGGCTGTGTATACAGCAACAATGGAGATGGTTTTCAGCCAACTGGTGCCCATTAATCCGACATGTTAGGACCTCACACTTCTTACATATCATGTAGTTGTAAATAAGAGTCTGCAGTGAATAAATCTCATGTAAGACACTATTTATATTGCTTATCAGTAAGAAACACTTTTAAGATCTTTTCATGTGTGGCAAAATATGCATAAAACATGACTTAAAAGATATTTTTAACCATTTTTTAAATATATATTTACTATTTTTGTTCTCTTACGATTACTGTTAAAATGATTTCAAAACCAGTGTGGGAAAACTAAGAGATAGCTTAAAGTTATGAAATGTTATAATATATTTAAATGGCTTTATTCCAAGGCTTTGTTTTGAAACTGAGAGCCAACAGAGTACCCACACCTCTAAGACATTTCTACTCCTCTGATGGCTTGAGTAGGTGGTATTTATACTGTTCATGACCTCCAATACACCCACTCAGCTAATGAATAAAACATTGTTTCACTTCTAGATTTAGAAACTTGAATATGGTAGACTGCAAGCCATGCTGCATTCAACTGTCTGTGTTCACAGAGTTCAAAGTTTAGAGAGAAATCCCCTATGAAATAAAGCACATTTTAGTAGATGGTTGTTTTTATGGCAGTCCTCTCCTTGCCTTTTAGAGAGTGAGTCACAAGTGTGCCAATGCAGTGAGCTCTAAAGCTCTGAAACTGCTTCCAGAACTTTCTACAGTGCTTCAGTGCTCCAGCTCTGGGAAAACACCAAGCTCAAGTAAAAACCAGCAGCTAAAAGCAGACGTTTCATCTGTATAGGCTGCATTTCACTTTAACATCCCCAAAGAAGAAAATCTGCAGAGGACAAACCATCGTACTTAAGTGCCTAACCTTTGTGGTGGATCAGAGACCCGGCTCAGGCTGAGGTGCAAGAATCAAACAACCCTGCTCCAAATCTAACTCGCTAATGTCTGCTCGTAAGTTTCTCCATTTTAATGTGTGGCAGAGCTCTTCTGTAGGGCAACAGAGGGAACCCCCGCACAAGTCTGACCTGTGCAATCCAACGAGAAACACGTGGTACAGACTTTTCACAACTTTATGGAACAACATGGAGCTTGGATCGAAATAAGCGTGCAAAAAAATCATGAATCTACCCCTAAACCTTATTTGGAAGCAGCGATGAACATGTGGAAATCCTCATGCAGAGAAGCATGGTTACATTACAGGATCCTTAAATTTGGTAGAGTCATTTTAAAAAGATTCCTGGCTGCAAATAAGAAGAAATAGACCCTTATTTTTCCAGCAACAAACTCCAGATGTCAGGCAAAGTTTGAAAGGCAAGAAAAGTAATTGCAAGAACATGAGAAAAACTGCGTGGGCATTTGGATTATGATTGGATGATGTTTTGTAATGGCTGAGAGCACACCCATGTGTCCACTCTGGAAGAAAACATCACTGAGAGTCTTTCAGAGTATGACAAAGGCCTCTCCTTAGCATAAGCAGAGGCGTATGAGGCTGGTGCATGAGGCCTCTCTGAAAAACGATGAATAATGAATATTACTAACCTGCCATTAAACTTTAAGCAGCCACTGTGTACAAAGAATATGTCGGATATTGAGTTTCAAACACTCCCACAATAAAGTCCACGTGAATGGTGGTGTCATTCAGGGACTGTTCTTACGTAAGAGTTTTCATTAAAGGACCGTGCTGTGTTTTTGTTTTTTTTTTAGTTTGTTGTTGCCTCATTTTGGATATTTGAGGTTCTGCAGCAAAAATCAGAGCATCACAAAACTGAGAATACTTGGTGCTAAAACTCTGCAGCAAAAAAAAACCAGACCAAAATAATTAGGTTGTTAAGTTGATCCCTAAAGTACAGATTACCTTTTAAGCCTCAGTGCAAGGAGAGCTGCCAGGCAAAGTGTACCCTTCACCTCCATGATTGATGCACCAGCAGGAGAGGCAGCTTGAAGCATTGGGATGTAACCTCACAGCACTGTAGCACTTTAAAGCCAGGAGGCAACCTCTCTGTTATTGAGGGGGCTGTGTCTTTAAAGTGGCTAGAGGACAAGGACTGCCTATGAAAAACCGCCCTTTGCGAAATGTCATGTGGAAGGAAAGTATCCTGGGGGTGGGAGGGGGAATCTGTTCACTGGTTTCCGATACAGTAGAAATAAAAAAAAGCTGATCTCCGTCAGAGTTTTGATTACATGAGAAACTCCCTGTCGATGGCACAATAAGTCTCTTATTATACATGTTTAGACGGTCTGTCATTGCTGCACGCTTTCTCCAATTTCAATCAGCATACAACAGGCTTTGAGTATAAACTGCGGAACCCAAGAAAACAGAGACTGGTTGATAACTTTTTTTGACGATTTTTCCACAAATATCAGGAGGTGGAATGACACTGCCTTTTTAATGATCACTGTTGTGATTTGCTGACTGAAACATGTGATTTTGGGAACAAAAGGAAACACGATACAAATTTAAATCTCTTATCACACCATTAATCTGACTTTTTTTTCTTCCTTTCTTTCATTTTTTTGGCAATTCAAGTATTTTTACGAGTTTCACATACTTGCATATTGATTGTACTGGTAGTTTTATGAAGTTTTATTGTAACTTGCTTCATTTTTTTTCGATCACATCCCCACACACGTAACTAACCGTAACTTAAAACAGGAAAATACATATCATCCCATTGCTCAGCCTCTACCCTTTAGTCATTTTTGGAGGGGGCAATCTCCTTACATAATTGTTTTCAGAGACCGTTAAGCCCATTGACTGTTGTGTTGGGCTTTTAATCCATGCCCACTGTCATTGTACATCTGTGTGTGCAGATGGGCGTGTGCATATGCCTGTGTCATTGTTTGGGTGGGTACAGGATATCCCGGTAGGATTAATTTTATAGCTAGGGAACAATGCGCTGAAGAGAAATGGTTATACTTAAATATTTGTGAGTGAATAAAAGCAAAGGAAAGCCACACAGTCAGACAAGCCGGTGGAAGAGTCCGAAACAGTGTGCTGCACATACTGAGGCCTGCAGTGAGTTCAGCACCACGGACAGCTCCACGTTAAAGGCAGAGGGCAGATCTACATGCCCCGGCACGTTACATGTAGCTTCAGTGGAAAACGAGGATGATTGTCAGCGTCAAGTTGCGTCAGGGGAACGCTGGTGAACAGACTGGGCCAGATGAGATGCTTAATTGGTTTGAGTGGTGAACTGTAAACACGCGGCTTGTGGAGTACCAGCTCTGGCCCTACCTGATCTCATTTGTTTGCTGTTTGAAGTCATTGTGCTGGAAATGTGGGACAAATTAGAAGCAGTTTGTTGAAAGTCAAACTGACCGGCCTCACCTGCCAAACACATGGTTGCCTCTTTCCATCAGGCTGTTTAACATGTAATTTGCCTGTATGTACGAAAATTGAATACACTTTAACCTGGGATACACTGTACAACTTTTTTTTTGTCACTATGCTGCAGATTAGAGGTGGCAGGTTATATCTAATCTAACTTCTGATTAATTTATGTTAGTAAATCCACAAATACACAATTAGTCACTGATGCAGGCTGTATTCAGTGATCATTAACACATCTTTAAGCTAATAAAGGAAGTGTTGCATGATGCTCCTGCAGCTCCACTTCCAACAAACACATTCCATCACATTTCCACAACACGTCCCTCATGCATCAGTGCCGCTGACTGCTAATTGTGCAACTTTATCATGAAATTTTAATGCAAATTTTGAGCTCATTAATACAAAAACACGCCTATTTTTCCTCTTTAATCGTTCCTCTGCACGATTTTACCGCATTTTGTGCATATATTTTGACGTGTAGGCCTGCCGCTGTCTCCCCGCCGCCTACAAGGAAATGTTTACACCCGTGATGGTGCAATGGCACTGTCACGTTGTGTCCAGGTACACGGGGATGTGTCGCAATGAGGACCTGACAGTGGTGTGTGTGCGTGTGTTATTGTGGTTGAGGGAGAAAACGTGCGCTTGTGTCAGGGTGTGTGTGTGTGTGTGTGCGTGTGTGTGAAATGATGACATTCAGCATGTTTTTTCCAAGGACATCTCACTGATACACCTTTGAAGCCTGAACGCGTCCCTCATATTAGAATAGAAATGCCGCAATGAGACACACACACTCGTGTTTTGGAGAATGATTAAGGTAGATGCGAGAGTGTGCGTGCGTGTGTGTGTGTATGTGTGTGTGTTGATGACAGAGCATTATGTGTGAAAGTGTATATCTTGCAGACCCTAGGGGGGGTAAAGGAGGAGGAGGTGGTGGTGGTGGGGGTGAGGAGCAGGTGTCTTTTCCAGCCCTTACCTAAAATCGCTATATGGATGAATGATCCAGTATCCGGCCGTTTGCACCCTCTCCTGCTCTTTCTCCACCGCTTTCTGACTGCCGAACATACGCAAGGAGAACTTATTGACTCCGGGCTGCATCATGGCCCCAAACTGCCTCTGCATAAACCCGTGTTGCCTGGCCGCCCCCTCCAGATCGTCAAAGCCGACCATGGCCTCTTCGCGCTCCCCCTTGAAGCCCACGGAGTTGCCATGGTCCTTCTGGCTGCCCGTGTTATTTTTCTGTATCGAGTCTTGCCTCTGAAAAACATTATTCCCATCCGCCTTCTCCTCCTTGCTGCTGGAGAACGAATTCGACTGGTCTTCCATGGTGTCTGGACTTTTCCCGTTTTTTTGTCTTCCTCGTCTTCTTTGCGGCAAAAAAAAAGCGTTCCGGCTCTCCGGGCTCGCGAGGGCTGCGCGCGCTAAACTCGAGAGGACCCGCCGTCAGCTCTCTCTCTCTCTCTCTCTCTCTCTCTCTCTCTCTCTGTCTCTGTGTCTCTCTCTCTCCCTCCCTCTTCCCCTCTCTCTTTCTTTCTCTCTCGCTCTCTCTCTTCTCCTGTGTGTGTTTTTTTATGTCCTTCAAAAGTGCTCAGCTCCTCTGCCTTCAGTGTGAGTGCTGCAAACTGAGACAGGGAGCCCGAGAAGCCGCTGGATCAGGTTTCTTGGGTTACCGCCATCTACCGACGGCCCCGACTCCTGCCGTCCAAAGCCTCCTGTTCAGCCTCGCGCTCCGCACGGCACTGCGGTTTAACTGGCACATGCCCCTGCACCTTATTTACATAATGTGGATCATGATAGCCCCCTCCTCCTCCTCCTCCTCCTCCTCTCCTCCTCCTCCTTCTCTGTCATCACTTTCACACATGACAGGAGGAAACTAATATCACAGGGGCACAGCCAATTCAATTCAGTGATAAATGGAGTTATTAAAGAGTATTTTTAAAATCAATTGTAGCATGTGTGTGTGTGTGTTTCCTGTGGCTCCTCCTGGCTGCAGGTTCGCCTCCCACTGAGCAGAAGACAAACACAGTGAAACAGATTGTAATGTCGGTGTGATCATTCTGGTCACATGAGAAAACTACACAACATCTTGCGGATATCACACCTTTTAAGGTGTTGCAGAAATGGTCCAACATTTACGCTGAGTGCACTCACTGTACTCCTGGAGGCCTAGGCTACTTTGTTGCAGACCAGAGGAAACCTGGACATTAAAGAATGTATTGAAAATAAATTAGCCGCTTTTCTAATCAAATTAGGCACTCTAATTTTAAGGTTTATTATAGTTTTGATAAAGCTGCTGTCTGCATGTAGAGCCACCAAGCAGCTTAAAGGGATATTCCGGCTTAAAATTAATTTGGGGTCAAACACAATGTAACACAGAGTTAGACACCCCCTCGAAAGATGAATGTTACCAACCGCTTGCTTCTCTAGTTATACCAACTTTAGTAACGACTGCAGGATAGCAATACAGAGAGCCACACGCTCAACCAAAAAGCCACTCTATAGCCACAAATAATGCTCAGAACAGCACCTAACTTCATCAACAGTACATATAGGGTCCCAGCCATAGTACTAGCCACCAAACATCTTTTTAGCTTTGCCTGATTTCTTTAGCAAAGAGACTAAACACAACTCACCTACTCTCTTCCAGCAGCCGCTTGTTTGTATAGAGACCTCCAGGTGAGTCAATCGGCTACAGTAGGGTGACGCAGCTCAAGGAAGAACATTTATGATTATTTCCTCATGGAAATGCAATCAGACCGAGACGCTAAGGCACAAGAACTACCACATCTGCAGTGCAAAATGATTAATATGGTGATTATGACTTCAAGGATATGATAAAGAAATGATCATAAATGTTCTTCCTTGAGCTGCGTCACCCCGCAGCAGCCCGTAATGGACTGGCCTGAGGTCTCGCTACAAACAAGCGGCTGCTGGAAGAGAGTAGGTGAGTTGTGTTTAGTCTCTTTGCTAAAGAAATTTGGCAAAGCTAAAAAGATGTTTGGTGGCTAGTACTATGGCTGGGACCCTATATGTACTGTTGATGAAGTTAGGTGCTGTTCTGAGCATTATTTGTGGATATAGAGTGGCTTTTTTGTTGAGGTTTGTGTGTGGCTCCGCTGCGAATTGCTATCCTGCGGTCATTACTTAAGTTGGTAAAACTAGAGAAGCATCACTTGGTGTTACGGTGTGTTTTTACCCTAACTTAATTTTACGCCGGAATATCCCTTTAAGAGACAGGGAAACACTTTTTGGAGTAGGGCCACATTGAGGTACAAAGTACTTACACTTCTGAAATAACAGAATCAACAAAGTGTTATATTAATTTGTAAAGATTTTGAACTTTAAAACTCCTGTGAGCAACTTTTAGTGAGTCAATTGTGGTGCCTCGTTAAGCAAAGCATTTCACCCTTAGCAGTCCAATAAATCATTTTCTGTGGACATTTTAAGTGGAAGTTGTAAAGTCAGGGCTGTTTCTTTAGCTGCTTGGCCGAGCATCAGTATTAGGTATGAAAACTTGCGCCATAAAAATATACGATCATGTCTCTGATAGTTTTGTTTGTGGGTTTCAGGGTGACCACTAGGGCGGTCAATAAGATTTCAGAGGTGGATACCCCTTCACTCATAAAAAAGCTCCTGAGAAGACTTTAGTGTTTGGTGTTTTGGGCGCCCCCTGTGGACAGTGAGATACCCTGCTCCCCCTTTATTTTTGGATATCTGGCATTCAGATTACCACCAATCCTCGGATAAATGTCCATCACACCAGTATGTCATTAAACACTTTGTCTATCTGCTGTGCTTGTAAGGGTTAGAGTCAGGGTATGGAAAAGTTTCATAATCCTTAAACTCTTCATATGTTCCTTTTTAAAAAAAAACATTAGTAAGTGAGTGAAGACATTAAATTCTACTCTAATTCTAAAGTGCACTATTTCCATTTGAAATTCAGTGAAAGAAGCATAAAAGAAAAGTACTCAGCTATAGTCAAATTTAGAGCTCGAGTATATTAGCCTTGTTAACTGTCAGAGTGAGGAGAAAGAAAACGAGGAAAGAGACCTGGACAGAATACGATTAACCAGCCGGAGAGAGAGAGGAGAATGTGCAGATTAGAATTACAAAACATGGAACATTCCTCTGAGGAGACGGTAGAGGAGGGATGTGATTTAGGGATGTGATTTTTTTTACAGAGCAGAGAGATCAGGAAGAGTCACGGGGAGCAAATCTGAATGTACATTGGATATCATGTAAATAATAATGTATGTAACAAGTTATTAATCAGGATAAGTTTAACTCTGGGATTGTTTGATCACATGTAGTGGAAGTGATTATGGGAATATATAACTTATAACTGTTCCTTTTTAAGACAAAGCTGATTCATCTAAAAAAAAAGAACGTGTGGAAGGTGGATGACAGGAGAGGGGCACGGCTCACGGCTTTGTGCAAGACAAATCTACTACTACTGCAACAAAAGAGCTACTTTGAAATACATAACACCCGGTACAGGTATAGGACTAGATGGCACAGTCCTTATCGTTGCGTCCATGTGAATATGTGGAACCCTCACAGCAGAAAACAGCTGGTAACATCTGGAGGTTCACAGTCAGTACCAACATGGGGACAACCTTCAGCTTATATCAGCAGACCTGATGAACTCGTTGTCATTGAGACAGCATCAATCTGTAGGTGTGTGATGAAAACATCAAATCTACTTTCATGTGTATTACCATGTAAGCCCTCAACTGTATAATCTTGTATCCTGTAACTTAAGATTAATCCTGTTGTCCCCTAAGCACTACAGAGGACAAGTTTGTGTGTGTTTCTTTTGTTGTTAATGTTTTATTGAAAATTCACTTTACTGTTCCAGTCTGGAATAGGTTCTTATGTATGAATAGTAAGAAAAAAAAAACAATCAAAACTTCTAAGGCATATTAATTTATCTCCTTATCACATCAAAATACACAAAAAAACAACGGTAAAAGAAAAACAGATATACTTGTACTTTCATACTTATATCTCATAATTAAAAAGCACATTATTTTGCTTCAACTACTTCTGTGTATAAAAACCTGATAAAAATTTAAACTCCAAAAAAGTTCAGAAATCATGAGAATTTCCTTCATTTGGTAAAACTAATTCAGATATCAGTAACAATGGTTAAAATTATTTTTAAAAATATATATATTTGTTAAAGAAGTAGAGGTATTTTAATGTGGCACTGTTACTTGAAGGGCAGAGCTTTATTTGACGTTTTAAGTTGGTTTAAAATTATCAACATATTCTGTCTGAAATCTGTGATAAAAAAACATCTAAAATCTTTCTATGAAGCGTTGTGTTGGTAGGGTCAGAGAGCAGCATTCAGTACACAATGTGGATTTACAAACCCACGCTGAACCCACGTGCTCGGTAATTTCATGGCCACACAAACCCACAGCTGGCTGTGTCCACCACTAAAGAGAACATTAGCTCAGATATTTTGCATGTTTAGTGGCGGATTATTACGTAATGATCCAAATGTTATCCTAATTGAAACAGACATCCCTTGATTTTTGTGTGTTTTTTCTCTCGGCTGGGGTTGGATTAGTTGGCATGCCAACTGTTTCCCCTCCGCAGCGCTTGTGTAACTTCAGTCCCACGGTTTGTGGGGCGGGGAGGGGTACTAACAGAGGGGGAAAAAAAAAAAAAAAAAAACATTGCATAAGAATCCTCGCTGAAAGAAAATACTGATATTGAACTAAGTGCAAATCACAGATGGCCTGTTCACATGTAGTCAACAAAAACAAGAAGAGAGTATTTACTGGGCGGAGAAAAAGGGTTCATGTTGCACTCAAAAAGGACCAAAATTAGGTACTTTTGTTTCCAAATACTACGTGTATCTTGATTTATTTGTCATTTTATAAAGAATAATACATTAAAAAATACACAGGTGTGCATTCAATCAGTGTCAATATGGTGTGCAGTTATTCTGAGATCGTTTTGGTTACTCACTGATGTCTAGGCATCCCTTATTGCACCTTTTCAGGAGTTCCAGTTTAATGGCTTTCTCTGAGGAAGTCCCTGATACCTGAATCATCCATAATGTTGACTGGAAATAACAGAAAAATAAAGGTGCACCTCAGCCCTAAAGGTTTCATCTTAACAACATGAATGAAATAACAAATAAAGATTTTATTAAAGTTTCACCCTGCCTCCTTTTAGATCCAGAATGACTGAAAATAGTGTGTCATATGCCTTGTTTTCTGCAGGGTCCAGTGTGCTCCTGATCCTGGGGATGGTCTTGCTGGCTTTACATAGAAATTGCATTGTGTCTCTAAGATTACACCCAGTCATCTCTGCTTACAGTCAATACCTCATCTGGACGTGAAACATTACATTCTTCCACACTGCCAGCCAATGTTTGTGCCACAAATAGCATCAGGACGGCAGGGTTGTGTTACAAAGCTCCCCGTGGCCCCTTTTTTAATTTTCTGCAAGTCATCCAATGTATGGAAAGTTTATCCTTGTGTCCTCCCACTATGTTTCACAGTGAAATCATTCTGACAAAGAAAAAGGGAAAATGCTGTTTCGACTGTGTTGTGAGGTTTCATCATATCTGTTTCAAATTTGAGAGTAAAGTTGTAAATCACGTTAAGTATCACTGACTAAGAACAATAACTTCCACAAATTAAAAAATCAAAATCTTCCCCTTCCAGGGCCGGGAGATGACTAATTCACTCGCCCCCTTTGGACTC